TTTCTTTACCAAGTTGATGCTGTGAAGGACTGTCAGGAGATACTTTTGGTTCAAGTTTTATTTTTTATTTAAGTAGAATTTATTATAATAGAGACTATTCATAACGTTCTACTATCAACGAGTGAATGTTCCCACTTTTTCGTCTACTTCCTAAATATAGTATCTCACAGATAAACAAGACGACAAGCTCGAGTGCGAAGAGCGGATATTGCGCTCTGCAGACCACAATCATCTCCACATTTCGTTCCAAGGGAAGAACAAAATGCTACTTCAGTTAATTGCATGTTTCGTGTTCAAGTATTAGACGAAAAGCTTTGTGTGTGAATAAACCATTCTTCAGTTCCCTGCCCGACCGAATTTATTGTTTCCCTGGGATTCGAACTCAGAACTTACTTACGAACTAAGTACCTTATATTATTTTAGTTGTTTGCACGTTTAGTATTATTTTATGCTGAGGGAACGACTTCGTCCGCACAGAATACTTATTTGGGACATCAAAATTAGTTTTTTCAAACCTTCTCCTCATCTTTATCAGTTTTAGTTATTCTTCAAAGATAATTTACACGGACATTTTTTTTAGATCGTTTAAAGAAGAATCATTCTTTTATACATTTTCTTTTAAGTGCTTTTCGCAGCACATGCAACGGAAACCGTCAAAGATGAATAATTTTAATTTTTTAGGTTTTCGACAGCGTGATGTGTAATAAATGCTCTAACAATATTTTTTAATTCGAACCAGTAGTTCCTGAGATTAGCAAGATCTAACAAATAAACAAACTCTTAAGCTTTAAAATATTAGTATAGGTAATATAATTAATTATAATTGTACCGAAAATCTTATGTTACTAACCGATAGATAATTATACCATCTTTGTTACTCGTAGGTCATAAATCATAACAGTTTTTAATCTAAAATAAAATTTAAATTAACCTTAGCTCTCGTGCAGTTGATACCTTATGAAGTAAGTAAGCATATGCAAAGTAATAAAAAAATTCGATGAAGTTGGACGGGACGCGGGTCGATAATTTACAGAGTTACAGTGACATCGTAGGTCTTAGTCCTGAACACGTAATTATCAATGAGAGTTAGTAATTTCTAAATATTCTTTCTTAATTATAGAGACCTTAACTCTCATATAATGCTTTTCAATTACACTTAAGTTTGCAAACAGCGAAATACGGCAAACTTTGAAACAAGTTTTGCTTTGGTGAATACAATAACAGGTCTCCTAGTTATTGGGTACATCGATCAGCCTTTGAGAGTCACTTCTTTGTCAATACACCTTTGTGAGACAGGTCTGAGTTCGAAGACAATAGCCTGCACAACTGTAAAGGCCATTAACAATGACGTGTGCTTTTTTGAGGTGAAATGAGAGAAATGTAAAATACAGCGCGACAGACTAATTATAATCGAACAGGGCAGGTTTACAAAAGGTATTGGTGTTAAACGGTGGGATGGAACGTCTAACACTCTTTATTTATCTATTGCCATGAATTTATAGAATTACAAGCATCGAAATGATGGTAAAATTGTAATAATACCACAAGTATCGTCAAAAAACAATTCCGAAGAGAAGTTAAAACTAGAAAAAAAAGGTACCTTTTTTTATATCAAATACTTAGTTTTGTCGCCCTTCCATTGAGCAAAAAATATTTTTCTGCCTTGCTATGACTGGTTTGAGATTATGTCCCTTATGTGGAAAATGGTAAAGAAAAATCCTCGAGAACAAAGTTTTGTCATAAAGTTTCTACATTTTCATAAAATGGCGCGATGCTTTTTTCCCTTGCCTCAAACGCATATGAATTTTTATCCCATTTTATTTAAATAAAGCTTTGTTGAGTAAAGTAATACTTTTCTACGTTTTATATGATAAGTGCTGAATGCAATCAAAAGAGTAAAAAAGCTGTAGTTTTCTTTACTTAAAGACAAACAGAGACAGTAAATTATAAGATAAATCATCGTAATATTAATTTATTTCAATTTAAATAGATTGGATGCTAAACTCCACTTTGTTAGTAAACTTATCTTTTACTTAGTTTTTATACCATTTTTTAATGTTATAAGTAAACTAATATTACGAAAAGATTTTTGATTTCTATAAGAAACATGATATTTAACTTACAATTTAAAGAATTATATCCCTAAGTACTTTTGATATTATCTGTCTCGAGAAAAGTATAAACGAATAAATTGAACTGCAACTTACGTATTAAATATGCCACAGTCACAACACGAAATGGAACTTTTTCCGTAACGCCCGGCACGGTTCTTCCGACACGTGCGCCTTCGACGACGCACGGGGAAGCTCTGCTATACTTCGGTCATGGTTGTGGTCTGCAGAGCTTTCGTGATAATAAATGGCTCGAGATACGACTAGGAAATAATAGCTAATTCAATGCTCTTCTTAATATTTACAATAATAAGATAACGCATTTTAGTTGACCCGAGTCTAGTTTCCGAGTTGGTTTTCGTTAAAAATATCACACTTAGAATAAGAAGAAGATAACTCAATTATATCTATTTATTTCAATTTTACAACAATATACACAGCTATAAAAGCCACTCACTACAAATGGAAATCAAAATAAAAGCAAACGAAGTGTCAACAGAAAAATTCACAATTTGTTATAATAATATTAAGTGTAATGGTACGTCCAAGCATTTCACATCTTAAAGTATTTTAAAATAAAATATATAACACTCATTAGCAATTAATAACCGACCATAGAGGAGAAATTTCCGGGATAGTTACTAATTTACGCTATAAGTACGTCTCGCACATCCCTTTGGGATGAACAAAATTATTATTCCCGGATGGCAACCAGGGACCTTTAACTTTAATTAAAAAATGTTTTTACTAATAGTTATTCTTAGGATAGTAAATTTTCGGGGGGTTCACGACATCCTGCCATTCGTATCACTTATTTACGCATCGAACTGGTGGTAAAACGCATCACTTCTTCAAGAATTGCCCTCTCGATCACAACACTGCGAGCACAAAAAACGGGAAGGCATTCACCCCGTGACACTCTGAGGCTGATTAAACACACCATTCATGTTTGAGACCGGTTTGACTCGATACCTATAGGGCCCCGTAACGTATATTATGATCAATTAAATCTATATTAATAGTATAAAGCTGAAGAGTTTGTGCGCTGTGTGTTTGAAAATAGGTGAAGATGCCAGGTCAACTATTTACAATTTCTATGACACCTGATGGAGGATGAATAGGCCTTATTAGATAGACCAAACCGTAAATTTATATTTCTTTGCTTTATTCGTTTCATGCATTTCTCTATGAGCCAATGATTGTTTAACGACTCTTTCAACTAAATACATTTTTTATGAATTTTCAATTTCAATTTTCTATGGCTTATAATAAAAATCTATTTGGATTGAAAAAATATAACATGTTAAAGTTTTAAAACGAAACTCTGTGATTTCATTATCTTTCATTTCATTTCTTTAGCTGCAAACCGTAAGAAAATTCAATTCAAATCTCAATACACGTGAGTTAAGGCCGACAGTTACATTCACAGTTAACAAACATTCCACGAATACGTGTAAGATCACAAGACAGTAGTTCAATTGGATTAATTATAAATCCAATTTATAATTAATTCTAACTTATTCAAAAACTATATTTTTTTAGGAAATTTCTAAAGGCAACTTAAGAAAATAATAGTGTAGTATAGTAGGAGTAGTTTTTATAAATATGTATTCATTTAATTATAGTGTTCGCTTCAATAAAATGTAAGAAAAGTACTGAAACAAAAATACATACAAGTTTTCGATATCCAGTACTGTCTGTAGCTTACGCTAGTAATACACATTTAAATGAACCACTTTTAACTGTTTTAAGCGTGAAATATTGTTTAATGTACATTCGTGTTCCAGATCTTTAAAGTTTTAATCTGGGACACTATGGGTAGTAAGCGGTTAAAAACATAATATTTTTCAGATTGCTTATGATGGCACTATATTAATTAAAAATCGATTATAGATTAAAAAAAAATGACAATTATGAAATTACGGACAGGACTTGAACCGGCATCTACAGCGTTCCGTGGTGTTGTAAGTCAAGAAATTTTAACGTTATTGCCACAACTCGATTCTTATTAAGTCGCAGTTCCCATTTTAAATACAATATAAAAATTGTAAAATAAATCCCGGTACACTCGATACATAAACGTCGATACAGTAATAAAAGCTGAACCAAGTTACAACTTCGCGACACGTGCAACTTACACTTGAAAGTATTTATTTTTATCGCGCCATAAAATATCTACGACACATGTGAATCTCACACACAGAGAAAACATAATAAACATTTTTTTCATTGTATTATCTGTGCTTAATATAACAATTTGTGTAATCTTATGCGCTACGTTAGGTCCATCTAGATTCTAAGTAACCAACCAATCCACTTGATACTCAGCGATGTATACTGTTATATACAATTTCGTATATTAGCGCTATTGTATTTAAATGTTATATTTAAAACACACACATGTACCTACTCTAATAGATTCAATAAGTTTTTTGGTATAATAGACGCGTTATAAAATATAACAAATTAAATTAATATGAATATTTCTATGTTTAATAAACGAGACAGTTAAACAAAATTAAGAGCTCAAAAACAAGCCCTATTTTTTAATTAAGTTTTATTTTTAACATTGTGGCGACAACAAAGTATATTTTGTTCTTGCTTGTTTGTAATTTTTGTTTATTTTTAAGGTCAAATAAAAATAATATATATTATTTTAATTAAAATAAAATAAATATAATAAAACACACTAATTTTTATTCGAACAAGTCATTGTAAAAACCGCCTATTTATAATCTGTGTCCTATGCGTTGTCTATGAATAGAAAAAAAATGCCTATTATCTGTGGAACGTTGTGACGCGAATCATTATTAAGACGCACAAAAAATTGTGCGCTACCTATAAAAACCTCATACAATTAGGGTCTTATTCTTTGTGCATATTCTAATAATGTTTTTCGACGAAGATTTAATTAACGACCCACAGTTATCGAAAGCGTGGAAAGCTGCACATAGTGTAAACTTACCTAATAAGACGTCAGAGGAGGGAAGCATTTGCAAATTAACGTAAGTAACTTTAACTTGCTTTATTGTATAGGTGTTGAAGGCATTTTCGACTTTGTTAAGATTAAGTCGGAGATTATCTTTTTATTTTACAGTGTTAAACCAGTACATTCCTCGTATCTTAATACTTAACTACCCGCGGGAATCGTAATTATTATTTGCATAGAACTATTTCTTTCCAACTTGTCTACACTCGTGCTATAAAAATGTTAGAAATAATTTACTCTGTTTTTTATGACCGAGCAGGACAGACAGCATTACTTGATGGTAGCTTTGAATATTCGTTAAATACACACACTGAGCGCAAACACGAATCTACACTTCATGGCTTTTCATCTGTGGCCCGAACGAAAATCCGATATCCCTACTCGTACCACCCATTTGCATGACAGCAAATTCGAATCAAATAGATTTCCTTAGTTTATACAATTTGTTTCAGGGCAAAAATTACAGAGAGAATTTCAGAAGATCGACACATACCTAAGGCCCGTCTCTCTTTGAGGACAGCTTCTTGCCTCGTCGATGGGACTGTAAAATTACACGCCGCCAGTCTAAATAAGCTAATGAAAGGTATTGCTACAAAACAAAATTAATTTAATAACAACAAGTTAAATTGCACGTATGTTAAATTACGTAATAAATGTATTCATTAAATCGTTTTTCACAAGTCCTTTGTACCTGTATAATTTTTCAGAATTTCTCTTCATTGTTTTGTTGTGTGTCTGTTTTGAGTTTCCAAACGTTTCGACTACTAGAAATGTAATGAATAATAGGAATTTTAAAAAATCACAGATAGAATAGCCTTAACGCTTAAATCCGGATTTTGGAATGTTCAAAGCCAAAATAGGTTGAAATCAAATCTCAATTAACGTTGTACGGGTCCTTCCTCTTCCATCTGCGTTATATAACTTACTTTACATGAATGCCGACAATTAGTTGACACCAACATTGCTAATTATTATAATATGTTCGGTTCAACTCTTCAATTTTAGAAAAGAAGTAAGTGTGGCTTTTGTGTATGGTAAGTTCTATTTTTACTTTACACAAGTTAATAAAGGCTTAACTTTAACTTTTTATCTGAGAAGAAGAAGCGTTAAGATTATTTACTTCAGTTTCTCGGAAACAACGCGTTTTACGATAGGTGATTTCAAACACTCTATTTGTCTTGCATAGCTTTATGTACGTACTAGAGGTTCCGTGTTCGATTCCTTAGATGTTTTTCTTTGTAATGTAAGTGATCGCGCTTAATGTCAGTAGGTACTTACATTTACTTTTCTTTGCAGACTGTAAATATTTGTCGCCGATAGGTGAGACGCCAAGCGAAGGTAAAAACATTTTTTTTATATCTTTATATACTCTCACCAATTTATCAAACATCGATCGTTTGTATACATTTTCAAGGAATAGTAGATCAGCTTTAAGTTGCTGACTGAAAGAATTTATCAGAATCCCGTTGATTCCGATCTAAGACTTCTACCCAACAATGCAGAGTGTTCAGAGCTGGGCCACGATGTAGATCAATTTAATTCCTTCGACCTTGGACACGACACCTCTTATTTTGTATATTTTTTACAGATAAAGATGTGCTTCAATCGGATATAGAGTCGAAATCAACAACGAACGAAGGCAACGATCTATGTATGTATGACAAGTCATTTATGATTTACTAGCTGTGTTAGCGAATTCGTAGAATATTTGCGCGTAGAATAGTTATTTTCATCTTTATAAATTTAGACTGCTATCCGACATCGAACTACGTATCTGCTATTCGAACCAGTAGTTCCTGAGATAAGCGCGTTCAAACAAACAAACAAACAAACTTTATATATTAGTATACATAAGTTATATACGGTTTTCGCGGCTGTTTTGTAAATGAGACTGAAGAACTCAGAAATGCAACCAATTTATACCACGATACTGAACGTTTAAAATAGTTGAAATCGTTTTTTAGTCCAAACTGTCCACGAGAGAAACGTCTAGAACCATTCCGTAATAGGGATGTCTGCATCGAATTTATTATTATTGAGTAGCAAAGGCAAATACAATATCTAGATTTTATTTTAAGATTTCCTGTGAAAAATAATTCCGAAAAACTTTCATCAATTATTTTAGTTGTATAAGCAAATTTTATAAATATATGGCAATTAATACATTTTACAGCGGACACGCAAGAAGACTTCAGCCTACCAGAATCTAAGACAGTCTCTACGAATGGTATGCGTTTTGTTTTGCGAGTAATTTATTTCAAGTAATTTATTCCAGACCAAAGAATAGACCAGAAATTAAACAATTTTATAGAAAAATGTATGAATGGGTCACAATCATCATGTACATCGCTCCGCTGTTGCTAAAACTACGGATTTATTGCAGCGCGAATTAAATGCACTCTGAATTGGCTTACTACTTGCTTGTCCATATTTGGTGACCATCATTCTTCCATTGTATATATTCCATTGATAAGAACGATCTTGAATGCGGGGAATGGAATCAAAGCGAAACGAAAGAGTACTGTACATACTTGTATCTATTTTACTTACAGACTCTGAAGAGAACCGGTCTGAGGAAGAGCCTGAAATGGATGCAACGACAAGTAAAGGTAAAAATACGGTCCAACGGACTATTCGAGCGATTTGTGGTCTTTCTCTTGTCCAAGGAAGTTTTCGAAGTTTCAATTTAAATCAAAAATTTGTACATAAGCAACTTAAAGGCTCCATACAACTCGTAAATCTGTTCCAGATAATTAATTTCAAAGATTATTAACTTTCCCAGTGAATAGTCTCACTGTCAATAAAAACTTTTTAGCAGGGTTATCCCTGTAAATCAATATTACAATATTTCTTATCACTACTTCCCCCAAGTAAAATTTTACAAAGTAAGTACCTATTTTTTATGAACAGGTGACTAGTAGTTAGTAGTCTCACTATTTTTTTTGCGTGCAAGAGTTTACGTAGACCTTTAAGTCCCCGGCTGTTTTCACGCGCCATGTTTATATGCTAGCTACGATGGAGGTTTGGGATTTGGCCACGATAGAAGTCAATGTATTTCAACATATCTCTCATTCCGTGTATTTTTCCAGGTACAGAAGATTCCCTTAAATCTGAGGGAGAGGCACGATCAACGAGTTATGATGGTAAATAATATCTGCCTACGTTTTATTATTATATAGATTAGTAAAAACTGCTCACTAAAAAAAAGGAATAGAAGTGTAAGCAGCACATATCATTGCCTATCGATTGATAGATAAACAAAATTAGGTACAATAATTCCCTATTGTAACCTTATTTAGTTATTTCAAGTACTAACATGTGGAATTATTGATATTTAACAAAAACGACAAATAAGGGCAAAAAAAAGGTGTTTATTGTATTAGAGCCCTACTTGGATCGATTCTGTAGCTAACCCGGTTCTTGAGAGTTGAGATACGTGGTGACAGACATACAGCGAAATCTTTGTCCGCTGTTTAGCTTTTGGATACGGAATCCTATAAAATGGTGAAGCGATTCATACTTCAAAAGTTACGCACATAAATAACCTACTATTATTTTCTTAGTCTTTCATTAAGAGTTTTCTACTTATAATTTTATTTTTATTTAAGACTTGTTTAATAATCCTAGTCATCCCATCAAAGTAATGAAAAGATACTTTATTATCTGAGACAAACTTTAATTACATTTTCTAGATTCGCATCCACCAAGCAAGAGACGACGTGAAGAACACTCGGACGCGCGACATGATCGTGAAGAGGAGATGAGCCGAGAAATACAAGCAAGTAGCTCACATAACTTATATTATAAGTCTGCATATAGTGAAAAGCATGCAAACCGAGGGACTTCTTCCTTGTGATATATCTGGCAAAAGTATTGCGGGGTCGAGAGTTGAACCCCGGAGTTCTACAGTCCTTACACTTGTCGGTTCCGGACCGATACGTGTGGAGGCGATTACGTCCACCGCCTTGCAACCGGTCCTTAGATCGAAATCCGTGACAAAAATTCTCGTGTAGTCTCAGATATATTTTGGCGATTCACTTTGATTGCTAATTACACGTATAATTGATCTTTCAGGAGCCGCAAATGTCTCGTATCAAGTATCCAATGGCGTATATAATTTTGTTCGACAGCAATATGGTGCCCAGAAAAATCATCTACAGTGCTATTCGCGAAGATTACTTCCAAGACGATAATAATTAATTGTAGATATATAAGAGAGCGAGATTGCGATGAAAAATTGTCTGTTAGTTAACTGTTTATAATATATTTGTAAACTTTACAGTGAATTATATAGTGAGTGTAAAACACTTTAACGGTTTAAAACACTTAATTATTGTGCAGCAGCCAGCCGTGCTCACGGGGAGACTAAAGGCTTGGGCACCAAAAGCGGGGCAGGCGCAGCCCCGTAGCAGAGCAGGTCAGTTGCGTCGCGTTTGACGTCACACCAGAAACATGAGTCAGAAAGCAGTTTAAGGGCGGTTCCTGCTTTATATCTACGCTATGTGTGTCGTATCGATCGCCACACTCAGTAAACTGCAAGATGTTGAATGTTTCGGACTCTGACGAAGAGAAGCTATTTTTGCTTCTAGCCGTAGATAAAAAAAAGAATATGGGTTCCCTGACGTCAAAGTAAAAAACTGCTACGCTAGCGCCATCTGTTCCGTCAAAATTGTCATTTGCTGAAACTGGCCGGCTCTTTGCAGAATTAATAACGTAGTTAAAATAATTTTCAAATAACTCTAACTGGCATATATCGCGTTTCAAACCGTTAAAATATGATTCACAGTCAAATATCCAATTGACATATATTATTACAAGTATGGTAAGATTTGAGATTAAGGAGAATTTGTATATGATTGTCGTAAATCAGAGATACGAGATAATATCAGTTTGTTGTTTAGCAGAAACGACCGCATTTATATAGTTTATAATGATTGTTACTATATTATTAATTTTTCTTTGTGGTGTATGATTATGAGAGCGAGATTCGATTTAGCATAGTACCGACAAATTGTTGTTTGTTTTGTTATTAGTTTGTTACGAGTTTAAATAGATATTTATATCTTTATTTTTTATTCTGCAGTAAAAATATAGGTAAATGATGAACTGTATGATCGAGTAAATGTCCTTCACATTTACTCGATCATCCAGTTGAACAATCAGTTTAATGTCTAAATATTTAGATATTTACTTAAACAACACGTGGTGGTGGATGAATGTGTACAGAGCAAACTAGAGACGCGCTAGGTGTGTTTCAATAATAAATCAGACTATTAACGAAATCATGCAAACATGTTTATAATTATAAACTGGTTTATTCAGTACTCTGTGATGATAGCAATTCTCTCACCGTAGAGTTGCGGTTTCCCAAACCAAAATTCTTTGAAGCACCTTCTCCGCTGTTCGTTACGTCAAGTACACTTCTGATGCAATCTCCCTGCTTGCATTTCATCTCTGAAAAGCGAGATGCAATAAAACTGTAAAGAAAATAAAATAAATCCTCTTTCTTAATCCCTTTTATCCTACGAATATTATAAGTGCGTTTGTAAGGCTGTACGTTGGGCACAATGACTTAACTGATATTGAGAAGATTTGCTGTCAATGTTGTCGCTCATATTGGCTTTGTATTTGAAAATATCTCTTCATCAAAGTGGGTTCGTCTGAAAAATTAGTATTAAGCTTAAGAATAGCGAAGATAAAAAGAATATTAATTTATTGATTGTTCATTTGTCCGTAGTAATGTAATATGGGATATTTCGCCTTCCATCAAGAGCTTGCTTGGCTGCAAAGCAAGCCAAGCAAGCTTGTGCAAGCAAGTGCCTAAATATACTTCTAGAACTATATTTAGTCACATTAGACGTTACTGCCACCGAAACAGCGTGGTGGATATACGCTCTTAAACCCTCCATCCTTTGAGACACGTCCCCAGCTGTGGTAAACATACATTGAGACAGACAGATCGCATTTATATTAATAGTATTAGGTGTCATCAGGTGAATCTGCTGTCAGGATCAGTTCTTTCAAAACTGTGAAACTACATTATTGGAAAAGTGTCGGACTAAAATAGAACTTATATCGGAGGATCGAGTTGTAAAGGCGTTGACAGACGTTCCAGGTAAATATTTCAATTTAATACTCTACTTTCACTTCACTTCAGTAATTTGAGGATTTTACACCATTTAGGTAACATATTCACACCCAAAGGATATAAACCTCGTGACCTTATTCATGGATTAAATTATGTTTTTCTTGAACTCGCAAAATATTAAATGGATTTTAACAAAATCTAGTCATGTACAATATACGTTTTATCGGTTACACTTCCATCTGTGTGACGACGCCCTAATCAAAGCGTGTCTTGACATGGCAGTGTAATGCTTTGGGTCGCCCATACATTTAAGATTCGACAAGACTTGCTATTTCATATGTGTATGACATATCGAATTACATTTGGATGAATAAACATTAAAAATAAATATATTATCTATACTTCTATATTAATATTCTAAATGCGAAAGTAACTCCGTCTGCCTGTCGGCTTTAACTCCGAAATTTTAATGTCAAAAAGGATTGATAGGGGTCGAAAAAGGGGATGAGAGTTTGTATGGAAATTCGTGGTTTTTGAAGCTAGAACAATGAAACTTTTTTCCTTGGCTTTTTGGGAATAGGAGTGGACGTGGGCGAGAGTGTAGGAATGAGAGGTGAGGGTGTTGCGGCAAGTAGCACTTACACATAGATTGGCTGCTTTAAATGCACCCTTATATAAATTAATAAACAGCCTCAATAATTAAAAATTCTACCCCAAGTCACTTTTCCACGCGGACGAAGTCGGGCCACAGCTAGTATTTCATATTTTATAAATTACTTTTAACAATTATTGAATTACTGAATAAATCAATCAGTCGCTTGTTATATCTATATATGAGGCTGCTAGTGGCAGAGTGGCCTAATAACAAAAAAACATGATTTTCAATAAGGAGGAAAATAAAAATGCGCAATTAACTTAGGCGAAAATTAATTTTACAATTGTTTGTGTAAAAATTGTGTTAGCAATTTTGTTACCATATGAATTGTAGCTTAACATTTTTAGACAATAAAAATAAGTTAAGTCATAAATTTGCCGCTAGCCTGATATATAATGGTATATATATTAAAAGGAACCCCTTCAGCAGGGTCATAGCGAGCTCATTACTGGTTTTATTTGCTTCCGTTCCCATTCAATTTTCTCAGTCATCAACCGTTCAGCCGGCCCATTCATTCTCCGTACATAATCATACGGTCTATTTGTTTTGTTACGCCAATCTTCCATTACATGAAACGAAATAATAAATAGACCAGGATTTTTATATTAGGAGGATTTTATTTAATAAAGTTGATTGTTTTAATGCAAAAATGTAACAAATGTATTTTAATAGTGACAACACTGGGACTTTAAAAATATTTTTGTTCTACTAATCGTACAGAGCTATGCTAATGCTCTTTTACCAACAAAGATAATTCATTATTCCTTATATTGTTAAAATACAATCAGAGATCGAAGTTACAAATCAGGCAGATTTTAATGAATCAACTTTTTTTAATTGCTCTAACTTGGTCAAATTCGATTCAATTCAATGAAGATTACTTTAGTTAGTATGATTGTTTTAAGTTAAGGTATCTATTATTAAAGCCGCGATAATGAAACATCAAGTTAATGAAAAGGTCTGGCAAAACTTGGCTTGTTCCTGACAGAACCATAACATTTTTCCAATGGCGTGTTTCTTGTTTCACTTTTTGTTACATTTTTAATGCATGTCCATTCAAACTGGCGGCTTCGGTAGGTAATTCGAGTCGTATGCACTATCCACCTCTTTTTTTTAAAAAGATATTTTACATGTAATTAAAAGTGTGGTCTGATATTATGAATAAATAATATATATATATATAAAATATAGTAAATTGTGTAAAGCCTTCACGGTCATCGTTCAGCATATTTTCTTTCGGCCTGTTTGGGAGAGCGAGAGCATGAGGACGGCATCATCAGATGTAGTTAGCTCCTCGATTGCTCGGGGAATTTTAATTATAATACTTTAACAACAAATATGGATATTTGTTATTAAAATTACAAACCTACGATTTACAACAGTTGAACATATGCAATTTTTGTTCTGAAAACTTAGTTTTTTTAAATAGATTCATGGATTAAAGTAAAGATTGAACTTCGGGCCTGTCTCAATTTTAAGAAGTGTTGCCGAGTCAACTCCTATGCGAGTCTATCTTTCTGTATCATAAAGACAAACCTCAATGAAATTTTTTTTCTAATGTTTATTGAAAAAAATCAGGTCTTAGGACATCTTCTAACACATCTCACATTTGTATGGCTCAACAAAACAAAAACTCTAGTACGCAATAGTAATAAAAATAGAGGAAATCGTATCGTGGCCATAACGCCAATTTGTAGAAGAAACCAAAGTCTATCAAACTTTTCACTTGACTTTAGTTTCCTATTGTCCACAGTTTCTAAAATTAAATATAATTCTATATCACACAGCTGACATAGATATACAACTATAATCTGAAATAGTAACAAAAACAATTTCCGGCTCTTTATACAAAGAGAGCTTATCCTCCATATTATTGGGGCTCAACTATCAACGGTAAGTTGTTAAGCAACAATATTCATTTGTTTAGACTAGGTAAACTGGAGGAATCAATGGGAGAAATTTGTGTCCATAGAATTTTCACTCTTTATAAGTAATTTACAACCAATAAGGCATATAATTTTTTATCATATTTTTTTCTGTATTAATTAACTTGTTCAACTGAATCCAAAAAGAAAAGAATCCTGAAAGATAAACCAATTCTTGAAACAATGATATCATACATTCAATCATGACTTCGCTGTCAACCATTAAACTTATTTAAAATCAGTCAAAATAAAGATATCTCTTACAAATTCTAACAACGAGTTTTAAGTAAACTATCATACAAATTAAGAATGCTTAAATCACAGATATGAGGTCGCCTCGGCACATTGTTCACAATGACACGTTCACCTTATGTCCATCACTTATTTACATGTTCGCTTATTGGCTTTTCCATCTTTTTCACGACTACCCTCGGATTTACATTGAGTATATCGCTTAGCCTCTGGAAGGTCACCGGCACGACCGTGTTGTAAAACGGCATTAGGGTCGTCACGTTCTCGAGACCGTCGGCCGAGAATGTAGTCCCATAGAAAGAGTATTCATTGTAATTCATCGGCAATTTGGTAGTAGACTTTCGAGCTACCGATTTAGTCCATGGCAATTTAGTGGTAGATTTTCTAGCCACTTTTCGTCGCGGCGACGGCGTCACCTCAGCCAATGTGTCTTCTTCGTCGTCCAGCACGATGACGTCCTTCGATAAGCGGCGCTCGATCGTAGCGTACTCCATTGACTTAGCGTGCATCGCTTCGATATGAGCCCTCAAGTCTTTCTTGAGGCTAAACTTCTGCGGGCACAAGGTGCACGCTTGGTTGGGGCGGTGCTCATGAGACAATTTGTAGAAAACATAGTTTCCATCGTTCGGGTGCTTAATCTTACTGTGTTCTTGGAACTTCCCGATATCCTTGTGCAGCGTATTGCACGTGGAACACCGCACAATCACTTCACCAAACCTACCAAACTCTGGCTCGATATTATCGTGTATATGATCCGAGACGTCCATCTCCATGACGGGGGACTGACAAGTCAGACAGACGCAGTACGCAAAGGATTGGACCTTCTTATTTTTCCTGAGATATTCATTTGGCGGTTCATTTGGCACTTCGGTAGTTTCAATTTTCATTGGTTTCATTGCGTGGTAAATCTTCTGATGCTTTTGAAGACTTCTAAGAGGACCTGTGAGCTTGCAGTATACACAGATGTATGGTTTAAGGCCGTAATGTCGCAGCAGATGTTCCGTCAACGTCTTCTTATTGCTCGATATAAAAGGACAATGGTCGCAAGTTAACGTGGCTTTTCTTTTTCTGCCTCTTTGCTGCTCGGCGATGACTAGTCGCTCGTCGTCACTGTCCCGATTTGAAGTCGCTTGTATCTCAGGTGTTGGCACCGTTTCTTCATATCTGACAACGAGGAGAGAATTCTCTGGAGGCTCCGGCGACTCGCTATGTTTTTCAGGTGTTTCACAATTCATGCTGAGTTTCTGACATTCCAGTACAGCATCGACCCAGGCCGTTCTGAGCGTAGAGTCTCTCGGCGCCTCCAGCGGCCGAGAGGATTGGCCCAAGTGGGTTTTACAATGGAACTGGGCTTGATGGTATGATTGGAATGTTTTAGGGCAAACACTGCAGCACCACCTGAAACATGTTGAAACAAAATATTAAAGCTAACACTAATTACTGTTGGTATGGAAAAAGTGACAACACAACATTGTATTATCATTTGTCTGTATGTTTACACGGTATGTACAGTACCCAGTCAATAGTAAAGTAAACTACACAGTATCTGACATTACATCAATTCAATTTAGATTTGGGACGATAGTCTCGGCTAACTTTCACACCTTAAGAAATGACATACGTGGAAAAAAGGCGAATGCTAGTAATTAATAAACATAAATATCAAAGTCCAAAAGTCAGCTGTACCTTATTTTGTTCAACTCGCTTTCCAAATGATCACGCATATTGCACTCCTCTTTAATGAGCTCGTTACACTTGGGGCAGCAAAAGGACATGCTTTTCGACTGTCCTAATGCGCCAAATTGTCTCTCCAATTCCTCCTTATTGGGTTTATCCTGTGCATTCCTCGATGGAGACGAAGCTTGCGTCTGGACTTTTTGCTGTTGTAAGGGTTCTGTATTTTTGCGGATTTCTGCCTTTTGCTGATCAAGTTTCTCCTTGGCTAAGTTAATTATCGCCTCTTGATGCTCCAAAAGTTTAGTGACCCAAGTTTCCACTCGGACATCTACAGGTAATTCCACAGGGTCACGGTTTTGGTGATGTTCCGATTGCATGTGTTCTGTTAAGCCTTGCCTATGGAATGCTTTGTAGAAACAAATGCTGCAACTCCATCTAGAAGAAATATACCATATTAGGCACATGTGTAATAGTGTTATATACGCTAAAATGTGTCAAATAAATTCATATGTGAAAATTAATGTGTTAAGTGTAAATTTACACCTAAATTGTATGACGGCCGAACAATTCGAAAACTAAAATAGGTAAGTAAGACTAATTTGACAAATGATATAGTATGGATTAAAGATTATATATTTAGGGGCAAATCTTACCTGATCAAATTAAATAAAGTATTTGAATATAAAGAAATACATTTTGTATACTCACTTTCTATACTGCAATTCCTCAAACAAATGTGATTGCATTGCCACCTTCGTATCCTCAATTACTTGTTTGCACAAGGGACACTTGTATTTCAAGCCGTTTGGTTCACAGAACTGTCCGAATCGTTCACAAAGTTCCTCCATACTATCCTCCGAAGTTTCCTTGGCTTCTTGCTTGACTATATTCAGATTCACAACCGGTGCGTCACTTTGTATCGTCGTAGTCTGTGCGATAGGGGTCGGACTAGTAGCCTTCTCAGTCTTCACTTTGGTTTCAGTCAAATTGTACTTATTCCTCTGCATCTCCCAGAACGGCAATCCATCCGGCTCGGGTATTGAACCTTCTCGGTAGTAAAAATAGAAGGTCACAGCGGGTTTACCTTGGTGCGACTTGGCTTGGTGCTTCGTCACGTTCTCTATATTCGAAGTTCTGAAAGCGCAATACACACACTTGAATTGCATCTTCGAGTTGTGTAACTTGGCGCAGTGTTCAGAAACTTCGGGACGTAGAAGGCTTTTGAACTCGCAGAGGCCACATTGCCACGGCTTCAGGTCCATGGTGGGAGCGGGAGCGGCGGTGGCCTGAGGCACGACCTCTTTTGCTTCTTCTCTCACGGTCATGACCTTGCACTCCTTATGAATTTCATTCATGTGCCTTTCTACAACTTGGCGTTTGTAGTGGTAGAAGGTGCATCTCGAGCAGGCATATAGCCTCACGTCGTGCATCCTCAAGTGGGCGATGATACGGGAGGCCGTCAACGGCGTTTTCGTGTCCAACGTCTGGTACGGAGGACAGTGTACGCAATGGAAGTCATTGCTGCCGGAATGTAAAGTCTCCCAGTGGTATTTGAGCATACTTTCGTCCGACGATATGTAGAGGCAGTTTTTCGCTCCGCACGTGTGACGAGTCCTCTCCGGAACATATTTGGGATACCGGGACGTTTTGTCTGGTGAAATCATGTGGGTCACAACGGGTTCGCTCCTGATGTTCTTGTCTTGTCTAGTGAGCAGCGAACTGGAAGCTAGATTTACCATCTTGTCGAAGTGTTTTTCGTTGGTTTCCAGATGCGGCACAGGATTGACGGGGGCGGTTTGCGGCACCGGTTGCTGATTCGCGTGCAATTGCAAATGGCGGACCATATTCAACCTGACCTTCGTGGAGAACTCGCACAAAGAGCAATGAATGGATTCATCGAATATAGGATTAATGGGCAGCAGGTTGACGTCTTGAGGACCGAACTTCTTCATTTTCGCCGGCGGTTCCCCGCCAATGCTCGCCGCCGATTTGCGCCGCAGAGTCACCCTCTTCGTCACTTCTCTAATTTTCACTTTGTCGACCACCTTGTTGATAATGTTGATTTCTGTCGCGTCGTGCTCGTCCTTGTGGTGTTTCTTGATCGCCTCCGTAGACATGAACGTGGCGCCGCAATCTCCGCAGTCGTGCCTCATATTGTTGGTTAACTTAACTTGATGGGTTTTGTTGTAGTGGGTTACGATGCGCGATTTACGGCCTTTAAATTGGCAGAATGCGCACGGCACGATGTCTCTGTTTTCGAAGCAGCCCTTTAGGTGCTGTCTAAATCCTACTGCGTTCTTCGATAGCGAACCACATTCGGAGCACTTGTAGAGGTAACTCAGTGGAAACGTCATTGGTTTCGACTGAATTTCGACTTCAGCCGGAACATTAGATGTTGTGGATATATTGGAAGCGCTAGAGACGTCGAGTCCATCTTCGTCACTGTCTATGCAAATTATATCCGAAGAGGTTTGCTGCGGTGTTGTCGACGCTCGTATCATCGATTCTTGTTTGATGATGGGCGTGGTTTGTTGCTCTAGCGCAATGGGCACCGGTGGTGTACAGGGCCTAACTTCCGGGGCAAAATCGAGGATAGTATCCAGCGCACGACCTTCGGGGCTCTGTTCCGAGGGACCATCCGCACTAGGCTCGGACGCAGGCTCTCTATACGTGGCGCTGTGGCCGATAAGCTTCTCCAGGTCGACTGATCTCTCTGCCTCTCTGACGGGATTGTCTCTTATACTAGACGGAGGCACGTCTATTGTTAGTGCGTTCGTTTTGTTTAAGTGCGCCAAAGGCAGAACTCTGTACTCTTTTGTTCCTTCCTGAAAAGCGTACATATTTCACATAAGTACTAATTTTCATATTTAATAAAGCATATGGGAAGACTACTTTCTAAATAAGAGATAATAAACTATAATATGGTGTCTTCACATACAAGAACACATCGACAATTTTTATTTGGTGAAATATACATTTACGCACAACTGGGCGATCTACCCACAGACTTAATAATATATAATGTTGGATAAACACAACAATATATATAAATATAATTAAGTATATAAATTCAAATCACATTTATTTTTGTTTAATATAAATAAATTTAATTTTACCTTGTTCGTAATAACTCTCAGATACGCTTGAGGCTGATAAATAGAGTGGTAGATAGACGCATGAGTTAACAATTCCTTCTCAGAGTCCGCGCCGAACACGCACCGCGCGCATTGGTACAGCTTTAGTCCATGGGTTTTGTAATGGTGAATTATCTCTGCCACATTCTGCGAGGTCAATTGACAAATCTGAGAGCAGAAATTATTTTATTATAGCTTTTTCATTTAATGATATTATACAAAATATATATGTATATTTTTTAATAAATAAGATAATATTTAAGGTAAATTGAGCTGTAGACGGCCCATTAATTATAAAGCAAGATGGACTCACATAGCATTCATATACTTCAGCATTGGGGTGTTTACTTTTCATATGTTCACACAGCTTTCCTGGCGTGTAAGTCTTGAATTTACACTTCGAATTATCCTCATCTGTAATTAGTGAATAATGCTTATCTCGGTGTTCTTATAACTTTTATCTGCAGCTTATTCTACTGTTGCGAGACGATTAATTGTTTTAAAAAAGTCATCCGGCGTTCGTTGTCACCCAATGAGTTGAAGGTATATTACCGCACAGTAATATAACAACATTCCCTTGTTTTGTAAATAGAGAAATGTCAGCATTGTAAAGCAGCTATTGTAACGAAGAGCTGATATAATTTTGTTTCAATTCAAGTTTTAAATGCTTTTAAAGTTCTCGGACAGACGTTTGACAAACTGACATTTTATTCCAAAAATCACTTAACGGCTTAAAATAATGTCATCCGACAACAGCAAAGCTTAAAGAATCCTAATAAACGACATGCAAAACTTATTAAATATTAGACAAGTTATAATGGCACGAATGACACGATTCAAAATCACAGTTCCATACACTTTGTACTTATTTTGTTTATTAATAATTTTTACTTCAGCCATAGGTACCCATAACTTAACTTACCACAATTACAAACGTAGTGCGGCACGGCATCTTCTCTCGATAGCATCTGGCTGTCTTCTGGCGGCTCCGTTGTGAACGATGTCTTGAGCACCTTTTTGATGGGCATAGTCGCATGAATCCTATCGATGTGCGCGTTAACCATTTGACTGGACACCGCTCTGTAGAAGCAGTAGCAACATGCGTACTGGCAGAAGCCGTGGCTCTTGAAAACGTGTGTCACCAAGTCTATCGCGTTGTCTAGGGAATTAAAGTCGCAGTACGCGCACTTCAACGCGTTCTCTCCGCCCACGCGCGAATGGGTCGTGACGTGGTGCAACGCGTCCTCTGCGCTGTCCGTTGTGTACGAGCAGAAGCGTCCCGCGCACTTAAACACGTGCACCAACTTCTCATACGACAACATTGTGTCCAGTATAATCCTGTTCTTTTTCAACATAATCTCGGCTTGGGCTTCTTCGTACAAGTGAACTGTAGGTGTCTCCGTTGCCACTGCAGGTAGGCCCGAAATATGCGGGTCACCTAGGCTCATCACGCTCTTTATTACGGGCAATGGGGAACCGGGGATTGTAGGGGTATCGTGAGCTTTCGATATTAGTTCCGCCAATGGCCTGACAGATAAAAATGGTTTGGGTGAACTTCGAGCGGGCTCGGAGATGCCGAAGGTCGAGCGGGCTGTTCGATGACCTGCTTTTCTAGTGACTCCAAAACGGGAAAACCGTCAGGATGATTATCCGTAAAATGCTGCAGACAAGTCTTAAATAAATGGGCTCCTTGGGGCATGACAATAGCTTTACAAACGTGACAATAACCGTCCCACTTTTCAGAGTGCGACGCGACATGTTTTTTAAATGAAATCATTAGCGACGTCTTGTAGTGATTGTGATGTTGATTAATACAACAAACGTACTGTTTGCTACCTGTTTCTGTAAACGTGACGTTAAAATGAGGCAATTCATTAATGTCTTTAACTGATTCATTTACCCCTTCTTCTGGCCCTTCGTTCGCGTCTAAAGCGGGGATCAAATCGGTACCATTATCTGAGTTGACCTCTGCTTCTTTAACTTCGATATCTCTCTTCTCTTCTTTTACTTTAAATCTATCGACTATTTGCATAGACAGTTTAGTGATATTATCGTAATCAGTATCATTTTCAAATGTTATCTTAGATTGGTTTTTCTTCTGTCCCTTAATGTTTTCGATATTTAAATCCTGTAAATTGCTCGATGCCGCCGTATTGCTCATATCATTTTCTTTTTCTTTGTAATCGACAAGGTCAGGACTTATGTTAGACCTTGAACTTCTCAAAACACGTTGCTCCTCTTTACTAGTTTTTGGTCGTTTTAACAGTGTATTTATAGACTTTGTTGACATGTGAGACAAATTAATAGTGTATACTTCAGTCTTTTCATCGTTATGCCGTGAGATAACGTGGCTCTTCAGATTTTCTAATGATATTTGAGTGTAGTTACAATTTCCACAGACATATCCGGTCACATGACCCTTTTCCTTATTTGGTGGTGGAGGGATGTCCAAACTAAATGGACATACTTTATCTGTATCGCAAATTGAACAGTCATACTTGTATTCTCCAGTGTGGACACTTACCACGTGCCAAAAGAAGCTTTCAAAACTCTTGCAACTTGCGAATTCTTTGAAACAAAACCGACATACGTAACGTTGGCTCGGAACTGCACCGATAGCTTGAAAATCTATTTTTTCACATTGCTTAATGGCCTCCTGCGCCACATCTGGACTCATACGAGATAAAGGTATTTCACTGTGCGGGTGCTTTGTTTTATAATGATGTACAATCGCACTGTCTTTTTCTGAACATAATCGGCAATCGTAGATTAAAACATTTTTTGAAAAACAGTAAAGTTTATCAATATAACAGTTAGGATCAAGCAACTTGGCTTCGAAGGCTAGTTTAGGTAGAGGATCACTATCAGTTTTTATCTTCGAGATTTGGTTTTTCTTTTTCTTGTTTTTGGGTACAATTACTCCCGATTGCCACGCAGAACGCTTGCGCTTCGTTTTTTTCTTAGCCTCTGGAGTACGTCGCTCTGGTAAATCACTCTTACAAGAGTCTGGTCCGAGAGAAGACTCGCTATCGTATTCGGAAGAGTCATCTTTTTTTTCACTAGTACAAATGGATTCGCCTACCGATTCGGTTTCAAAGACATATGGATCTTTTTGAGATTCATTTTCATTAGTATACATGGACTTAGTCGAGCTTTGGGAATTTGAATCTTCATATATTTTTACCTTTTCCGATGACGCATTCCGGTCTGTTGAGTTTAAACTTTTTGACTTCTTAGCAGTTTTTTTTTTAATATTCTTGTCACCTATATCTGACGAATTGTCATTACTGGAAGTCTTTATTATATCTTCTTGGAGATTTTGTGATTTATCATTTTGAGATTTACTATCAACTAATTTAGCTAAACGACACATTCGTAGCCCTGTTGTACCGTCTAAGATTTCTTTATCATCTTTTAAAAACATCTCGCGAATGTCTGCCTGTAAGTTTAATACCTCTCTCGAAGGTTTTTTAGTTTTAGGAATAACGCTAGTATTTTTTTTTGCATTTTTAATACTCGCAACTCCTTTATTTAACGTTTTCTGTTTTCGTCCTCTTTTTTGGATTTTCACTTCTTTTTCTACTAACTGTTTAGGGGAAGTTAGAGGTTCTACTCCAATTTCTGGTTCCTTCGCTTGTTGGAACGAATCTTTACTACTATGTAAATTATGTGGTGTTTCATGGAATTCTACGTTTTTAGGATCGTTTATTGCTTCCTCCTCCTTATCTTTTTTATCTAAATTCTCCACAACAGTATTAACTTGGATTTCAGTAACTTCATTATAGCTGTCTTTGTTCAAAGTACATTCTGTTTTGTTTTTATTATTTTTGTTCGTAACGGCATCTTTAGATCCGTTATCGTTTTCTTCGTCATCGGATACAATTTCACTAAGCTTTTCTAGTTTTCTTTTTATTTTCGCATGTTCTGATGATGAATCACCTAGTAAACTTAATACTTCTTTTATCTTAGTTTTATCTTGAAGTATTGATAAAAAATTTCCGATAGAATCACTTCTTTCTGCACGTTCAGATTGATGACTATTTGGGGACTTTTTGTTTTGGGTTTCGGATATTAAATTTGATGACGAAATATCATTGAAATCATTTGTGCTATCGGGTACATTTTCGTCTGCCAATTTAGATTGGTTTTCAACATTTATGGTGCTATCAGGTGTTGCCAAACTATCAACTGTTGTATTTTTTTCTCGAGTTTCATTATTCTTATCTTTAAGGCTTTGAACTTCTTCTTTTGTAGTAGAAACCGTTGCATCATTACTATCGTTATTAATCAAACTATCCTTAACTTCACCAGTCTTTTGTTCATAAATATTTTCGTTATTTTTAGAACTGATACTGGCTGAACTGTTAATGTTTTTAGAAATATCATTTACTTCTATTGATACATTTTCATCTGGTTTATTTATCTTATCATTACTATTCATGCTATTTACAGTTATGTTTTCTAACATATTTTCCATGGTGATCTCTTGTGTAAATGGACCGCGTGATTCATTGTTTTTTTCCACGTCTAAATCATGATCTAAATCTGCTATTAATGCATTTATATTATCTAAAACAGGATCAGTTGTTATGGTATCAGAAAATATTTCTAGATCGGCAAAATTGGAATGAAATTCGTCTGATTCCTTATTTGGTTCAGGGTCTTCGGTATTGTCATTTATATGGCTTTCTTTATTGGTATGCTCAGCCATATAATCGCTAGTTTTTTCATCAAGTTTTTGCGTGGAATAAGGAGTATTTGATGGAGTTATTTCATTAGTTTCATTATTAATAGTTTTATTTCGGTCTTTATTGTTTTCGGCAACAGTAGTTTCAGCCGTATTTTCCAACTTTAGAGCAACCTTTTCAGAACTTTTATCAATTGTCGTGACATTGCAACCAGAACTTGTTAAATTATTTATATCCGGGTTCGCGATAATGTCCTCATAATTAACTTCACTTTTATAATTCTTTTCGGATTGTGGCAAAACCACATCTAAATTGACATCAACTACCGGCATTAACCGATTGGAATTCTTCATTGTACTGGATTGTTGACTTGTATCTTCAATATTTACTTTTTTAATTTCAACTCCTCTTTCGACAGTTGTGTTTTTTCGTTGCGACATAGCATTATTGCTTTTGTCATTTTTATCATCAGAATCTGAGTCTTCGTATATAATTGTTCTTTTATACTTCCTAATTGATTTTGATGGTGAAACATCGGTGACATTCGTGTTATTTGTTGCTGATCTTGTAACACGTCTTTCTAAAGTTTCGCTCGAGTCTACCTTTTCTGCTCCACGATGATAAGATGACGAAGCATTCTCATTTACACTTTTGTACAAATCTTTGACTTTCTGTAGTTCGATTTCTTTTGAGTCATTTATATCATTATCGTTCCTCTGGAATTTCAATATCTCCTTTTGAAACTCACCAGTGTCCTTCGATGTTACGTACACAACAATTTCTTTACTTTCTGTATTCGTTTTACTGTTATTTTCACTTGAAGAGTTTTCTTTAGTAATAAGTTTAGTACTAGATGGTTCATGTTCTTGGACATTTTCACTTACAACAGTTTTTTCTGGTGATCGTTTTATTTTTGGTATTTTATAATTTTTGACGCTACTACTTGCACCTATAGTAATGGCACCCGCGGAAATATTGCTATCGGTGTATACTATACCAGACTTTTTTGTGTCACCAATTGGACTTGTTTTTACTTTACTATTCTCTGCCCTATCAAATCTTGATTCGCGCCGCATTCTAGGATCACGATTATTTTTTCTCGGCGAATATCTTTCGTTTATGCCCTTGGCATGGTTTAATTTTATAGAATTATTTTCCGCTTTAAAATCAACAGTACTTTTTCTCACAATATAATCGTTTGTCAACTTGAAAGATCGCAAATCAGCTTTCACATCTTTAAAACTTGAACTGACATTTGTGTGAAATTCTCTGCCAACGCTAGACGCTCGTAGAAATCTCTTACGAGTTTCACTTTCGGCGGTTTCCGATCTCCTAGTAACGGTGTTTTTGTTTATACCCAGACTAGGCTCATGTGTCAAAATCCTTCCAACACTAGCCGCACGCTGTCTTCGTTTATCAAAACTACTTAACGTTATGTTTGTTCCTTGAAACGTGGTATTGACTCTTGTATCAATCGCTAACGTTCGACTTTCAGATGGTACATTTGACACATCAATCTTCCTTAAAGAAGTATATGCCTTCTCTCTCTCTCTATCGGCAGAATGTTTTTTATCAATAGATTTTTCAAGATTTCTCTCGTTGTAGTTAGAGTTTTTCTTACGAAAGCGATAAGAGTCCCTGTCTTTGCGTATAAAGCGATTAGCACTTGGCTCTCTATCCGATTTGTAAGAGTCCTTATAAGACCAATCACCCCTTCGGCCTCGAGATCTATTAAACTCACGTCTTCCGTAATTTTGACTACATCCACTGGACGATTCAGAAAATCTTTGATCAGACTGATAATCGGAAAAGAATTGAGGATTCCTGTTGTAACCATAATCTTTTTCATCTTCGGGCCTATTATAATTATCGTGATCATAACTTCTATTAAGTCTAGGATCATGTCGCCTGTAAGGTGGCTTCGCAGACCTTCTATACGAGTCGGATCTTGACACATCAAAAGATTGTGGTGCTCCCAAACTATCTGATCTTCCAAAAGCATGGGCAGGTGTAGTAGAACCATCAGATCGACCATACATGTACGAAGGAGTCGGCGAGTCTTCAGAACGATTAAATGAAAAAACGGGTGTTATGGATCCTTCGGAGCGACCGAATATGTGAGACGGTGTTGAAGAGCTATCTGAATGACCAAATGTATGAATCGGCGTCGTTGAACCATCTGAACGACCGAACGAATGGACAGGTGTTGCTGAACCTTCGCCTCTTCTTAAGAAGGGATGAACCGTTGTTGCGGAATTTTCGAAATGACTGTACGAATTAATGGGAGTCATTGCTCTTTCCGTTCGACCAAAAGATGGCAACGGGGTTGTAGGGCACTCCATTCTACCAAATGATGGTAATGGTGTAGATGGACAATCGAATCTATCAAAGGAGCGCACAGGAGTTGTCGAGCGCTCTAATCGTCCATACGAATCATTTGTGTCAAAATTATCCACGTCGGCAATAGGATTCAATTCCCAGATAGGAGTAGAGGAATTGTCCATTGAGAAGCGTTCGTTCTTATCATTTGTATCAAATGAATTTGCAACCGAAAATGATGGCGCGTAAACATGTTTTCTCGTTGGGATCTCTTCAGCGTCGTGTGATGGTCTGGATGGTGTCACTTCGTAAGTTCTCGCATTTGGAACAAATACTGGTGTTCTGTTAGGTGTTAAAGGAGCCATATTAGGGTTCAATATTGAGTTACACGGGGTTTGAAGTGTAGATTGTAGAGTTTGATTCGGGTTGTCTATGGGGTTAAATGATGGCAGAATATTCTCTCGTTTTGTCGACGAAGATTCCCAACGAGACTTTCTGGGGTCTGACAACTTTGTTTTATCAGTATTTTCAGAAATACTTGATGCCGACGTTGTACCTGTTAAAATTTGAGGTGTAATAGAGACATGTCTCATATCCACGTCCAGTAACGAACATACCACTGTGGGTTCAACCGGGTCACTAGGTATTATAACAGGTGGTTTTATTCCTGTGTCAGCAAAATCTTCATGATCTGGTGATTTAGGAGCTAAATCACTATAAATTTCACCCAGAGAGACAATAGAATTATCGTCATCATCATTAAATGAAATTTTTTTGGGAAGATTAAATCTTTCACATTCTTTGTCAGTCAACTGTATTCTTTTCTTATTCGCTTCGCGGAAAAATAATGGCTTCCTCGGCTCAGTCGATGAGTGACATTTCTCTTTATAATTTTCAATTGAAATTCTCTTTTTCACAATTTCTTTAGCGCTTGATACTTTTGATATCTTTGGTTGATGAAGAAGTGGAGTATTCTCAACGGTAGTTGATGATGGGCTCTCGCCCAGTATTTCTTTTTTTAAAGCCTGCAATATGTCAATTTCTGATACAATCTCTTGTTTTTTTGAAGCCTCTAAATCTAAAAGCGGTATTTCAACAGGACTTTGAATAGTTTCTTGTGTTTGATTTGATTCGTCTTCAATTTTTACCGCTGACTTGTCTAATTTATGAGACTTCGAAGTAGTATTCGTTATAGTTTTATTGTCATTGTCATGTTTATAGAAGTTAGGCGCAAAATACTGCTCATTTTTATTCGTAGATATGACATTGTCTTCTAAAATTTTATCATCATTAATATCTCTACTCATTTCAGTCCTATTGTCATTTGTTTCTTTTTCCTCTTTAGTAATTTCAATTTGAGATTTAATTATTTCATCACACTTGTTATCTTTCTTAATGACTATGCCCTCGTATTCAAGATGTCTACAAGGTTGTTCGTCTTTTACATGGTGCTGAATTTCTTCCTTTTTGACGGCTACTTTCTCACTAGACACCTTGCTTTCTTTTAAATCTGATTCTTGGGTCTTTTCTACAGGGTAAGATTCAAAACTTGATGCCTCTCCACTTATAACGCAATTACTTTTATCGTGGTCTAAAGAATTATCACCTTTTTTATCAGAATTAATAACTAAACAAATTTGAATTTTACGTGACTTATCTTTTCCTACAGAATCTTTCGTTGTTTTTTCTTTGTCGACGATGACTAAACTTCCATATATGTTTTCAATTGTTTCACTCTCACTATCCGATAATTCACCTTCTTCTACTTCGCATTTTTTCTCTATTGCAGTATTCTTCTTGCACGATTTCAGTAATAAATCTGAAATATCATCTTTAACGCCCGTCTGTTTAAGTTCACCTAAGATCTGTGTTCGCAGTTCACGCAGCGTAGTAATGTCAACATCACTATCACTACAATTAATTATTCTAGATAAAATATCCTCCGTATCTAAGGAACTCAAACTTTCTTCGGGCACGTTTAAAGTTATATTTAGGTCCTTTGACTGCAGGTCCTTTAACTTTTTTGACTTTTTCCTCTCTTTTTTATATGTAGGAGAATATTTATTCGAAATTCTCCTAGGAGACCTCCTACTATACAGTTTTTCAGTTTTAGGATTCTCATCATCGGACCATTTTTGATCAGATCTTTCTGGTGACAAAAGCACTCGTGTATAATTTCTTTTAGATGCTTGTGGTGAGTTCTTCTTGTTGTCATTTAATGGTTCTTTTACTGGCGTTGAACAACTTTTGCTAGACCGTCGTTCGAACAGTGATGTCTGCGCACTATCTACTACTTCATCACCTGTTACACTTCGAGATGTATCGTCTTGATCTAATTTTGTTACAATAGACTTCAATTTGTTCCTGACCGTATTCAAGTCCGTATTTTTAGAGCCTGTTTTATTACCTTCTCGCTTCAGGTCTGTCTATAATGTAAAAAAAATACTGTCGTTAAATCGTACTAAGAAATTAAGAACACTAGTATAGTCAAAAAATTAAAGGGTCATCCTTACTAGATGTGCAATAAGTTTTTGAGAAATATGATAGCTATTAGTATAATATATGTGCTCAGATTTTTTTTATTTATGGCCAGTAATAATTATTTTTACTTAACTTTAGGAAGTTATAAAGTTAAGAAACGTACCTGTTCAACCTTAGCATACAAGTTGATCAAGACTTGCTCGCACTTTAACAAATTCTCCATTTTCATTCTGTTGAAAAAAAAATCAAGTAACTCTAGACACACTGAAACAATTATGTATCAACAGTAAATCTACAAATCAATAAGCAAATTTATTTATTGGAACAAACCGTTTTTTCTTATTTTCGAGTAAATCTCTCAGGGATTTTATTTTATCAAGATGCGCCTGTCTAGGGTTAATAGGTAAATTGCTGCTCTCCAATTTATTAATCATACCCTCTAAAAAAGGTATGTATTTCTTCATTTCTTGAAACTTGCGATCGTAGTCGGAATCCATGTTTGCGGCTGCAATTAAATTATATAAATATAAACGATGCATATTTGAATGCATACATTTTTGACAGTAATCAGATAACTCGAAGAAGCTATTACTCAGGACTCGTTTTGGACGAACGTAACCCCAAATACGATTTGCTGCAACACCATTATAAATAATAATAATGCGTGCCATAATAATAATTAATAATACAGTCTTAAATGTCTTTGTGCAAAAAGACTAAAGGATCTCACAATTTACAGCACTTATAACAACTAAATAGGTACCGACGATATAGACAAGGGCGTGTAGACGAACTCGAATACGGTTTTACATAAGTTTTATATCCAAAAAAATTTGTAGTCAATAAAATAAAATAAAACAAAAATAATTAAAAACTTTTTGCCTATATATTTAACGAAAGTGTTTTTATTTGGGAAAAAATACCAGGCCTCAAACAGTAGTTACACGAGAAAGAAAAAAGTATTATTTCGCTCGAAGTAATACGTATGAAATATTGAATAAATATTTTGTAATTTTATGGTCAGAAGGTAGCTGTAAATCATTGAGGAGTTCCTGCGACCCTCTCTCCGCTCTTTCATCAGATCTTTTCGACATCTTTATTAAATTTTAAGTTAAGTAACGAAAGTAATACCTTTAAGCACAATCGACCACAAAACGACGAATTTTAAAATTTTCAATCTTTCGATTTTATCTGGTCATACCATCACACCCATCAGGGTGGATGATCATCCTTACGATGAGGATCTTGAAAAATTCACTTTCCAACAAAAGAAGACATCATCCGATTCGGATCACAAACGACGTAACTACTTATGCGCAAGCATATATAAAAAGGAATTCTGTTAAAAATAACGAGGACCGAAAATATAAGTGGCATTCGATGGGACGCAAATCTTGGTTTCTGGTTGATTAAACTTTACGAATTATATAATCCTAAATACGTATATATTTAATCCTTCGAAATAAAAACCCGTAGTGGCCCTATATTTTTATTTAAGGGGAAAGAGATTTCATCATGTTTAATATTTCACATAGGTATATATTCTAAATATTAAAAAAATCTCTGTTGTTTATTACTTTATTCTGAATTGGGACATCAGTTTTAAATCTGTGATAAATAGGAAGGTCTTACTACGCTTTACACTTAGTTTCATTTGAGGCACAAACGACTATGATCAAATTCAAAATTCTTTAGTATCAACTTTTAGATAACACGACAAGATCTATGTCCCCAAATGAAGATAAATATACCCTAATAGTGCTATAATATCTATGCTAATATTATAAAACTGAAGAGTTTGTTAGTTTGTTGGTACTAATGTCGAAAATACTGGTTCGAATATATAATCTCGTGTTAGTGAGAGCATTTATAGAGGAAAGCCTGAAAGCTATGAAACATCACGCTGCGACCATGCAAAGGAGCAAAGAAACAGTGGGAAATGTGCAAAAAAAAACGGTGAAATTATTCATCTTTGAGGGTATCCAATGCGTGGGCTACGGTTAAAGATACCAAAAAATCTAAAAATATGTCCCAGACAATATATGTACCTATAATAAGAACTCGCAAGAACGACGCGGGACGCGATCGACGTTGTGAGTAACAACTATTATTAAGAAGGATGAGGAGGTTTGATAAAACAAATTTTGATGTCCAAACTAGCTATTCTACGCGGACATAGTCGCTGACAAAGCTAGTGCTCCATAATTAGGATCCACTAATTCTATAGTCTCGTACACATATTACTGTGAAGTTAAACTTAATACAGTGGACAGAACCTAATAATAAGTATAAAAAAGGAGCAATAAGCCATATAATTTAATAATAATTTAATTGGTTTATGATGATACTGTTGAATCGATAGAATACTTTCGAAACGACAAAATGATGAAATGACCGGTAATAAAATTATTATTTCATAATAGAAAGGCATTTTAAATTCACACAGAAAAAAAGTGTATTTATTAATCTTTATAAAAACAGTTTTTCAAAATCGAAGTTTCTAAAAATCATGACAGTTGTCAACCTCGGATCGCAACAGTGACAATTGTCAAACTCGACTGCTCTCATTTATGTCAGTGTCGAGCACAAGCCAAAATCAATGCGTAAACCAACAAGAAATATATTAACACTGAATTGACTATTCAGTATAGACTATTGACTATTCATGTTAAAGTACGGTTTAATCCGAAAATATCTCAAACTCCTCTACTGTGATAAAAAGAAGTACCACGAGCATGGTTTTCAAAAAATCGTCTCCAAGTAAACCAAGTCCTCTTAATCCTATAAATCGAAAATCGGTTTAGGTAAAGTTAAGAAAAAACAATACTATTATAACGCAATAAATTGTTAACACTGGGTTAATAACTTTCAATACAGCCATGACAGCACAAACAGATTATTGCAAACATAGTAAAAGAAACTTCTGAAAGCTAATATTACTAGTAAGGTTCCCATCGAAATGCAAGTCCTATGTTTGTCTAAATTCTTTTGCTTAAAGTTTATAATTTCAGGCAGTTCCTTAAGTTCAATTCTTTAAGCGTGTACAAATATAACACACAGAGGAAGTAATTCCTGTTTATGTCACCCAATCTACGGCATCAAAACTAAAATAATTTTAACTCGTAACGTAGGTAGGCATTAAATAAAGTATTCGAAAATAATCCTACCTATTACGTAATATTAACAATTATAAACTCGAAGCTTCGTAGATATTTAAACACTTGACAAAATCTTAAATACGTGGCGAGGTACACTTCACAATATCACTGGTTTTAAAAAGCGCCCACGCCGTTTTGTGCCGCTCACATCCTTCTCGTGGCTTCGAATGAAATGAACAACAAAATGGCGACAGGCTTCCTCCGGGCGCAGCTGATGTTCAAACAGCGGGCGCGTCACGTGACCGACTCTTAACCAATCACAGGTTAGTTCTAGCGCATAGACTTTACACCCCGATTTCCTATTATTATTCAGAGAGGAAAGCGTACCTAGTTCTTGCGCAGCAATATTTCGAATTGTATTTTAAATACAATAATTGTTATTACTTTTAATTCACTTTATGTATATAGAATAAAGTAATGTCTACATACTTAATAGATGTAAATCATTAGTTTGGTATAATTATTTTATGTTTGCATACCTAATTAATAAAATTATGTAATCAAGAAAAACCTATTCAATTATATTGACTGACATTATTTAGATTTATTTGAAATTCATAGATTTGAATTACGGTCTAATAGAATATCTATCTACTAGATAGCGACATAGCAGACCCAAGTACCTATGTAATTCTATTAAGACCGAATCGAGGCTTGCAAAATACAGATAAATAAAAATACAGTTCTACGGAGATTAATTAAATAATTACCTACCTTTGTATGTGATACATTTTACTATTACTCTAAAGAGTTCTGGGAACGTCCATTAGAACAGCTATCGAATGGAAAAAAACTATTTATTTAGTACACACCAGGTAGACATTAGATGACAAAAATAATGTGTATGTTTGTAAACCTCTAACTATACATAAACATGAAGATATGAATTTAACAGCGATATAGATCATATCGTTGTTTAGAATGATCAAATTTGTTTTCACATTTCTATTACTTTAAAAGTGACCCATTACCGACCACCGCGAATACGACGCCATTACTGCCACTCGAATACTAAACACATTGCACCCATACGCGCGTGCCTTTATATACTTCGTTTAAGTAAATTTCCACTAACCTTTTCAAACTAAACCGAAAGAGAAAAATTCAATGTGTATTTTTGGGAATCACGCCGAACGCACACTATAACCTAAGTGCAATAGATACATTTCGCTTGTTAGTAAAGATGGTGCCATAACTTCAGTCTTCCTTTGTTCGCGACTCAAATGACGACGGAACTGGTCGATTTGTAGAGCGACACGGAATGCAGACGAGGGACGCAAGGCACACCGTACGACGCCCCACCGCTGCGGGTTGGGCGTCCCGCGTCGGAACGAAAATCATTCGACGGGCGCTCGCAGAGCAGACGGTGGGCTCTGGCATTACGACTAAATACTATAATCCATTTTCAAAGCGTTCATATTATCCTACCACTTTATATATTATAGTAACTAGCTATAGTGTTTTTAGTGAGTGTACATTACGTCTTTTCACTGCGCGTAACGATACCTATCTTATCTTCGATTCCTACATTGGGTTGTGATATTACGTTGTGGTTATGCGGCCAGCGAATAGCTTTATACAAAAATAGCCACATAATTTTGTTTAATTTTAGTTTCATACGGAACAGTGTAAATAGAATCTAAAATCATAGTTAATCCTTAATGAAATGTATTAATTCCGCAATTTCTTTATTTAAGCCGTTCAATAAGCGTTTACAAGGTTAGTCGTGAAAAACGTTTTAATAATAACGATTTACATTTGAAGTACTGCAAAATAGATAAGACGTACGAATACAGTTTAGATGGCTACTTGGACGTTAATATTAATATGGCTTCTTCAATTTATTATTGATTATCAAATTTCCTTAGTTTAGACATTGAGTCCAGATAAAATAAATATTAATTTTCCAGGTTATATTCCTTAATAATCAAGACAAGTTGCTTCGAGTAACAACAAAATTTGACTGAATTTGAAAGTGCCGACTGCCGAGTGCCAAGAGTCTCGTGAGTTCTATTGACTCATGAATTCTATACCTAGAACTGCGCATGACACAAAACGTAATCAGCGTTTCTTTGCAAACCTTGAATGCGCCATTCATGTATATGATATATCGTTATATAAATAGATATTTTTATTTATCCAGATATTGTTAAAGCGTTTGGCGTCTATTTATAAATTAAGAATTATATTTTCACTTTTAAAGAATGTAAAATAGATTACGTCTTTGTTGGTATGGGTGGCTGGAGAATAATGGTGGCGTTACCTTTTGTCAAATGACAGAAACTCGTTGATAAACTTTATAGTTACGCGTAAATGAGATAGATGGCGCTTTATACAATATTTATTCACGCGTTACAAGCAGAAAATGCGGGTGCCCCCTTGAGTGAATTGAACGTGTATGTAAATCAATAACAGTACTGTAGATATGAAATTATACCATGTCCTCCACTAGGTTACCAAAATATCTGGGTATCTAAAGAATTATTGTCACATTACTTCATAAGTAAATGATAGTTTATGTGAATAGTTTGTAGTTGTAGTAAATGGCTTAAGCGACACGTAAATAAAACAGCATGAAACTTTTAAATTTTCTTTAATAATTTAAAGCTTACAGGAGACACATCTTGTTGTCGTAAGCGCCTGACCGCTATGCGCGCTCCAAACGAAACTATTCCCATTTACATTGTCACAACTACACCCTTCAATCGAGTGCACCTTTGCTGGAAAGACACGACGCGACCGCCAAAACTACACTCGACCGAGTATCAAAACATGCACCTCTCACATCATATGTCATAATGATTCCATTCATATGTAAGACCTAACTTTCAATTTGAATCAATGGAACCGAAGCCTCGTAATTAATTTGAATTGAATAAAAAAATAGTATCAAAGCACACATGATTGTAGGGCGATTGTATAGCAACGTCTGAGCCAGTAGAAAGCTGCTCTTTAAGGGCTGTCCGCGAGCGATTAAAAAATTAAAGTGACAGCCTGACAAAATACATCTATTTATACCTAGTAGTACACACGGGTTTATACAATAATCATACATCCAATACTTCTCAACTTTAGAAATATTGTAAAGAAAGAGCCATCGGATCTATTCAATATAAAAGAAGTATCTATTCTATAAGTGTAATAATAAAACGCTGTGCATTATACGAGTATGATAAAAATGGGAGAATAAGTAACAATATTAATAATTTAAGTCTACCAGGTATGAATAGATGTTTTTTTTAATCATTGGATGAAATAAAACAATACCAAATGTTATATTATTATTATTAATAAATTACGAATTAACGGCCAGCCCATCTCAACTATTTCTTTCACTTAGTCAACTGCAATAGGGTAATAATGGCGGCGAGTGATCGCCCGTGCATCGCCCTAACCGATAACTTTGTTCGTAGGCGTAATTACTAAACACGAGCCGGATGTGGACGGCAGATCTAAACGAGATGGCTAATTGACAGGAGCCCAGGTCTCAAAAGTCGCATTAAAAACTATAGAAAACAATGGATTTCGGCGAGATTGGCGACGACCTCGCTGACTGCACGTATAAGGACAAGAAAAACTATTCAACATAAATTCTCTCATTCTCGGAGAAAAAAGGGGTAGTAACAAAAAATACTTAAAACCGACCGTTGACGTCTTTTGACATTTCTAGGCGGGATTGTGTCTACTTGGTATCAGCCAGAGCGACGTTACTGTGGCTACTAAGCCCTACACGAATACGGAACCCAAAGATTTGAATAAATGTAAAACGAAAAGTACCGAGAAAATAATGATAAAAGTGACAGGACCTAGAAAAGTAATAGCAAAGAGAAGTTCTTGGCAGAAAGGAAACATAGTTATAAGTTATCTTGGGAATATATTTTAAGAGATTTAGTCGCCTGCACTGTAAACTCGCTTTTTGCTAATCCGTTTTCCTCCTAAAATGTATCATTAGCATGAGTTTTACAATTTCAAGACGAAAGTAAACGCAGGAAATTTAATATATATATAAAAAAGAAATATGGTAAAATTATACAACTCGTACTAAAGAACATTCGATTTAAAACCTTTAACAATTTATTCGGAAGGAAGACGTAAATGTATCAATATTTAACGTCTAACCTTACTTTGCTTTGTATAATTCACATAAGACACGTTTTATTGCTACTTCATTTCTTTCCGATAGTTAGAATGAGTTCAAATATACTCGACAGCGAAAAACTTTATCCATTGATATCCATATCCCGAATCACTTCATTTGCTATATAATCCATTTTCTATACAAATTACCGATAGCCAACCGCTGTCGAGTCTAAGAAGCTCAGTAAAATCTTCGCGACCAAAACGGCAGACATAAGTTATCGTGTTTCATTTTAACCGTATCGGCGGAGTAAAAATTTTCTTCATCCCATTAAACTTTTTTTAAAACTACAATAAAAATATAACGGTTTTGTCAAAATAAAGTTCTTTTTACTGATATTATGAGCCAAATTCATTGTAATTAAAGAGCAATAAATATCTATTTATTTTCGCGCCGACCGCCGAGCTCTTTAGTTTTCATTAGATTTCGAACAAAGAAAAGTTGTAATTCATTAATCAAATGAGGTATTGGAAATCATCAAGTCATTAAAGATTCAATAATCTCCTATTGGCTAATTTATGAGTAATTTCTGTTTTAGAACAAAATAAGGGTACATCCAAATGTTTTAAACAGTTTTCAAAACGTCACCATACCTATTCTCGCATTCAGAGTAAAATTTAAACGTAAAGGGGAACTGGGAAATGCAGGGCTCAGTTTCGCACGGGCGGGGCCGGCGAGTGATGGTGTCGCTCGAGATCTTCCAGCGAGAGCGCATTGGGCACGTGCACCGAGGGTAGTTTGCCTTCGGAGGCGCGCGCGAGCAGCTCTGGCGAAAACCACTTGGCTAGCTGGTTGTCACCGCCGCCGCTGTTCACTTCTGTAACGTTAGGCATTTACATTTAAACAAATAAAAATTAAAAGTTGTTTTATAATAGGGACGGGCGTTGATTTACTTAATGGGGAGTGGTGAGATTCTTTAGGTAAATATATATCTTTGTAAATTCGGAAATCCGCAGACTGAAACCGTAACGCGATGTAACTTCACTTTTTCACCTTAATATTCCTACCTACCATTTAATATTACGATTTTCCAGACATTAAAATATGTCGGACCTGGTGGGAATAAAACCCACGACTCGTTGATTGTCACAATTACAATGAAGTCAAGAACCTGGGAGCCATGGGAGGTATAGTAGATAATAGTAACACAGATGAACCAACCGTTAAGCGACCTTTGGTGTGATTGCACTAGCAGTTGGTGCAGCGTGGTCCCACCGGACATGCCCCGACTCATATTCATGTTGAACTGAAATGCAAATGCGTAAGTTTATGCCATGGTCCATGGATTAAGTAAAAAGTTAATTTAGATATTGTGCTCTGCTTAATAAGTCTTATTTACTCCGTTTCAATAAAAATCAAAATATTTTGAAGTAGGGACAGCAACCAATATATCCGAATGTGTTCAACTTTAAGAACATTTTTTTTGTCATTAATTAAAAACCTATTTTTATATGCATGTTCATATATAAGACAGTAACTGACCGTATTATTGACGGGTTGTCTAGACGCTTGCTGCGGAAACTGACGGACGCCGCCCATTTGCTGCAAATACATGACATTGACAATAACTTTACTTTAGCGTTCTTTTTGAAAACTGTATCTTTACATAACATTGGCGTGATATGAAATTCAGTGTTACTGCGCGAGCGCAACGAGCTAACGTGTGCAAATGTACGCTAGCGCCGTGTCTCAGACTTTTAACAAATAAGTAGTGACGTCACAGGCTAGAGTATCAGCTTAGCTGGCACCTACGCCGTCTATATATTATGTAACATCTTAGTCATTTTCGAAGTAATGACAATAATTAAACCAGTTAATACATTTTTTTTTAAATAGGTTGATAATAATTATTATTTAAGAAGTTAGTTTGATTATAATAAACGGTATGACAGTATAACTTGTCGGTCAATTAATTCCACCATAATTTAATTACCTGCTGATTCATATAATGCTGGTATTCACTGGGGGACGGTGCGTAGCCCATTGGTGCTCCGCCACTCTGGTTACCCTGAAACATTTAAACCACAGGTAAACAAGCTTGATACAAATATTGGCATGGGATTAAGATGAGGGGCCAGAGTTAACACAAATCCGAACGGAGAGATACATACAAAAAACACTACATAGCCTATTTTAATGTAAGTAATGTCTGTAAAATACTTTTCATAAAAACATATTTAAACCTAACCTTAACAATTGGCCTCCCCTGAGGCAACTTCAGCGGCTGGCTCCACTGTTGCTTGGGACTAGGTGCTTCAGATTCCTTCTCAGCTGTCATTTTACGTAAGACCTATAAAAGTGTAACCTAATTAAGGCTTTGGTACAGCGAGCGATGTATATAAATAAAAAATGTTCATCAGACTTTTTCAACGTTTAGGTAACTTCAATATTTTATTTTGATTATACTTGATGATTCCAACTCACCGAGGTGGGGGTGAACGAGATGGGAGTAGGATGCTTAATCTGTTGCTGCTGCAACTCGAGTCGGCGGCGCTCCTCGAGTTTCTTGAGCAGCGCGCCTTGCATCAACGACTGTGGGTGGATCATCTCGCGCGGGGAAGGAATACGGGCCGACACTGCAAAGCGACAGTTCAACATTGAGATATAGAAATTATAAAGCTATTTTCTCAAAACAAACATTCAATTACAACTTTTTTTTTTTAAGTACTTTAAAGTCTCACTAGACTCTGCCTCACGTCGCCCCCCTTTTGTTTTGTGCTATTTTTAGCGAATACAAAACATTAAAACTTTGACTACAACCCCTCTTGGTATGTATGGTAATCTTAGCTGAATGATTACTACCTGATTGATGAACTCCAAGCGGATTTGGACTAGCCATTGGTGACATACAAAAAGCTGCGTCCGATATAAAGATATAATTTGTAGTATGTTCTGAATCGAGCCAAATTATTACAACATTTTATATAAAATTGATATAGTGTTTTTCATATGTATTGATTATAATTTATATTTTTTATATTTCTCTATTCCGGTGTTTTTAATGACTATGTGAAATAATAAAATTCAGCGTGCACTAGCAATGTGTGAAGTAATGATCAAGCCTATTTTTTTAAATACATATGAGTATTCTTGTACTTTAAAAAAAAATTAAGAGGCCTGTACCGATAGCATAAATAAAGATGGTAACTCACCCTGCTGCGGTACTGGTGACAATCTGAGTGGCTGATGATGAGGTACCCCTAGGTGGGGGTTTACACCAGGGAGTGGAGAACCAACCATTTGCTGAAAGATGAAACATAGTTTTGAATATTAAAATGTGAAGTTTCGATTCCAGTCAGGGGAACTCCGAATATCCAAAGCCAAAATAGGCCGACAGCGCGTCTTGCTTAGATGTAATATGGCAGGGTTATTTCACCTTGCATCAAGTGAACTCCAAGCTAAATATAAATAGTAAAAAGCTGAAATTATTCCTCTGTAAAGGTAGGAAAATGCGTTGACAGTATACCTGTCGCTGTTGTTGATGTAGACGCATTATGGTGAGAAGTACATCGCGGTGTCTACTCTGAAGGCCAGGGTTTCCTAGCTGCTGCATCAGGTGCTGGACGGTTATCTCGCCAGCTTTGAGACCTAGGAGGAAAATTTATATTAAACTTAAATCACATAGGTAGTTTCGACTACATACATAACATTTAAGCTTTTTTCTTACCGTGTATAATAGCTTGCGCTTCGGGCCGTTGCAGCAGTTCCCGGTCAGCGACGGAAAGACCCATGGGACCAGACATCTCCGAGTTAGGTGCTTGTTGTTGCCGCTTCGAGGGGAATACAAATGATTATAATGTAGAACACAAATTTCATTACAAGCTGTATGTCGTTTTGACCAAACCAATAAGACTATACCAAGCCTCAAATTGGTTAACTTTATTTACAATATTTTATAACGCAATATAAAGAACCTGACCAATGATGAAGAGTACAAGTCACATAGGCATAGTGCCTTTTATTACACTAAGCAAACCTATTATATATAATTTATTTATACATCAAATTAATTAAATATTATTTTAAAATCGAAAATTCATGATTTACAATGTATAAATAGCCTAGGCATACCTGTTGAACCTGAATAAGCTTGTATAGGAGCTCCTGTGGGATGTGCGGCGGTTGTTGCTGTTGCTGCACCTGTTGCTGATGTTGCTGCTGCTGTTGTTGCTTCTCTAAGCTCTTGTTTAACATCTGTAATATTTGGCGCTTTTTTAACTTACAGATAATTCTATATACATAGTTATATTATACTAATGCAGGGAAAAGTAGGGGGACCCAGATCATGTGCAATATATATCCTATGCTATGGAGCAACTTACTTAAATTTGCTGTGAAATTTTAACTACCTCGATTGGCAGGAAACAGAATACAATACGTCTTTACATTATGACGACGACCTCTATGTCAAGATAGATATAACAAAAAAAATAAAACAAAAGATTTCTAAAATATTTTTAAGCATGGGTAAGAAAAGGTTAACTAACCTGTAAGAGGCTCATCGGCTGCGGATGGGCGTTGTGCTGCGGTACCTGCGGATGCTGTTGATGCTGCGGATGTTGTGGATGGGGTGGATTTTGCGTGCGGGCCCTGTCCGCTGGCACAGCGTGACCACCGGACACTTGCGCCAACTGAAGCGATTATTACAAACATAAATTTAGATGACAATGCAAGTATCTGTTCTTGAAAAGTAAAAGATTCGTTACCTTATTATTAACTTTATTAATAAATTTTAAAACCAATAACTCAAATTTAATAAAAAGTCGTGTGTCAAACAATGTATAATACACTCACGAGTCGCTTAAATGCAGAGAGGTCTCTGTCAGAGGAGACCGGCGTGTGCGCAGCTGGCTGCGGTCTAAGACGCGCTTCCAGCTCCTCCAAGCTATGAATCTTCCCGCCGACGTTTGAATTTAATTCTGCGAAACATATACACTGACTTACAAAGAAAACAAAGTAGTGATGTGGTAAGAAAACTCTCACTAGATCTTCCACTACAGACGATAATCAGATAGATATCAGATCAGATAACCACCAAAAAATGAAGGAACTGTACGACACGGGCAATACTTGATGGGCGTGTTACGGTTGCAAGTATTAGGTTTAAAATTAAATTGCGCGAAAAGTGCATGTATCAATAAGTTGGTTCAAGCTTGCCCGTGAACATGTGAAAAACATTAAAGTTTTCAAAGGTAAGGGAACTTATTGAAAGTTATTTTACTCGTAAATATCTAAAATAGAAGAGTTTAAATGGACATTGCCAAGCTGTAGACGAAGTAAGATGTATTTTAAGACTCCTTACCAGGTCTGTCGTCGGGATACGGATTCGCCCTCAGCAGATCCAGCAGCGAGGGCGGATTCGAAGGCGGGTTGAAGGGCTGGTCCATCGGGAAACCTGGCATTGGGATATTGTTCATCGCGCTGACGCCATTGTTCAGTGGCATTCCGCCCATGGGCATGCCGCTCATGTTCATGGTGCTCGTCGGTGCTTCCATTTGCGTCGAATTGTCAAGATCTATAAATTGGCAAGAGTTGAAATGAAGAGGTAACATTTTTTTTTTAAAGCGCTAATATCAGCATGTAAATTAAATGAATGATCCATATTAGAATAGCTTTTATTCGTCTTCCTAATATGTCCACTGCTTTTAAATAATTATTATTCTTTACAACACAGACAAAGTTATCACTCACCATCCACCATGTTGTGCATGAGCCGTTCGTAGTGCTTGGCATCACCCGTAGGACTCTCTCTGCGGAACCAGCGGCTGAAGCGACTCTCCTCGCTGTCACCAGTGCCGTTCTGTCACCAAATAATAAGTACTAAAGTTTACGATGAAAAATACCTTGTACATGTCAAATAAAATTAGCTATCTAATAAAAATTAAATTTTTACTCATAATAAAACCTGAAAAGAAAATTCGGCCTTTGGAATAAAAAGTTATTAGTATGTACCTCGCCACCATGGGCGCACTCGAAGCATCATCTCGTGATTAAAAAATACTACCAATATATTTTGAGTCTAAACTATTAAAAAGTGTTTTATTTAAATATGATTGTTTCTGCGGGCAGGGCATAGTCTGCAATGTGTATCCCTGATGCCAGTGGAATCGCATTTTTATCCTACTTGGGTCTAATAGGGCTGGAACATGGCTTCTGTTATAAAAGGCAGAAATAAACTACTTAATGAATATCCTCTAACAACGACCACTTACAGTAAGCACATCCGGTATAGAGTCGAACTTGAGAAACTCATCTAGGTTGAATTCCGGTTGCTCATTGCTAGACGTTGGCTCCTCTGGCTTCGACTCCACTCCTGAATCCTTATCCTGCCAAATGCATTACTAATACATTAATATGAAAAAAATTACGGTTACATTACATGGTTTTTATTTCTAAAACTAGAGGGTGAGAGGTTGATGCTAGGTGAAATACCCGACCCATATTACATCTAAACAAGATGCACTATCGACCTATTTTGGCTTGGGATATTCGGATAGCTTTTTTATGTGAGGACAGTGATTCGTAACAGTATTTTCAATCGCACTGATAATAAAAGGATTGTATACTAACACTAGTCGTATTAGCGGTCTCTGTTTGGATCGGCGACGAGGTATCGTTCCGCCACTTCTCCACCGGTGAGTGAGATCCATTATTGTTATTCCATTTCTGAAACATATATACCATATACATACCAACGAATACACATGAACACCGTTTCCAATTCTTGAATTATGTACAGATTTTTTAAAACAATAGCAATAGTTCTCAAATATTACACCTTCTCGACACCCCAGTAGATATTTTTTATCACTCATAGTAAGTTATTATATGCATTTATAATAGCGAGTTAATTGTGAAACAGTGTTTGTTACATTCATCTATTACTGGATACAACATAATATGTACTAATAATATATAAATAATTAGCAAGTTGTTGTAAAGCAACTAATACCTCTCTCATCTAGAAACAAAGAAACATTCTTGTCAAGACACAATTTTTACTACTTAAAACCGAATTGTTTGTTTTGTAAGAGTCCTGTCTTGACAAAAATGTGTCGACCTCGGCCTGTAATAATCAAATCGTTACCTCGTTGTCCTTTTCCTTGCTATTATTAGGTTTCTTGATGGGCTCATCGAAGCCGTGTAGCTCGATGGTCTCCAGCTGAGATGTGGGACCTCCGCTGAACCTGTAAAAGGGAATTAAGGAATTGAATTAAAACAAACTATAATTAACACTAACATTGAGTTGATTAAATTCAAGTATTCCATCATCTGTCTGTCTGTCTAAAACTTTCATTCGAGTGTCTTATGGACACCTGTCATTCCATATATTTAGACTTACCATTCGGGTTCATCTTCCTTCTCGAAACGTCGTTGGGAGTATCGGCCACCGGATCTACGGTTGTCGTCTCTGCGAAAATTATAACTTGATAGTTATGATACTTTACGAGGGCACACCCCACCCAAGAAAATACTATAACAACAATTACCTGTCTCTATGTTTCTCGTTGTTAAATCGGTCGTCTCGTTCTCGCTTCATGTCGGAAGAGAAGGCGTCTCTGCCGAACGAACGTCGCTCAAACCTATGCAATATATTTCAATTTATCTATTGTGAAATATGTTGTTATTTTTTTTATAATCTAAGTAGGTGTTAAAAGGACGAAATTTCTTTAAATATGTGCGTAGTTGGTATTTCAGAAACTGTATTAGGACCCATCGAGTTATCGCATCAATATTTACCTCGTGACAACGGCTATTTGGGGTATTAAAGGTCTTAAAATACTCGTCAACAATTGTCATTAGTTTTTAACGAAGCTGGCATGAATCGATATAATCTCTAAATAGTACACAATAAACGGTTCGTGGGTATTTACCTATCTCCATTCGTCCGTCGCTCGTCACGATCACGATCACGGTCGCGGTCGCGATCACGTTCGCGATCACGGTCACGGTCACGCTCTCGTTCTCGCTCCCGCTCCCTCAAGGCCCCCGGCGGCCGGTAGATCTCCGCTGTGGGTCTATATTCGGTCTCCTCCCAACCGCTCGTCGGCACCATTATCCGGCCAGAGCCAATTCGACGGCCAGCTAACGAAGTAGAGCGTTTTTATGTCATTAAAATATACATTACATAAAAAAATCTTCATCAAGACATTAATACAATTATACATATGTATCGTGCATGTAGGCAATTCTATACAACAACGCATCGAGGCTTAAGACACGCGTCACCTGTAACTGCCGTTTTTATAGGCCTTATAACTTATAACAAAAACAAACAATTGTTGATTTTTATCAAGTAAAAACCAAATTTACAGGCCATAATAAAAAAAAACAATTTTGTTTATTTATATAGAAATTCACCAAATATTACAAGCATTAAGGTACAGCCAAAATTCCATACCTTGTTCGGTTTTCTGAATGGTCTGTGGCGTGGTCGCGGATAATGGTGATTCGGGACGGGTTCTGGCCAGCTGAGGCGGAGGTTGAGCTGTTGAAGCCCCTGGTGCCCCACACCCAGAGGTGAAGGACCGCCGCTGGGGAGACAGCACGATGCCCCCTCCGCCCGTCTCGCTCTCCTTGCGCACACGCTCCCGGGGGTCAGCTGAGCGACGCTCACGCTCACGGTCTCGACCATAGATACCCTAGAGAACAAACAATGTACCCTAGAGAACAAACAACTAATCAACGAGTCAATGCCTAGCATTAAAAATGGAGTAGAACCAAGGTCGCATTATAAGAGATATTTGAATCACTATTTCAAAATATACCGACCGAATAACTTTTATAAAAATTACTCTCTCTCTCTCTCTAAATCTTTATACAATTCTACAAACATTCTGCTTATGAGGTGTCCCTTATTTTCACCGTACCATTGAGATGCAGGCAATGAGATCACCTTCGCACGTCTAAATTTACTTCTAGCTGCGTGCCGTAGATCATAGATGGCATCACGGCAATACCCAAAGATGAACAGACGAAAATAAAAAACAGACAAACATACATCTCTTACCTTATGATTTTCGTTGGGGGCATCTCCCTTCGCACCCTTATCTTCTTCGTGTGGTGAATCAGATCGCTTTTTCAATACTCTGTAAATTTACATAACACATTAATTAAGTTCGAATCTATTCGAAATCATTTACTGACTGGATAGGACTTCGCTTTAAACAACCGTTAATCTATATTTATTTGACAGTCACGTTTCGGCTTTAGTCAAAATTAAAATAAAACTACTAAAATTTATATAACTAAACACCAGCCTTCAGTTTAAATCAGTCAAGAAAACAGTATTTCAATACATATAACGTAAAATAGTATAATTATTATTGTGATCGCAGTACTATACTATCATAGATTATACTATCATTTACTCACAGAGCCAGCGCTTCATTCCCCGCGAACGCGTTCTCCAAGCCCTGCTTGACGAGTGGCGAGTTGCGCAGGCGCATAAGTTCCTCTCGCGTGTACTTGATCGGCTTTCGCACCGGGCCCATCGCCAGCACGGCCGGGTCCCCGCCGCCCGACGGTGAGCTCTCATCGTGACCTATAATAAATACATATTTGAAGAATATATATAAAAACCAATGCGAATAAAACACAACATCGTTTGACATATGTCATGGAGTTGAACCTACGCGTTTCTTTTTTATGATAAAAAACTTGCAAAGAACGCTCTTCCTATTGCAATATTAAAAAATTGGTAACCAATTCCTTATTGACTGCTCATTATGCTATCGCTATTTTGCCGCACTTTGAAATCCTTTGTGATTTTTTTCATTGACTAAATTTCAGTTACCATTAAATACGTACATTATGCATCTCTTTGTAAAGTTAAAAGGCTTTAAATCATCTGCAGTGACCTTAAGGTTTCAACCTATACCTACGATTAAAATCAGGCGGTACCTCTGGTATTGTCTTACTACCTTTACTTGAACTATTAGTACTGAATAAAAACCAAAATAATCCCTTGCAAAACACAGCGACAGCCACAATTGTTAGAACAGCGTACAACATGATTGTTGTTAAAAATCCGTTATTAATAACTAGACAAGAGTTAATCTATACCAATGTACACGAAAACTATCGTTAAGATCTAGACAAAAGGAACAAATAAATCCGCCATTTTGTTTTTTACAACGTCACCGCAGAATGGCCGCTTTAGAAGTACCCAGATTTTTCGCGGCATCACTTAATGATGGAGGTAGACTTACACCACGAAACTCTTTTAACTCTCTTCGAAGGAGGTCCAGCGTGGATCTTGGGGGGCAAATGCGCCGGTACCTTTCTTAAGGCGGTCTGATATCGCATAAAAAATATATGCACAGCACACTTTGTCGGTGACTCGGCCAATTTATTCACTATCTTAGGTTTGCGTCGCGACGAACGATTTCGCCTCTTTGGATTTCTTTTACGACCCTTCTTGACAACATCACCGGTTTCCTTGCACACCATCGCGAAAAATACGCAAAACGACCTTTAAATTAAAACTAACTTAACCTTACACTACCAATGATATAAGTCGAAAATAAAAATAGTCAATAAAACGTTTTGAAACGCAGATAGACGTCACGGATTCTATCGAAGAACATAAAATCTCATAGATATTAATTAAAGCACGACTAACTAAATTTAAATATCATTTAAACGCACTGACAAAACGAAAACGCCTCAAAGACTAAATGAAATTGCCAACGCTACTTACAATGTTTATTCTCAACTTGTATTTTTTTTCAACTACCCGCATTTTTATTACTTTTAAGAAATAAATCGTGACTGAATCGCGTTTAGTATTACTGTGAGACGTTTGAATGTATTATATGTACCTACTCTTTAATTTTGTACCCATACGTTTTATTATATTCTACATATTATATAGAATTGTAATCTGATAGTGAACTTTTGGCCCCAACATTACAGGACAATTTCTGGTAAGTACCCCCAAAAACAAAACAAATAGCTTTTCTGACACAACATCTTTGTACAAAATGAAATCCAAATGGGTTTAAGGTGAACAGATTTCTGTAATCATATTAAACTAGTAGATTTTTTTAGATGGATGATTCTCACTTGTCAACCGAAATCCCTGAGATTTGTAATAAAGACTTCTTGTCCTTTAAATAAAAAACTTTAACGGTTTAAAACGCGATATATTAGTTAAACTTATTTGAAAATGATTTTTGACTTCGGCCCGACGTTTCGGATGCTTTGCAGCAGCCGTGGTCACGGGGAGACCATTTAGAAATCATTTTCAAATAAGTTTAACTAATATATCGCGTTTTAAACCGTTAAAGTGTTTTATTTAAATGTGTACTACTCGCGTAAACTATAGACAGTACTTCTATAGTGAGTGTCCTTATCAAAATCCCAGCAATGCTTTTAAGCTGAGTAGATGATTTTTTTTAGTTAAATACTATTTAACTTTGGATTTCGAGAAATTGATAAGACTAAAGCACACCAGAAACACAAATACTTTCTTCAATCAATCTCTTTTGTGTCTGAAACTGGAAAGTTGATATAGTTTTGGTATATAGCTATTATTTGTATACCATAACGTTTAAACATGCACAAAACACAGATAATTGTATAGAGTACTAGGGGAGATTACCCTTGACCTTCAAAAGCAAGCTTTCACCCTTCAATCACAAGCGAGGGGATAAAACCCTTACCTTTACATTGTATCGAGTACAATGCCTAGCTAGCCTTAGTCTTCCAAATGGAGCTGAAGGTAAATGAGTAAACGAAAAGAGCATTTCATAATTGTCTAATGATCTGCTAAGGGGTTTGTCATTACTTCAACATTTTATCAATTCATACAAATAAAACATCTATGTTAAGTGATAGATGAGCAATCCCCTGTAAGTTCATCCGAGTTCAAGAACAAATGCTGTTCTAAAATGTTTAATGCAAAAAGAAATCTGATATTTTTAAGATGAAGAAACTTAAATAATGATTTTATTTAGACAAGGTGGTCCATAGGTTTATTAGACATAATTTGCTTCCTTGCTACATAAAATACATAAGATAGCTTATACATGAATGAATATCATGAGACTGATTACTGTCTTATATCATATAGAAAGGTATTGAAAAGAGCTAAAAAGATACAACCTGTAACAGAGTGTAATAGAAACAATTAGACAAAGGATTTTGCCATGAAAGGGTCTTTTCTACTTCTGTCTTGTGCGATACCAGCAAACAACATTAGTCAAGGGTATGTAGACTTAAGTTTGTTTTATTTATGAATGAATGAATTTAGAACACATAAAATATGTTACACAATCTCAAATCAAACTGCAACATTAAAATTATTTAGAGCCATCCCAGCTTCTTTACAATTTATAAATAAAAATGGCATCACTTTTGATTTATAAGAAGAAACTAAAAGAAATTAAATGTTTGCTTCTTTAATTTAGTTTCATTTAATACAATTTTTATTATATATAATTTAGGAAAGTTCTTATTTTAAATTGAAGATTTTTTAAATAGGATTTTTGCTTTTTAATTTCATGGAAAATTATATTTCTCATAAGATCAATGATATTCCAATGATAATGTTTAATAGTTTAGTCAAAATAATAGAAAAGTTGTCAAACAAAGACGAGTTTATAATAATTAATCAAAGATAGCGTGATTAATATGTGGAAAGTTATGTCGTAACTAAATCTAATAAATTAACAAGGTTAGGTGACCTGAAAATTTTTCGTAAATCAAGTATTGTAGTGACAAAAAAAAAAGAAATTAGGCCAACTCAATTTTAAATGTATATAGTAAATAACAGCATAAGGGCCTTATTGTTGTGTATTTAGATTGTGGTGTATTATTAAATAGCGGAAATACGTACCTGAATGGACAACTTCATCAATTTGCTTGTCTGTTGGTTTCTCCTTTAATGTAGACAATAAACTCGCAGCTGACATAGCTTGCAATCTCGCACAAAATACTCAGTCTTCGCTCAATATATTAACTCTACTAAAATTCTAAAATATTTATACAGTATTTACAAAAGTATAGAGGAAATTATGGTATCACCTAAGTATTGTTTATATCACAGACTTTTCGTTTTTCACTATACAATACGGGTAAAACGTCCACGAACGAAAATACTATATACACAACTTTTAGTATAATAAATTTATTTACACATTAAAAACTAATCGATTATCATCTAAATATAACAAATACGCTTTAACGGTCACAATCGGATATTCATATTATCTAAAAGAATTTATCAGGTTTCAATGCAAAATAAAACGTCCGCCATATGCCTTTTGAGACCTGTATAATGCAACAAAATGTACATGTAAAATTGGCAATGTTTTTTTCCATAGATTCGCGGTAGTTTTAATTTGTTAGCATTATATCCAGTTGCCAGTTGCCAATGTTTATTTTTCATTTTTTGAATGTTATTTGTGGCATGTGTATTAATAAAGTTCTCATATATTTTTTATGCAAATAAACACAACGTTTATTTACGTTTACGACAAATAGGCAACAAATACCCCATGTTATGTCTGCAACTGTATCAGACTATAAATATCACTGGTAACTTTGCTCTTAATAATATAGATTGCTGTTGTTGTCGTGAAGTTTAGAAATTTTCGTTCATAAATTTTAAATTGTTTATTAGAACTGCTGCCACAGAGAACAATACTCAAGTTGTTCAAATATTTTGAGTATCAAATCTTAATCACACCACGCGTTTCATTTACTTTTGGGAAGGTTGGCAAAATTGGTAAAACTTTTTTTTTGTCATCTGTCAATTAATAATTAGAAAATAATTTTGAGATTCGTGAGTGCATAGAGTCAGAGTGTTACGACTTATGAGCTTCTAGTTACAAAAACAACTTAAATCGCTTGTCAATAACGAATTGGTTGTGAAAGAATACAAACGAAAATTATAGTCTAACGCTGTAAATATATACATTAAAATAATATTTATTATAAATTACACGTTTAATTCGTCAGCGCCTAGTTGCAACATAACCTTAGTGTAGTTATCAAATAATGTAATATTGGGTGCGTTTTTTGCTATCAAAAATGTCTTTAAAATGGACTGGAAGTGAAACCGGTATTCTCCGCAAGAGTGACTTCAAAGAGAAGAAAGAAGAGCTATTTGTGTTTGGTTACTCGTGCAAATTGTTCAGGGACGATGAGAGAGCCCTACACATTGATCAAGGCAAACATCTGATTCCGTGGATGGGAGACGAATCCTTGAAAATCGACAGGTTCGATACGTTTTTTTCTATAAGACTGCTACTTGTGCGCTAAGAGTTAATACAATATTAATTTTTGGGAAAAAAATAAATTTTTGGAAGACCCTAAGTTTCGCAGAGTGAATAGAAGTTGCAGCGACGCTCTTGGCGAGGCTATCTTGATTGTCAGCTACGTGTCTTTACTTATGGTGACCGAACGCGTTGGTATGTATTGAAAAGGCTAATTGCGTATGAATTTTGTACAAAATTTACAAGTGTGTGTTGTGCTCTACGTAACAGTATGGTAATATATCAGCAAAATCATCATCATATTTGAAATTCTTAGATATATTTTGTATTTTTACTGCATTATAAATCAAACTTAATGAGTTATTAAAAGATTGGTAAAACAGTAGGCTTAGAACCAATAATTGTATAAAAATAATTTTAGGCAGTCAATGCGCTTCGATTACTCTATATATGCTCTAGGCAGGCACATGGGGGTCTGCTCAAAACAGTAGTGCCATATCTTAGAAGGTGTATATTGGCAGGTACGATGGAAGAGGTGCTCTGCATGACTTGCGGTCACTTGAAGCTCCGCCTGGTGGATATGACTGGAGGGTGGAACTAACAAGGGCAGAGCTGGACGTGGAGCAACTGTGTGATGAAGAACGCTACAGAGCCCTGCATACTGATGAAGATGAGGAGGAGATGTACAAAGGTATGTTAATGTTATATGTACATATATTATATAATTATATTGTTTAGAATAATCTTCCATCCCTAATAAACTGTTCTTATAATTTTATATTTAAAGTTGAAATTCCTTCTATAACTTTACTATACAAAAAAAATAACCATATTAATTAATACATGTTTCCATTTCACACAAATTTTATTGAAAATTGGTAAAATAAAATTTACAGAAGAAGAGTTGAAACGCTTACATGCAGCTGGCTATGGCCAAGTTGGCTTTAACTATGATACCCCTCAAAAAACTGAAACAGAACCTGTTATCACAGAAGTCGAAGAACCATTCATACCATCAGATGGATTAAAAGCACTCTTACCACAGGATATAGTGTTTGTAAGTTGTATGAATAAAAAACATTATATATGTTTTTCCTAAATTCTCTAGAAATGTGTGGTGTTTTTAGGAACCCACTTTAACAAGAATAAATATATATTGGTAAAATGAAACTTGATTATAGAAGGATGGGTGATAAGTTTCTCACCATTTCATCTCATTCTTTCTCAGCCCTTGACTTAAAAATCGGTAGTAATTGTAAATTTGGATCTTTAGTATTTAACTGGTGTGGCATTCATAAGTGTCCATAAGTTACACATATAAATGAATTATTTTTACTTTGAATTTGTACCCAGACTCAAATTGGTATGTGGAAGTTACAGAAATAACATACTAAACTAACATGAATGAGGGTTTATTTCCAGTATTTATACACTAAACAAATATTTTATTACAGCCAGAAACACAAAAGCAGAATGCAATAATAGAGAAGACTGCCAATTTCATAGCATCTCAAGGCACACAAATGGAGATATTGATAAAAGCAAAACAAGGAGAAAATCCACAGTTTAAGTTCCTCAACAAAGACGCTACACTGCATGCTTATTACATGGCTCTCATTGCTCTCGTGAAAGCAGATAAATGGCCGGAGAAAAAACAAGAACTTATTGAAGGTAAAACTAAATATTATCTTTACATTATAAATGCTATAGTTTGTAAGAAGGATTTAATGATTCATTTAATATTCATTTTCACATGTAAAGTCATTTAACACATGTGTAGTGTAGCTTGATTTGATCAAGTAAACATAGTTTTTGTGGGTCCAAGGATTTCCATTTGTCATTGCTATAGGGTTTTCTATTTGATTTCTTTTTTAAGACACCTTGCCTAATAATGACAAATATTTTTTACAGAAAAGCCACCAGAAGTCCAAGATGAGTACCTGCATCCAAGTTTGGCGGCAACTATTATAGAATCGGTAATATTAGAGCAAAATGGTTATATTTAATTTATCTCATAATTTAAATAAAACACTAACGGTTTAAAACGCGATATATTAGTTAAACTTATTTGGAAGTTAAAATCATCCAAATCAAATATCGCCTTTTAAACCGTTAAAGTGTTTTATTTAAATGTGTATTACTCTCGTAAACTATAGACAGTATTTATCTCATAATATTTTTTACAACTGTATGGGATAATCAACTGATATATCAAAATCTGCTAAATTGTGCGTTCAAATGTTATTATTTTCTAACGTGGACATCACCCTTGGCAGGACGGATGATCAGTCCACGTTGTCCGCTGACCATTTCACCCATTTCCCCATAAACGTCCAAATGTTGAGTAGGCAAGATTATAATTTTGGTTAAAGGAACCCAAGTATGCTTTAGGTTTGTCCTATGAAAAGTAGATAAAAGTTTAAAACGATTACCGAGATAATCGCATTTTACAAACAAACTTTTTATGTTTACAATAAATAAATGTTATTTTTATTATACACCTTTATATTATTTTTAGGCACCATCGATTCCAAGCATACAATACAAGCCCTCAGCCGACTGTGACTACACGATGCTCATATCAAAAATGCGGGGTGAAGCAACGCTTGATGAGACCTACGCCCCCGAACTAGCCCCAGGGGAGGTGGCCCCGCCGGGAACGGAACCCCTACCTCTTCAGAACAATGCCCAGATCTCTAGAGCTCCAGTCATGTACAATCAAAATGATCATGGTAATTTTTTTTAAGTCATGACTTCTCCACGCAGAACTGAGGATGACATTTCTACCTTTCCAAAAAATGTTTATTATTGATAAATGCCATCATTATTTAAAAAAAAATTAATCATTTCAGCTGCAGCAGCGTATCAACAGTACGCAGCATATTATCACCAATACATGGCGCAGAGTCAAGTTCAAATGCAAGTGCAAGAGGCGCAACAAGTTCCATCGCCAGCTAACTCTACCAAATCCACCGGACTCAGCCTCATGAAGAACTACAACACCGACAGCGATACTGATGCATCGGGTAAATAAAGAAACAAATAGTACAAGGCGCTACTATGGCAAGAATTCCAGCATTAGCTAACTTTGGCTTTTAGAGCCTAGCTAAAGTCACTTTTAGACCTATCCAACTCCAAACCTTACAACCTATAATATATATAAATAAACAATAATAGTTCATTAGGACTAAAATTCCCTTTTCCCTGCGTACCACATGAAGCAGACACATTTTTATGTCGGTTTCACGTATTTTCAGACAAGATGTTGATCACACTTCTCTAACCTGCTCCAGAATTGAACCCAGGATCTTACGGGCTTAACTTATTTGACACGCTACGAACGTAATAACTTAACACTTGGCAATGCGTATATTTGACACGCTACGAAGGCGGTCAATAAATATTGAATACTGCCAGTTTCCATTGCTGGAACTAAGGATTCTGAAGGGCTTGGCTGTTGCCCTAGAGTAGCACAGGGAGATGGCCTTTAATTGTCTCAGCTTAACCGATTTATTAACATTTACAGAATATGATGATTCTTCATCCAGTGACGGTAAAGATAAGACTCCAATAGTGAAACCGCCCGAAAACGTCATCCTCGTAATAGAGAAGATGGCAGCGTACGTCGCGCGAAATGGCGATGAATTCGCAGATATAGTGCGCGCTAAGAACGATCCGCGCTTTACCTTTCTCGACCCTGGGAACGTGTATTATCCTTTTTATATGAAACTAATGCATCAGAAGAGGGGCGTGGGGAGTTCAAAAGAGAGGAAGAAACAAAAAGGTTAGCTTAATTTTTTTTTTCGGGAAGTTCATATTCTCTACATCTTTAAAGTTTGAATTTACGTTTCACTTCGTAGAAAATTATTTACACTGATTGTGCCCCTGTACCATACCACGGCATTTAGGGGCAGTTTTGCGTACAATGCGACGAAATGTTGGAAAAACCTTCCACCACCAATACGGGCCTCTAAAACTGTAAGGAATTTTAAACTTTATTATAAAACGTTTTTATTAGTAGAGTCATATTCCTAATCGCATGTACGCAAAACGATATATGTTTTTATAATTTTTTTTAAAAAAGAGTTTAGATCTGTTTTGTAAAATATACAACACACATTCCACTATATATCATACATTATTCTAAGTTTATTCTTATAGTTTAGTTTAGTTTCACTAAAAGGTTGTAGTTGTTGTCACCTTCTTTCCCCGGGAGGGCACTGAAAACCGGCGCTTCTCCTCTACTCTGGGTGGTGAGCTCTGGAGTGCTGTTTTCCCCATTTCACAAGCACTCCTCCCAGTTTCTATTTTTTTGTTTGTTTTTCTTTCACTTTTTTATAAATGGTAGTTATTTAAGCTTATATTTAAGTCATTTATTCTGTCTTGTGAAATAAATGGTTTAAGTTTGAGTTTGATAGTTGTTAAGTTATTTACTTATGAGAATTATGTAAAGCTCCAATATGTTTGTAGATATGAAAATATAAAAAAGTTTGAATGTCCAACGAGAGTAAAATTTAACCCATTAACATAGAATTGATACTCCTGAAAATTTTACAGTATCTATATATATTTTTTTCTCTATACCTATTTTTAGCTCCAGTGTCATTTTCAATAAAGAAAGTCAAAGATCCAGATCCCATTCTACCGAAACCAGCTTTGCCCTATGAATCAAGTTCCGATGATGACGAGAAAGATCAGCAACTAAATAATGGCGAAACTAATGATGTTACTAACAACACTCCACAAATATTACCAGTTAATAACATCCCTCCAATTGCTATATACAAAATTGAAACTACACTAGAGAACAATTTACCACAAGTCAAAACGATAGAACATCAACCGGCTATCGAAGCTGTAGAGACATGTGCAGATCCAGAAAAAAAACCCCAAACTACCACTGAACCAACACCAGACTCTCAACCAGCTAAATTAACGCAACCTGAAGAAAAAACACCTGAAAAAGAGTTACCGAAAGAATCAATAGATGAAGAAGAACCCAGGCCGCGCGATAAAAAGAAACGTAGATCAAAATCGGAGAGTAGAGATTCTCGAAAGGAGTACGATAGGGAGAAGAAAAGAGAAAGAGAATCGAGAAGAGACAATGACAGGGATAGACAAGATGATAGGCAAGAGAGGGAATCTAAGAGAGAAAGGTATGAATCGAGACGCGATAGGGATGCGGAGAGAAGAGCGAGAGACGAGAGGGACAGATATAGGGAAGAGAAAGAGTTAAAAAGGGAAAATGATAGGCATAGAAAGAGAAGGAAACGGACTGAAGAGAGAGTGGAGAGTGAGATAATAAATTTAGAGGAGTACTCGGACGATATGATAGATTTGACTGGCGATCTATCTGACAGTAAAGGTAAGTTCAGATTTAGTCTGTTCTGCGTTTTTTTATATTTTTACACATTACCTAAAATATGAATTAATTTCAGTTGAAATGGATTTAGAAACGGATCGCACAAAGCAACAAGAGCGCAGGCGCAGGGCGGCGGAGTTTCTGAAGAAAGTTGGCGTAGATCCGTCGGCCGCTGCGTTGCCCAACACTTCATTAGCAAGCGCTATGGTATGTTCCCGTAATGACCAGAATTGGTCACGGGGATCCTGCCTTTTCGCCGAAAATTGTTTGGCCGGTTATCACATGCCAACCAACGTTTCACCTATTTTTCACATTGATGACTAACGATTGTTGATTTTTGTATGACAACGTTTCATTTGGTAAAATTACTGTCAATCTGATTATTGTAATGACAAAAAAGTATGAGGCATTTATCTTTTGTCAAATTCGTACGTTGATATAATGTTTTAAAAAAAAAACAAATTGCGAAGTGAAGTTCAGGTGAAATCGACAGGAATCGGTTAGGTTAGTATGCTAATAGCGGTAAACAATGCAAAAAGACAAGCTGAGCAAGCAAAGCGAGCGTGCCGAGGCAGAGGCCGGCGAAGTGCACAGGGCTTTTAAATAAGGAAATGTCAAAAACTTTTAAAAATCTATTAAAACATATTTATACAAACAAACAAAACATAAACATATTTATTATAAAGATTACATTTAATATTTAAATAGTAAGGGTTCGCCTGTTGTAAAATTTCAGATACAATTAGGGCCCTAAATGATTATAGATGAACTTCGTACAGTCTGATCTTAGTAATATGAGTCTTAACGGTTTAAAACGTTACGTTATAAAGTAGGCTTTATAAGGAAGAAAAATACGTGTAAAACTCTTTCGAGTTTTACACGTTTTTCAGACATATATTTGCATTTGTTAGGTTTATATGACGCAGGTACAGTAATCCCTATAAGAAGTGAGACTTGTACAATCTGAAAATGATATTAGATTTGATTTTATAGGTGTATTAAGTGTTAATATTAAATATATTTTGTTAATAGGTGGACACATTGGAGTCGTTGAAAAAGAAGAAAGCAGAGGAAGCCGAGAAGAGACGTAGAAGGGATAAGAGAAGGAAACGGGATAAATATGGTAATCTATTTTGAATATTTAACTTGCAATAGTGTAACAAGATTTTGTTACTGCTTCAAATATTGACTATGTATTACTTTGCGTTTCAGGTTACGATGAGACCGACCGCCATCGCAGAAAACGAAGGAAAAATAGGTAAATGGTTTTCTTGAAAGTTTTCCGCTACTAAATACTGGTTTTGGTCGTTAGTCTAATGGTAGCAACGAATGGCTTATGATCAAGGAGACGTGGGTTCGATCCCCACCGCGAAACATATTGGACTTCGTCTGGAACTCTGAATATTAAATAAGGAATTACAAAGGAATATCGACATCGACAGACGTCCGGCTCACGAACCGCTTAAACCCCATAACACCTACTAAAAACCGTGAGGCTTGATCGCGTTTCGCTTTCAGTCAGTTTATTCCTAAACATCCAAAGTCAAAAGAAGTTGACAGGGCATTTCGTATATATGTTAATCGCTCGGGTCTTTCAACTTTTTAGAACTCTATTAATAATAAAAAAATCTATTCATGGACATAAATCTATTCATAAAATCTTAAACGCAACGATTTTTTTTTTATTTTAACGACTTCTCCTTGAAGAATGTTTATTTATCTTAAATATAAATAGACTTATGAGATCGTTTTATTTTCAGATCATCGGATGAAGATGATTCGGACTGTGATGGGTATGGGTTTTATATTTTAAAAATCTTTTTATTCTGTCTATAGTTTACGCGAGTAGTACACATTTAAATAAAACACTTTAACGGTTTAAAATTATTAGGTAACCGTTAAAGTGTTTTATTTAAATCTTTTTATCGTTGGCTATGGCCAAAAAATTATCCCAATTTGGTCTCGTGTATACAGTGGTTGGTATAACTTCCTTTCAAAGTTGGGCCACAAGTGTCTTTTTTTTGTATTAAAGATGATTATTCAACTGCTAAGTATACTTCTAGATATTTTAAATTTTAAACATAAATGAAAAATTAACATAAACCTTAAAATAAGCTTATCCAACACTTATCATGTAAATATGTTTTCAGATCTAAAAAGAGACGTCATAAGAAAGAGAAAAAACAGTCATCAAAGAACAAGAGAAAGAAGCGTCACGATTCCGATACGGAGGAAGAATTACCCACAATTAATATCGACCTTACGAACACATTAAAGGAATTAAGAAACGCATCGCCAACTAAGGAGTTTGGGTTAGAGGTTAGCAATCAGAAAGAGACAGAAGACAAAGCCAAAAAGAAGAAAGAGAGAGAATACAGCGAGGGGGAGTGGTCTAGCGATAGTGATGAAGATTCCGAAAATATGAGCGAATGAGATTAATTCTTGTATTAGCATTTTAAAAGATAAAATGTTTTAAATAACTAATTTACTAATAGTAATAAATTGCAATAAATACATTTTTAAAAATTAATTTGCGGATTATATGCTACCGCCGTGAATTCATTTATAAATCGACATTAAACATCAATATAAATTCTTTACAAAAATTGTAATTATAAATATTTTATTTTCCATTTTTTACATATAGAGTTTGTTTCTACGTATTTTATACACTTTTCCCTGTAAAATATGACTAAGCTGATAGTAGACATTGGTAAATAAAGATTATTTTCAATTTTTAAGTTCGTTTTATTCAGATAAAAATGTTCTCTTACATTTTGAATATACGCGCTGAAATGTATAAATAATGCATGATAAAATATAAGTCGTTTAAATCCTATAATACCCGTGTCTTTGTGTTTATCCGCTAATATCTATTACGATGTTTGATGTAATTTATCTATCATCTTAGTTAATCTTGACACTTGTCGAATCACTAGATCCCTCCTACGGCTTTGTATGCTATTTTAGGTTTAGTCTGTCGATCATTTAAGTGTACTCTTGGGGGCCCGTCGGTCCAAAAATGAATGCGTGGATTCGATTACCACCTGGTGCGACATGTTTTTGAAAACAATTAATATTATTACTTTTTTTTTACCCAGATTTCGATCTGGAACATCTGGACATTTTACGGGTAGTAGTAATATTGAAATTCCGTTCTGGATGTACCACCGTCTACAGATGGAAAAGCCTTTCGGTTTCAAGCCTTGGATTTTTTAATGTCCAAAGCCAAAATAGGTCGACATCTTGTTGAGATGTAATATGACTGGGATATTTCACATTCCATTAAGTGGATCCCATCTCTGTTTGACAGCTCTCATAACTTTATGTACTAGATTAAATTTAGGATAAACGGACTACATATTTTGTATAATATGTACCTAAATACTGTCTATAGTTTTCGCGAGTAGTACAAATTTAAATAAGACACTAACGGTTTAAAACGCGATACAGTAGTTAAAGTCCCCCCGTGACCACGGCTGCTGCAAAGCATCCGAAACGTCGGGCCGAAGTTAAAAATAATTTTCAAATAAGTAACTAAAAATAAATAAATAACTACTATATCGCGTTTTAAACCGTTAAAGTGTTTTATTTAATATGTACCTACTGTATTTATGCTGCCCATTAAGTAAAAAAAATCGGTGTTAGAACTAAGATGTAATAAGTAAATTTTGGCTACAAAACAAGTTGCAACTAAAATGTAAAAAGAGAATAATTATATATATTTAATGATATGCAAATTGACTAAAGGGAAGAAAATAAATACAGATTGCATTGATTGCTCATACGAACTCTTATTAAATAAATATATAAGTTAGCACCAGCACTTTCAAATATGTTCAGAATTAATAGATAGAAAAGTGACTGAGTAAGACTTATATCGTACAGTAGTCTAGTTATGCTAATAGTTTCTTCAGAATGTACTAAAGCGTGTAATGGATAACAACAAAATGGTATTAAGATAATCTTACAAGCAAAGGCGTTTGTCAATAGATATAAACATTCTATACAAACGGTATATAAATGAAGTAAACGATTTCGCTAGTTTATTGTCGAGTTAAGATTCGTCGGAGAACCTATGAGCTATCAGGATGGCGGATGTAAGTAATATTTTAAATAATCTTTGAGAGGGCAAAAAATTAAATCCCGTTTTGGCCACGATGTTTATTCACAAGCAAGTAGTAGATCAGACTTCTTTAAATTTTCCCGGTTTCGAACTATGGACTTTTTGCACTTAACGCAATTAGTTTAATATCAATATGCGCTATTAGTATAAACTTTATATTATATTAAGTATACAATAAAATATTTCTTCACCCACCAGAAAGGACCAGTAGCAATGATTGATCCGTCGCAACTAATGCGACCAGAGCCCACCTTCAACGACAAACCCCTTCAGGCTTACCGCGACTACACCATAGATGACACAGACCCGATCAAGGAGCGCGTGCGCAGAACATACTACGAGATGCACAGCAAGATGACTGTTGATTTATTTAAGGGTAAGATAATTGGGGGAAAATATTTTTATGACAAAGGGACAACAACGAGCAAAGGTCACTTGCTGGGAGGTGAAATAACCTATCACAAAAACATCAAACCAAGATACGTCATCTATTTGTTGACCCTAAATTTTAGTTATTAACATGTAAAAAGTGAGTTATTTTTTATGTATGTAATGTTTATAGAGAGATAGTTTCAATATAATATGGCAATATATAGCCAATTGGTTGAGTCATAACAAAGGTACTCTATTAAAAAATTCGTCAAAATGTATTCGCTTTCTCTGAAAGAAAGAAATCTCTGTAATATTTTAGTTGTGTTTAAAGTCTTTCGCAGCTATTCTGTAAAATTATTGGGTGTATATTGTTCGTTGTAGAGAATCGTTGAATGATGTTCAGCGTTTCTAGATAGTACAAACTGCTGACCGAAGAATAAATACATTTTCAGCTCAGTTGCGATACATTTAAAAAAATTAAACAGTTATATTTACTACGATAAAACTTTGTAATCTTTATCTACTTAAGCATTACATTTTCTAAACTTATCTAGAGAAACGCGAGAAGTGGTTGAAATTTAATCACTTCAAAGCGACAGTGAAAGATGCCCTCATCCGTCTCAACGAAGTCGTGGATGAGTCAGACCCTGACCTCGACCTACCAAACATTGTTCACGCCTTTCAGACAGCCGAGAGAATCAGACATGACCATCCTGATGATGACTGGTTCCATCTGACTGGCTTGATTCACGATTTGGGAAAGGTAACACACGATGTCTTATTTTTTCCTATTTCGTTTCAGTATATCATTTAGTAAATCAGGTTTAATGCAAAGAAATTTCAAATTATTGTTTTGCATGTTATAGGCTAAGAGACACACGTAGTGCTTATCGCGTCGAAATTATTAATTACACGCTGAAGAAAAATGTTTTTTTTAAATATGTATTTTGACCCGGGGCGTCTGGGCCCCGAGGAGGCCTTGGTCTAGCAAACACGGTGGATTGGGCCCCAAACTAATGAAAAGCCGGGGTTAATTTTTATACCGGAAGTTACTAATTTATTTATTTATTTATTATTATTATTCTTAAGAAATACACGTATAATAATTGAAAATAGACATTGATCAAATAATAAGTAATTCTAGTTACAAAGAATAAATTAAGAACATGGTATTCGTTGAGTTAAATAAGGATACATATAAATAACAAGTTGGACTAGGCACATTTTGCGCCATATTCTTAATTAATTATTATATAATGTTAAAAAAAGAGGAAATACAATAACTAAGTAATATAAAATAAAATCACTCAAAAACAGTTTTTAGGTAACTTTGATCTTTCTTTTAAAAGTAAGGGATGTTCAAATAGTGATTCAATCTTCGAAAGTTCATATACTTTTGAAGTGTTTATAGGAATCACTATGTTCTGTAGGGAAGACAAAGGATGAACACTTGGGGGTGGAGGGTTGAATTTATTTTGAAGGATGGGCAATCGAAGTTATTGTTTACCACTTTTGCAGGAACATATAAGAGAAGGGTCTTGATTTTAGAAGGATTAATGTTTATTTTATAGAATACGGGATATACTTGCGCAAGGTAAATGTTCCCGGAGGGTAGGTTCTAAGTATCTTTTTTTGTACTTTTCAATCCTATTTTTGGACTGTAGTAGGTTATACTTGATACAGTATTCTTTTGATTCTATTGATTCTAAACAAATCAATAGGGAATAAGTCATAAGAAAAAACTTAAATACTGTCTATAGTTTACGCGAGTAGTACACATTTAAATAAAACACTTTAACGGTTTAAAACGCGATATATTAGTTAAACTTATTTGAAAATAAGTTTAACTAATAAATCGCGTTTTAAACCGTTAAAGTGTTTTATTTAAAATAAAAAACTTATTTAAATGTCCACTTATCTAGCTCCATTTATATATTTGTGTTAAATCTTTACAACTAATAGTGTTTTCAGGCAGATTATAACGGCACTTACTATGAATACATTGATAGAATGACCCAAGTGACAAAGACGTCATACATACATAATATTATCATGTGAGTAAATGTAATATGTTTATCACAATCGCTATCCTTTTGTTGAAAGGTAATGGCACTGTATGGAGAACCACAATGGTGCGTAGTGGGAGACACCTTCGCCTTGGGTTGCAAATGGGCTGATGCGATCGTATACGGCCCAGAAAGCTTTAAGAACAATCCCGACACTTACAATCCGAAATACAAGCAAGTATCGATTTGCACTAAGAAAAAAAACTTTGTAACAACGTATAAGTTTTACGGTTTTATCTAAAATTTATTTCACCTACAGCCCGACGTTTTTGGTGCTTTGCGCCAACTGATGACATAACTATTTATTGCTTCCACAGTACTTTATACGGTATGTACAAACCCCACTGTGGCCTGGACAACCTGCTGATATCGTGGAGTCACGACGAATACTTGTACCAGTTCCTTAAGCACAACAAGAGCACCATTCCCGAAGAAGGCTTGGTGATGATCAGGTAACATGGCACGTCGTTATCATTATCAAACCTATAAAAGCCAGAGGCTGAGGGTTTTGTTGGAATGGAATAAGTCCAAATCTGGACCATATCTCTTCGAGTTCATAGGTCTTAATGGAAGGGCAAAGCCAAAGTAGGTTGACGCCGAATCTATTTTAGATGTTTTACGACTGGGTCTTGTCTGTTCTCCTGTATCATAAAAAATTAAAATGACGCACCTGCGAATACGAATTGATATATTTGCGATCTGTTTGTACTCGTAACTTGACCTGGCTCTCTTTTTAATCGATCTGTAAACAATCCTCAAAAACTTGGAAAATCTTTAATAGGTGGTTTAGAGGTTTATTTTTAATATTGAATAATGAAACTCAAATAGGTACCACTCCTTCTACCCGTGGCATTCTGGAGGTGAATACCGACATTTGACCAATGAAAAGGATGTAGAGACCCTCAAACACGTTACGGAATTCAAGTAAGTTTATCTTCTATGCTGCGCTACTAACTGAAGAGTTATGTAGAGTTAGGTTCAAATTATGAGAACGTTTTGAGGTAAAATAAACAATTTTTATTAATTTAATCGCTTTTTTATAAATAAAACACTTTAACGGTTTAAAACGCGATATATTAGTTAAACCGGCCGTATATATTGGTAAAAAGGCCCGACGTTTCGGATGCTTTGCAGCAGTCGTGGTGCGGGGAGACTCTAAAGTGACGTTAAAGTGTTTTATTTAAATGTGTACTACTCGCGTAAACTATAGACAGTATTTAATCGCTTTTCTTACGAAATAAAGAATATGTTTTTGTGGGTTGGGTGGGAACTCTGGAAGTACTTCCAGAGTCAATTTTACCTTGAAGCAAGTTTAAACGTGAAGTGCACTAGTTCAATTGAAGCTATTTTTGTCCCTGCAGTCATTAAGGATGGTCCAAATAAAAATATATACAAATATTATGCTCGGTTGATGTAGAGCACACATAATTGAAGGACAAACAAACACATCTACGGTTGATGTTTTTACCTTAATTTAACTGCTTTTCTTCTATCTTAAAAATACAATATATATTATTTCTTTATATCATTCTAAATTTATTATAATCACTTCGGCATCTATGCTTTCAATACAGATATTCGCCCACTAAAAGGGTATTTCCACGTTAAAAAACTATTATTGGAAGCTTCGGGTCTTGCGTCAGCCCTAAAATCAATTTAGAACGAAACGTATGCACTTGCTGAGGATTAACGTTAGATATTGATATATATATATATTTTATTTTCAATTTCAGCAAATACGATCTTTACACCAAGAGTGAGAAAATCCCTGATATTGAGGCGCTCTGGCCCTACTATGAAAAACTTATCGAGAAATATATTCCCGGTGTTTGCGAATGGTAGGGAGATATATCGAGCACACTACGTGAAATTTTTGATAAGTTATAATACCAAATACAGTATTAGTTGATATTTTGTAGCTATCTACTTTAACCTAATAAATTTATGTAATCATTATCGAAGACGCATTTTTATTTTTCACCAGTTTATTATGTCTATGTTTTATTCCCAGCCGTGAGACTGAGAAGAAAATGAATTTATTACAAATTGTATCTAGTAATCAAATAAAACGTTATATAACTAAAGCAAATAAAACGGTGTTAAAGTTATCTGAACGCTCGTAAAATTATCCAACAATTAAGTTTGCGTATGACCCTTAACATCACGATAATAACAAATAGCATGAGAATGGTCGTATTTCTTTATTTAGTCTTTGAGGTAAATACTCGTAAAAATAAGTAAGGGATGAAAGATTTTTTTGCACTTGATAGCGTCAAAAAATATTTAAAATCTATTTTAGTTTTAAATAAAACTTAAACACGGTAGCTTAATCGGTAGAGTAACAGCACAGATTGCTTTGTAAGTAACATAAACAAACTGTTTATTTATAAATTTTATTAGACAGTAATGACTAATTAGTGCGGATTACGTCCCATTAAATCTATTTGTTACATTAACCATTGACTATTAGTTTTTGGAAAATTCGCAATCAATTATCGCAACACGATAACATTGTACCCCTTCGATACCAGACCTGAAGATAAAATTGTTTTCTGACGCATTTAAGGTCTCGCCCCTTTGTGACGAAGATCAGTTGTGTTTTGACAGCCACAAGATTCAGTCATGAAGGACAGATTCAAAGTGAGTAACGTATATTAATATTGAAAAGAAGACAGTTTGTGTGAAATGTTTGTTACGGCTTTCCCGATACTAACAAAAGTTGCTGAAAAATTTTGTGCACATGTTCAGGTCGGAGATCGACCGTCTCAAACGGAAACGCGATTAAATTTCACGGCCTTTTCATCTGTGATTGGGCCACAGTGGTTCTTGACCCGGACAGTCGTTCAATATTCCTCCTACCCACTTCATATCCAAATTTCCAGTCGAAGTCAAACGTGTTTCAGAAAAATTATAAATTGATAAGCGGCATGTTGGACCCGGTGGGGACCACCCATTGGACCCATGACCCGTTGATTGTTAGCTACCATTGCCCCAACGAGCCCGTCATATCTAAATACTAACCATCACTGTAAATGACAGTTAGGTAGGTATTTTACATTTATTTTGAGGGAGTTCAAGTGCGGAAGAAGATATATATTTATATATATTTACAAATCTCCAAAGCCAAAATAAGTGCTTAAGACTATCCTCTGTCATAGAATCTTTAAAAAATGTTTGTTTGTTCATGTATCGATCAGAAGTGCATGCACATGGGCGAGGCAAGCTTATCTTAATCAATTTCAACTACCACCCGACGTTTCGATTAGTGCCGTTTTAATTATTCCTCAATTTAAAAAGGAGTTAAAATAACTTAATTTATACATTTTCGTAATTCGCGTTTAACCCTTAATTTTAACTTCTGTATGTTCGACGAAGAAGAAGATATCTATTAATTAAACTTTCTATGCCTTCTAGGAGACCGTGGGTATGATCGACCCGTCGCTACTACTGCGACCGGAGAACGTCTACGAGGACAAACCGGTCGCAAACTTCCGCGACTATTCTGTTGACGACGCCGATCCGATTAGAGATCGCGTGCGCAGAACTTATTACACTATGCATACACACATGACGGTGGATTTTGTTAAATGTTAGTTATTTCATAGTAAATTCAAAGAAGATGGCGGTGGCTACTGACTTACAATTTATAATAAAGTATTTCTAAATTAAAAGTCGATTAAGTTTTTTTTTACATTTTACGGCGCGGGCAGGACTTGAATCGGCATCCACAGGCCACAGCGTTCCGAGCTGTTAATTTAACCAATTGAGATACCGGAACGCTGTGACGCTTGCCCTTATTGTACAATTTTTTCAAACTTAATCGATATTTAATTTATATAATGCCATCATGTGCAATATTATACGAACAATAGTAAAGTTTTCAAATGTATTTAAACTTATATAAGGTAGTGATAAAGAATATATAGTACGTACCTCTTTTGTAGCCAAAATGGACAAATGGCTCAAGTTCAATCACTTCAAAGCGACGATGAAGGAGGCCCTTCACAGGATGAACGAACTGGTGGATGAGTCGGACCCCGACCTGGACCTGCCGAACATCGTCCACGCTTTCCAGACAGCCGAGAGGATCAGGCGAGATCATCCTGATGACGATTGGTTCCATCTGATTGGATTGATACATGACGTTGGCAAGGTACCGGAGTTAATATTATTGTGTTTTTATATAGTTTTAGATGTAAATATAGAAGCTAAAGAAAATACTTGTTTTCTCCAAAAGTACAACTACGAACAATAAAAGTTGAATAGAGAATTATGGAATGAAAAAGGCGGTCACAAATATATTTTAAAAACTAAATAAAATGAGCTCATGTAATTATCAAATGTTTTAGGTTATGGCATTTTACGACGAACCGCAGTGGTGTGTGGTGGGCGACACTTTTGCTGTTGGCTGCAAATGGGGGAAGAGCATAGTTTACGGAGACCACAGCTTCAAGGACAATCCTGATTCTTACAATTCTAAATATAAGTAAGGATTTCCTTAAATTGGTTGACCCCGAAGGCGAACGGTTAGACGTCTAGACTGCGGTAAAACGTCAAAGTCTGATAAAAAACTGGTAAAAATCTATTACTGAAACGGACCCGGACGGAAAAGTAATGTGTTCGTCCAATGTCCCGAAGGGGGGAAACAGAGTTTTAATTTTTTTCTGAGTGTCCATAGTGTTCACTAAATGGCGTCTTTGTTAATTTTTGTAGCACAGAATACGGCATGTACGAGCCTAATTGCGGTATCGAAAACCTGATGATATCCTGGGGTCATGATGAATATCTTTACAGAGTTTTAGTTCATAACAGAGCAAAGTTTCCAGTTGAAGGATTGTGGATGATTAGGTACGATTTTTGACAAACTAAAAATAATGTTTAATAAAAAAGAAATTGAAATAGTCATTGCAAGCGTAATCAGAAACAACTGTGTATAAAAATACTCCATTCTTATATGTATGTAATATTTACTTAAAAAATATACATTCTTTTATGACATGGCTAGGCTGGGAGGTAAGGTGAGGCAAGGAGCAGAGTTTTTATACGAAACTAAAAAGAAAATATATTTTACTTAGCTTCACGCCCAACTAGAGCAAAACCTTAGTATACCTTGAGTACTTAATAAAAGACAGTCAAGTTGCGGCTATAACGATATTATGTTGATGTTTCATCTTTCAGATACCACTCGTTCTACCCCTGGCATGCAGGTGGCGATTATGCACACCTTACTCAAAAGGAAGACGAAAAGATAAAAGAGGCAGTTATTAAATTCAAGTAAGCCCACGCTTATCAGATATAAGATAACATTTTAAATTAATCTAAAACCACTTACATGTTTGATTAGCACCTAACGTTGTCATATTTAGCTTATTTTCAAAATGATTTGCAAAATTAAAATTGTTTACGTCTTCTTATTTCCCGCCTTTTATCCATTCTCAGTGATAATGATGCAACAAAATGGTTGAAACCACAGAATAACGCAACATTTTATATTCCTCGCACAGATAGAATTGAAACATTGATTTTTTTTTTTCAGCCAGTATGATTTATACACAAAAAGTACAGTTATACCAGATATTGAAGCTCTATGGCCGTACTATGAAGGACTTATCGACAAATACATACCTGGCACATTGGAATGGTGACGAGTTACCATAAACTTTCAGAAAATATTATTAATAAGATTTTATATATGTACAAATAAATATAAGAAAATAAAAGCTTTTTCGATAAATCAGGAACTTTATTTAAGCTATATTTACAGATACAAAATATCAGAAAATATATAATCTATATATCAACAAACATATTGCGAATATGCAATTATTATTAGTGAAAGTATCCGAATTTAATATGCTTTATTAAGTCTGAAACTCGAGTTTTAACGTTAGTATGGCCAATATAATGTCTTTTTCTGACACACGTGTTCAGTATTGGAGGAAAAATAACAAAATTTTGTCACGTAGGTTTTGTCCCTTTTCCTCCAATGCGATATAAATTAGCACAAAAAAGACAAAAACCTTGTAACGTTATAAAGCCATTATAAACAGACTAATAATTATTAACATCGGCTACTTTCTGCAGCATCCAGCATTTTACTTTTAGCATACTACAATTTTACATAGATCAACTTCTCGTTAAGACACTGATTCCGCGTAAATTCCAGACAAAATCACTCCATTATTATTAAAGAGAAGAATGGCTTTTCAAAAAATCGATGAAGTATTTAAAACATATGGTGTTTTCCATAATTTTCAGAGGGGCACGGGGGGAATGCTTGTCTGGCTTCTTCTGTCATAAAAAAGCAACTTAGCCAAAAACTTTGGTGTGGTTTTGCCAAGCCTTAATTAACCCGCGTAAAATCTATTGTTTAGCTATCCTGCATCGATTAATTGAAGAACCATATGGTTATATTACAAAGATAGCTAAATAATTTATTGGACATAGATTAGTAAAATTCTCGTAAACAGACACCGAAAACCTTTCTACAAGTATATAAATGTTAATAGTGTATACACTATCTCACTCTGTAACCCTCACGAAAGCAAATAAGACCATTTTGTATGTATCTTTCCTCTCTTGTGTTAATTAAAGTACTCCCTTACCTAATTATCTAAGCACAATAGTTTCATAAAATCAATCGAAACGAATAATTGCTTAGATCTTTCCTAAACCGGGAATTAGGAATCAACTTCCTACTTTAATTACTTTTATTCAAACTTTTTAATCGTGGAGTTAATAATCTTAAGTTAGACCATAACTTAAATTAATTTAAAGGTATAACTATTAAAACAATCCGCGAACCCTTTTATTTTCCGCTTACTTTCATTTTTATAATCAATTTAATATTAAATACTGTCTGTAGTTTACGCGAGTAGTACACATTTAAATAAAACACTTTAACTGTTTAAAACGCGATATATTAGTTAAACGGTCTCCCCGTGACCACGGCTGCTGCAAAGCATCGGAAACATCGGGCTGTAGTTAAAAATAATTTTCAAACAAGTTTAACTAAAATATATCGCGTTTTAAACTGTTAAATTGTTTTATTTAAATAAATCTTTCTAACAATACTTTTTTCATCTATTCTGTTATGTGATACAAACCAGCAAATCTTATATGCTTTCATGAAGTGTCAATTACATAAACTAGTTAGGCTCAAGACCTTTCTTTACTCACTTTTCTTTAGGTTACCAAAATTTTATTTAAGAATAGAAAGAAGTTTGTAAGCGAGTTTTACAAATTGTTTTCGCAACTTCTGTCCCGTAAAACTTCTTAGATCTTCGAGCCGTTCGATCGTCGTGTTCTTTGTCCATCCCGAACAGCTTGAAAACCCAAGAAACTTAGCAAAATGGCTGCGAAAGCCTTAAACAATTCAAGACACATACATAAAGTTTAGCAATCTAATATGCACACCTAAGATGTTAACCGTAACCTATCATCAGTCTTTGTGTTGGAAAGACGGGACACAGTTCCTTACGACAATAGAAGGCCATTTAAGGCAGCGAATATATGTTCGCAGGCAGACGAGACTATCCGAAACAAAAAAGTCTAAATCAACGTACGTAGTTAATACATTGCGGAGTAAAGTACCGTTCTATATATTTATTTCCTTTCTTTGGCTAAACACGACAAATGTAGATTTTAATACAACTGAAGCCGGCAGCTGCTCGACCAGAACAGCGTGTTCTATTTATCTTAAAGAAGGTTGTCAAAATAATTCTTAAAATTGTAAGTAAATCGACAAGGTTTTTAAAGATTTATTTTATTGATATAATTATTATAGCCGTATTATTATTATAGCCGTATTATTATTATAGCCGTATTATTATTATAGCCGTAATTTATTGATATTTTCAAATATATCTAACGTCTCGTCTGCATTTATAAAGGAAGAATCGTTACAACCTATATGTTTACAGTATGGCTCGGTTCAAAAAGTGACTGGACTTCATTAAATTAAAATGAAATTAGTTTATAACGTTTCGACGAATATTATTTTGTTGGTAGTTCTTCTACAGAATAAATATTTTATTACTGGAACCTGCCAGAGCCTTACTGTATAACCGAAAACTGCTTATTATAATAATATTTAAGACCATCCATTTCTACTCTTAATATAATTAGCAACAATAAAACTTAGGTGGAATGGTTCAGCTGATACAAAACTTGGCCGTTATTAAATTACAATAAGCACATTTCGGTTAGACTTGGTCCGCAAAACATATGAAAGACCGTGAAATACAAAGCTCTAATAATAGCGAAGAGTGAACTACGTTTCGAAATGTTTGTAAATGCTGGTGACGTAGGCCATGACCTGCTGCCAATCGGGGCGTTCCTGCTGGATCATATCTTGAATGTTCTGGAAGGATGGAAATACTTTAAATGTGTTTGTTTAACTAACCCTATGAAAACTAAGTAACGGCTTAATGTTTGTCACGCTACAAAGGATAAATGACAACTAATATTAGTTCAGTGTTAGTGATGCAAAATCCTTTTATTTTTGAGTTCAGCAGTCAGTCTTTGTTCTATAAAGGTACGTTTAACATCTCCTGATGCCCCCATAAAAAAATTGAAAGAAAATCTTTTTTGCATTTTAATGTAGCTAAATAATTAGTATATTACATACCAGAGTGGTGGGTATTCCCACTGATTCGGCAGCGGCAAAGGCTACTGAGAAGTTAGTCCGTTTGTCGTTTGGCGTCAATGAGGCGTAGGGAATGCGACTTTCGCCCAAATAGGAATGCAATAGAGCGCATAATGCCATACCGTCGTTCCACGATGAACTGAAATTTAGAATTGATCGCTTTTAGATTTTACTTCTATTTAAGTACTGAAGAAGATATAGTTTTAATTCATCTCTTATAAATTCAGTTCACAGAGTGATATAAAACCAACTGACTGTTCTGCCTAGTCTCGCGTGAGTGAGTAAAAAAATGCAAAAGTACCTAAAGTTGGTGATGTCGATGTTGTTGTATCCCAACGTCTTCTGCTGACACCATTTGAGCAGAGCATTTCGCTTCGAACCTCCATTCTTGATTTGCAGAGCGTTGAGTGGATCTTTTCTTTCACCTGAAGATTATACACGTAAACATTTATCATCAGCCCTTATTGTTCCCGCGGCTGGGACACGTTTTGTATACATAACCGATATAATATGTCGTTGAATTTTCAGTTCCAGGATATGCCAGTGTTCTTCAGACCATCCTTTAGGTACACGAGCAAGCGTTTAACGCACAACCACAAATACTTAAGACACTCAATACCCTTAATATACATAAGTCGGCTACTGATGTTTAACTGTATGTACCACGAAAACAGTTGTCAACGAGGGTTTGGGTAGTTACCTTCCATCAAGTGAATTTCTTGCCCGTCTATCCTTCTTAAACATGATGGTATACTCACAAATGTCCCCGTAGCTGTTCCGCCTGACGAAGGACTCGATGGCCTTCTGCTGCAGCGACGCGAGCGCCCTCTGCTCGTCCGGCATGTTCGCCATGTTCGTCACTCCACCGGACTCTGCCCCGCGTTAGACACGTCAGCAAGCAAATACAGATATGTGACAGTTTTTGACTCAATATGTACAAAGATGTATTTGACAATATCTTGTTATGAGAACTATCTATATTCGGCTTCTTGGAATGTTTTAATAATTAAAGAATTTCAGTTAAAATTTCAGTTACACGAGGAGATTTGCTTCTGTATCGTTTTTATCATTTGGCTGCCACAAAGACTTCTCTTTAGGTTTGTTTTTTTTTTGTTAAATACCCAAAAACTCATGCTATTAAGTTATTATTAATTAATTAATTATTATGAATTTGGTTAATGTATTTAATTTTTTTTAGATGTGGTCACATGGCTTTAATCTTTGTTCTTATTTACATTTACAAGGAAAATAATGATTCAGGGATATTATAATTATCAATAAAACTGTCACATACCGATCAAAGAAATAACAGTGCGAACGAAAACTTCCATCACCAGATTAGAGAAGTTACTTCTAGAATGTTCTACACGTATGTAGGGTTAGTAGAAGTTAGAAGGCCATTAATTTACAGCAAAACAATGAATCACATATAATACATTTCAACATTTATTATTCGAGACGGTATCAACGATAAGTTTAATAATATAACACAGGCATATTGTGCAACATAAAAATAATCAACAATAACAAACTTAGATTGAGAAGTAGTTAGGTAAGAAATAATTTAAATAAGGCAAGTACACATATATTAATATGAGCTAGAATACTAAGTAATCTTTAATCAAACAATTTAACCGGTTTTAAATGCGGTATTATTATAAGCCACTTGTCGTTGTGCTTGTTTTTTAAATGCAGAATACTACAAGGCGGTGTAAAAATTTTTTTACGTTTTAATCCGGTGAAAATAATTTATTTTTAATCTGTACGAAATTCTATCATTTTATACTCTTATTTATAATAAAATACAGATGATAATGTATGCATATGTAAGGCACAGACAGTAAAAGTAAATATAGTTAGTTAGTAAATGCGAAGTTCTAAGAGGCTTCATGCCGGCATGCTGCAAAAGAAAATATAAAAGCAAATACTTACATGCGGTCAATTTAATAAATAATTCTAGAAAAAATAAGTTTAGATACTCCACGTGCTACTTCGATCAACCCCAGTTTTTAGTACTTAGTAATACGTTAATATTAATTAAGTGTTGATAATTTGATTATTTTTCAATACATATAAATATTATAGCTTCGACGTTTTACCGGCCAATAAAATGATGTTAAACAACTAATATGTTTGTTTAAAATCTAGATAACATAAGAAACAAGTTAATTTAATGTACCTTGGGTATACTTAACTCATGTGTACTGTTTGTACACATATACAGAATTAATAAAAATACCGTATATAATACGCCTTTAAATGTTTTAAATATATAATATTTTTTTGTTTCAGAACAAAAATAGTAAATTGTATTAGTCTAACTAACCGGCGGGGATGGGTGACGGCCTATTACTCCTGGGCGCTGGCGGCTTGTTAATGAAGCTTGGAGCCTGAAGTCCATTGGTGGAAGGTGGATCTGACATGCCGTTCTTTATGTTGTTCGCTGTTGCAGTCACACCTGTTGTCGCCTGCACCTACGTAAAAAAATATTCGTACATACAAAAAGCATTACAGAAACAAAGAGGACGTAACTGTAGTCATTCTATGGTTATTCATGGCTTCAAGTTCAATTGATTCTTTTCAAGAGTTAAAGGTTAAAGTTAAAATTTTCGAAACCCGTAAAAAATAAATACGAAGCCTACTAGACTTGCTTAAAGCGATCGATGATTACAGACTTCCTCTATCTTTAGTCCGCCGACTGTGGCTGCTGCAAAGCATCCGAAACGTCGGTCCGTTGTTAAAATGAATTTGGAAAGTTTCTGAAATACATTTCGCGTATTCAATCAAGCCGATAAAAGTGTTTTATTTAAATGTGTACTACAGACTCAATGGTGGTGTACAACAAAAGTAGTTCTTTGATTAATTAATAAGAGATGTAAGAGTTAAAGGAAAGGTGGTCGTAGTAATACCTGGGGCCATTCCGTGACGGGCGTGGTCGCGGGAGATTGCTTGGCTGCTTTCGCCGCGTTCTCTATACTCTCTATAAGAGACTTTACAGATAAACGAGAGTCTTGGCGATTGACACCTGCAATTACATCGTAAATTGTCGCCAAAAGAATAATTTGAAATTGATTGTATGCGCTGAGTGCTATTATTAAGTTTTTAACACTTGAACCAAATGGCAGAATTAATAAAATCATATTTTCTAGGATCAGAACAGTTCTATATGAACAATATTTAATGGTCCCGTAATTATATTTATCTATCCGGTGTTTTACCTTTGGTCCTACGATGTGACGCCGCTGTCGCCATAATATCCTGAAGAGAAGCACTCGAGAGTAACGGAGGAGGGGGCGGCGTCTCTTCAGATCGCGGCGGCAGAGCTGAATATATAAATACTATTAGAATATTTGTCTTAACTTACGCAAACCGTAATAGTATTACTGTTGTCTCTTATCGAACAGCATATTTCAAGCGGTGCGCTGTTATTGTATCATGGGCGTAGCTAGGAAATAAATCTAAGGGATAATAAGCTAATCGAGGATAGCCAGAGGTAAAAATCTCGCCAAGGACATGTCGATGGGAGACTAGCTACGCCTATGTTAATACCGTGTCTTTTCTCGTCATTGAGACTGCAAGCTCTTATTTAAAAATTCACCAAATCTCCAACCGATATATAACATACTACGAAACACAAACAATTCGCTACCCTCACCACACGGCCGCCACCAAACAAAGGATCACATAACTTTTCGACAAAAATTGATTGGAATATTGGCTTTTAATAATTACACAATAAATAGAAATCAATAGCAATTAATACTATGAACAGATTCATAAAAATTGCTAATATATGTTACTTTGAAATGTAATGAAATAACGATGATTATCACAAAAATTAACGCCACTTTTTGGCGCTACACTTTGGTATTAGACCTCACGTGTCAATGCTGCCACCTAGTGGGTTCAGAAAACCCTAAATTATTTCCATATTACTCGTATTCTACAGATATCAAGCCAATATTGCAACCACACATCGGTTATTTACGACGACAGATATCACACGACACGGTCCAGCTTTGACTTACGTAGAGGATGCGTCGTGTCGTTTAATGACCTTATTGGGTGCGATAGCCTTTTATGCTCCAACGTCGTCCAGTGGTATTTTTTGTCTCGAGGCAGAGAACTAGTACTGGTGGTTAAACTGGGACCGGTTTGGTGCTGTAGAGAGAACTTTCTTATGGATAGAGGGCTTTTCCTCGCCTCCCCTTTAGGTTTCTTTTCTAAACTCTGTATTATTTGTCCGATTCCTGACGGTTTCTTTAAACTGTTTGCGCTGGGAGATCGCGATAGAGAGATGACAGATTTAGTAATTTGCGACATTTCTTTCACGATGTCCGTGGTGTCTTCGCTAGGGCTCATAGCTTTTGATGGATGCGTTTTCGGTTTCTTTGGTTTACGTGGTACCTTTAAAATTTCTTCGCGTTTTAATAACTCGAATTCGTCATTGAGGGTTTTATTAGTAATTTTATCGTCATCGGCTATATTCTTATTCGCATGCAAGCAAATTGGTTCGCCGATCTCTTCGTAGTAGTTTTCCGATTCTTCTTTTTTCTGTAATGTGTTCTTCCTTAAACTGCTTAGACTTTCATGGAATTGGGTTATGGGTGGTGATTTCACAAATGTCTGCGATGTGTTGATGACAAAAGGAACATTTTCCATAGGCTGGTAGTATTTGTTGTCGATTAACCATTGAGGTGACGTTGATAGTTTAGCAACATTATGACCTTCTACACCGGACATTGTCGATCGTTCCTGTTCGACAGAATCAGTCCGCTTTGTGAGAAAATGAAGCAGTTTCGGCTTTGTATTTTTCAGATACAAACTTTGTTTCTTGCTATCGTTGTCTAATATTTCAGGGGTATTAAACGTTGTTGCATCCATTTTTTTCTCATTTGTTACTCTTTTTACGGTCTTACTTTCCTCATTTAGCACCCTGTCTGTATCATCATAATACACAGTAGTTTTCTTAGGTTTGTCATCGTGATCTTCTTGTGAAATCGCATAATATTGTTTGAAATAAACAGGCTTTACTAAAACAGGACTCAATATTACTGGGGATGTTTGGGGATCGCTTTTATTTAAAATAGTTATTGGGGTTATTACTGTTTTCAATTTTGGGAGATTCGAAACCTCTGTTATACGTTTGCTTGTCTGCGAAGTGGTTTTACAAGGAACTGGGGGCGGTAGATCAGTGTTAATCCGCAAACGATAACTAACGTTATCTTCGATAGCAGGGTTAGTGTTGTTAGATAAATTTTGATCGTTAGCATATTCTATAAACGGATTAGTATTGCTATCTACTGTATCATTAAAAAGTTGCTTATTATTTCCAGGTGTCACATCTATTGCATTATCTTGATTAGTCTTTTTTAAGTAATTTTTTCGTCTTTCAGGTTTAGGAGGGCTACCCTCGATTTTTCTGTCTAAGTATGCATGGCAACACTGAGCATTTACTTCCTTTGTTGCCATCTGTAAATCTTGTTCTGAACAAAAATGTTGGTCATTATTCAAATTTTGTTCACTAATCCTGGTTATGGCGGCTTGAAATGTTGTTTTTAAATCTTCATTTACTTTTCTTAAATCATCTTGTAGCAGGTCATCTCGTGTTAAAGAAAGTGGACTTTCAGAAACAGTTGGATAGACATTTGGAAGAATAGATTCGGCTTTGATTATAGGTACTACATGTTTTTCATATTGTGGTTCAACGTCAAAATTCGACACATTTTCCTTTGGTTTAAATGTTTGTAGTGTTAAAGGTGGTTTATGTTTATAAATATCATATGCCATATAGTTAGATTTGATGATAGGAGATAGAAAAACACTATCAGAACCCTCAGACGATAAAGACACATTACTAATACAAGGGATATTACAAAACTCTATACTAGTAGCTTCGCTAAGTACATCTTTAAATTCAGTGTTAGAGTTGAGATTATCCAAGCTATACGATTTAGGTTTACCCCGAAATAAATTATGGGAAGTGCCTCCGAACTGTCTTTTTTGTAGTGAATGCTCATTGTAATCTCCTCTGGAGAGAAATTGACTGTCTGTGTCATCACTGATCATTAAAGCGTTTTGTCTCGCGAGTTTACCACTGGGAATGTCAAAGGAATCCTGTCGTTGTAGTTTCTTATTCGACGGCAGAGGTAAAAAGGGTTTGTCTATACTTTCTTTCGTAGGTGTTCTGTCGAGAAGATCATCGTCATTCGTTTCATCTAAAGTCACATCTTCAATTGATATTTTATTTCCGTCTCCAATATCTTCATTTGCATTCGGCGCAGTTTTTAATTTGAAAAACGCTTGATCAACGATACTTTCTTTCGACTCAGTGACGCTATGCACTCGAGAGAGATATCTCGTTCGAATATTTTGAAATATATCTACAGTCGACCCGTTGGGAGTCTCGACATAGTCAGAATCATTGCGATCATCTGATTCTTGTTCAAAACCGCAAATTTCTGAATTGTCTATACCTGTATCGATATGAAAAGTATTATTAAACATACGTCTATGAAAATCTGTACACGGAACATTATTGATGACTAGAATGTTAGTTCTATGAATGCAACTACTTCACTAAAAGCCTTATATAATATTAGTGTATGGCTATGCTTTTTATTAGGTACTCTTCAAGATTCATAGAGAAACAATCATGCACAATTATATTCGCAACTCTATCAAAACTAAGTTTATTAAAAAAAACAACTAAAACTCTACAGATGCATTATTACTACTACTAAGCACATGCAAGTAAATGTATACCGACTTTTATACTATCAATCAACTAATTTGAAATATTCAAAAGCTATATTACAATGCACTATACCATTTCAATCCTTTTGGAACAGTTCGTTCGGCGGTATACGCACCTTTAAGAGAATGCATTTGGTCCTCAAGGAGCCGGATTCGATCTCGCGCCACCTTGTTCTCCGAGACGAGTCTTTCCAATTCCCGTTGCGCTTCAGTCTTAAAGTCATTCGCGACTCGGACTGTCATTAATAGATCGCTTTGGAACTGTTTCCATTCTGCTTCGTCCCGTTCTCGTTCTCGAGCGAGTTGAGTGTTCTTTGCGCGTGCATCCTGTAACTGCCGTTCAAGATCCGCAGCACGTGCTAACGCTTCACCGGCACGGGACATCAACGCTAGCTTCTCGTCTGTTGCTACTTGTACCTAAATAGGTTTTAAATATTCTTTAGTCACTTCCTATTTTATATATTAAAACAATAAATATACAATGTCACTATTTTACCTTAACGCTTCATCCAGACAACGAACTCTAATTTTTGCAAAGTGTTAAACTTATAACGCAAATAAATTTACGAAAATAACTAGTCAAATATTATACGGTACAAATAACACCTACAAACAACGTAGTTGAAATGAGATAAGTTCTTCATTTACTACACAATACTTTTGAAGCATGACATATTTATTAGCAGTTTGTAACTCACTTGTATTTGAAGTTCCGACGTGTTCTCTTGCAAGGTTTGCAACTCCCCTTGCAAAGCAGCTTTCTCTTGCCGCAACTGCTCCAACTGGAATTCTAGCTCTGATATTGTAGTTTTTGCGTTGTTTCGAGATACCTAGAAATGATTTGTAAATACTAAAAAATATAAAATCTATAGAATGAAAAATTTTATAGAATGGTTAAGTATAAATTATTTTCATTAAAATTAAAAAAAAAAAACTCTTACAAACAGGATTACGGGTGTTCAAAATTATGGTATCAATGTATTTTACTAGATAAGTCATAAAGTTAAAAGAAAAAATATTAGTCCTCATAGCTGACAATTAGCACAGTGCCTTTTCAGAGAATCAAATAAGTATATTTATTTTAATTTTCATATCATAGTTGGTGTGCTGAAGAGGAATAACTAACCAGTGCATCATCATGCAGTTTCCTGGCATCCGAGTGAGCTCTATCTAGTTGCCGCTGCGCATGCGCAAGCCGTTCTGCTAAAGCGTGCGCACGCGCCGATGCCGCTTCCGCTTCGCGTCTAGCTGCCGCTGTTGCTGCTGCCTCCGCTTGCGCAGCGCCTTCAGCTGCACCTGCCAACTACCATAAAAATTCAAGATCAAAGTAGTCATTTCTATGCTGGACCATTAATTTTAATATTGGCACCACCCTTGTTTCAGTCTTGATAGTTCATTCATTTGGAACGACTATATACAGATTTTGTAGTTTATACCATGGTATAGGACGACATAGCTATACGTTAAAGATCTATACTAATATATAAAGCTAAAGTGATTGTTAAAACGCGCGAATCTGAGGAACTACTGGTTCAAATTATCGTTTCATTTTGTGTTGGTTTAAGCAAGCATTTATACCAAAAACATATATATGAAAGAATGATTCCTATTTAAATGATCCAAAAAAATACCCCCTACATTACAAAATTATATTATAGGTAATTTTTAATGATTAATTTACAAAAACGACAGGATGGGACCGACGTCGTGGGTAACAGCTATAATTTTAGGGAAGATTTGCAAAAAACAAATGTGACTCCCAATATAACTATTCTACGACAACGAAGTCGCTGCAGAGCTAGGTATTGTATAAAACAGGAAGAAAGTTAAAAAAAAATTATGTTTCCCTATACTTAGTGCAGATAATCTATAGTGACCTCGCCTGTGTGGTGGGTTACTCTCAGGTTACAAACATTAACATTTTAAAGCTAATTTGTGTATACTTACAATTGGTGTCTATTGTGATATATGCCAGAGTGACTGAATATTTGCATTTTGTGTTAACAGGAAGGAAATTATAATAATCTTTTGCGCACCCCATCAGTTAGTTTAAAAATCGTACATAGCATGAATTGTTCCTCTTTATCAAACAAAATACACAATGTTTATTCTTACGAGTGTCTTACCTTTGCTTTAGCAGCATCAAGCAGCTCGTTGAGCGTAGTGACCTGATGCTGCCTGGCTGCTGCGACTTCCCGGGCAGCACCCGCTTCGTGTTCCCATTGGGTCTTCTCCGCTTCTGTTCGTTCTAATGTGCCCTCTAATGCTCTGGTTTAAAAAAAACAATACAATAGAATGGGGCTAATGAAACCATAGAACAAAACTTCATGGTCGGTGACACCTCAGCCTATAGCATCAGAGTGCACTGACCTATTTTGTCTTTGGATATAATCTATTAAGAGTGGTGTGAAAGTATATCAATGCCCGCAAGAACATCTACTACCGCCTTAAAATCTACTATAATCATAAACATGTGAAATAAGAAAAAATAGCAGAGGCGGTCCGGGATCCCACGTGAAAAATAACCATTAGTACCTTCGTAAGATTTAATATTAATATTACCTTATCCTCTCATTGAGGGCTTCGATTTCTTTGGTTTTCTCGTCGAGGGCTGATTTGCTTTCGCTTAGCTCCGCCTCCAGCTGTTCCTGCTTGCTCAACAAGAGACGGCGTTCCTCTTGCGACACCTGTACAGAAATATAGTATTGAAGAAGAAGAATAACATATCCGATTTCAAAAAACATAGTACTATGTTGGAAACGTATCCGGCATCTATAAATAATATTTAAAATACACAATATTTTAATAATATTAGCAAGAAAGTCAAAACATTTCCAACACATTTAAACCTTAGATTTAAATAACTGCGAAAAGTAGTGATACAAATATTTAATAATTCGTCATGTCCTGGCAAAAACATTCGACTAAATACCTTATATGTATATAGCAGAACATAATGTATATGTATTTAATTATGTGAAAGATAATCCTACAATTCCCAATAATCAATTTTATTTAAATCCAATAAAAGTAACAAACGCCATTGACATTGCATTGGATTAGTTTTTGTATTAAATGTGTGTCATGGTTAATGATTTATAAATAATAATGAAGTTATTGAAAGACACAGAGATCTGTGTCAATGTCAGAGGTGTGAAAATTTGCGGACATATTAATTTCATGTATATTTTTAGATATAGTTAATTTATAACATTAACATATTAAATACAATTATGGAGTTAGTAAACTCACCTTGAGCACAGCAAACAATTGTTGATCGGTGTCTATTGGACCCAGCGTTTCAGGTTCGATTCCCTCACGCAGCAGTAGTTCTTGAAGAGTGTCGACCTGTAAAATTAAATTATTATAGGTTTAATGTCACAACGGCCGATTAACTTTAATATATAAAATTGATTTTACTACATATGCATATTTACTACTATTTTATTAAAATATGATTTAATACTTACATTTGAAATGCGCTTTTAACATAATATAATTGTCTTAGTTGTATATAATTATTAATTGTGTTCATTATTAAACCACAATGGGGCACTTGGGGGCACTTGTTTCAATAAGTCAATGTAATATTGTTACTTGTTTTTATTGTTCATATTAGGGTATTATTCATTATAAGGTTTCTTTCTTTGAATACGGGAGCATTATTTATTAGATACTTGTATCCAATCAATCGTATTAGGATTGTGGAGCCCAGCACATGAGTATCAGAGTAAAGACTCACTTTAGTTCTACTATCTTCAAGTTTTTCGGTCTGTCGGCAAAGCGATTCGAGGAGCACTTGCTTCTCGTCGGCCAGTCGCTCGTTGTCGGCGTGCGCGTCGGCCAACTGCGACTGCAGGTCGGCCAGTTCAGCTAGTGTCGCTTGAAGTTCTTCGCTTGTGCTGTGGATTAAGGGAAGAATCAATATTATTTATCTGAGGTTTTAAATCGGTAGAAGTGTTTTATTTAACAGTCTATGTAAAAAATACAGATGGTGTTTATTCCGACAAGCTTTTATTACTCGTATTACAAAATAAACTTTAATCACGTATATTATTTAAAGGCAAAAGAAAATGGTTGGATGCCTATTATTAATCGGTATATTATAGAATTATAAGTTTTAAATTACAGCATGACATAAAAAATAAAACTACCTTTCTTACAGTTAGTACTCCCACAGTATTGTACTGGTTTTGGGGTACACAAGCTCATTAAAACTTTAACAAGATAATTTCTTCTTTCACATAGAAATAGGGTTTCTATCAATTCTGGGTCAAACAGATCGAACAAACAAACAAAAAGATTAATAGATCAAAGGCAATAAAAGTATAATAAAAATTTAAAAAGAAAAGGTAGATTTATTTAGGATTTTAGCTGAACTAAAGTTTTATGAATATTTAATTATTTATGTTTTTATGAAAATGAGATTTACTGAAGCCGATTTAAAATATTTTAAACTACAATGACATTTATTCACCAAGTAAACATATATCAATCCGTGAATATACAAATATGAAGCAAAATGAGGGCACATCACGATGGAGAATCGAACAATTTACTTTTAGGGGACTTTGCACGACTCACCACAAATCGATATTCTCCAAAAGACTACATATGAACAAGGAAAATTGTTATTATAAATATAGATCCGTTATTCCTTCTAACTTTTATCTTAGAATACAGTGACTAATTTAAACACATTTCGGCAAGGCATTTAAACTTAATGGGCTTACTAGATTATGTCGCCCATATTCTGATATACAGTCATGGTATAAACAAGCCGAATAGTAATTATTATTAATTCTTCAAAACTATTTTTTTTTTAGTTCCCGAATGTTAGAACCCAATATATTATGTAAGGTTGCTCATACTTGAAACATAAAAATCTTAATTAGTTATGACATTATAGGTAATTTAACATGTATTTAAACGTCGTTATTTTCCCGTAATTTCTAACGTTACAGAATTCTTTATATAGTCGTGTTAACCCGGGCATATTAATTAAAATATATGAAGATATTTGCCTGTAGTGGTGTTCCTCCATTTGCAGTATCCTGTCCTGCAGACACGCCACGGACACCTCGCTGAGGGATGAAGAGGAATGCTTGTCCCATTCGGGGGTACTACTTTCACCGTTGTCCCCTTCGCCCTGAAATTATAAAGACGACATAGTTACTTTGTAAACTGCTTTGTTATATACGTTTACAAACAATCGGCTAATTAAAATAATGCTAAATTTAGTTTATTTTATATTATTTAGTACTGTGTTATCCGTTTCACTGGTCGGTTTCATTTACAGGCAAATAATTGCTTAGACTTCTCTGCCCTGCCCGACCAAAACAAATGTTTATTTCCCTTTCGCGATTAACGCAATTTTGGGCAACGCGTTTAACCATAGCTACAGAGGCGGTCTATACTACAGTGTATATAGTAATACAATTACATTGTGAGCGAGAGCTATGGAGGCAGGTGCCGAGGAGTGCATCCGCCTCGGCGCAGGCGCAAGCAGCAGTTGCCGCTTCTCGCTGTCCGACAGCGGCGAGTGCGCTACTCCGCGTAACCGCGCGCGCAACGCACCGTTCTCGTCCGCGAGCCGCTCCAGCGCCGCTTCGCGTTCCGCCTCCTGGCTCTGAAATTGAAATAAATTCTTAGTATTTCGGAAAAAGACATTTAAAGATAAACCAACTTCAAAATTGCTAAACGATGCTTTCTGAATTACCAATAAATGCGCAATACTAGCTGAGCCCGCTACTTCGTCCGCGTGGAATAGTGATTTTGTGCATCTAAATTTATTTTTACAAACAACCTCCTTAGCTTTATAAATTACAGCTGTTGACCACCACGTCGTCCGCGTCTCGTTGTTGTTGGGGGTTAATCTCAACATATGGACATATAGTGCCTCAACAGCTTCTTAGTTCATTGTACCACACGCAAGATTTCCACGTTTCTTCTAGTACTATAGATTAACCTTTATTCTCTCCAACTCCGCTCTTAGTCTGTCCGCCTCGCTAGCCTTCTCCAGCAGCTCATCAACTCGGTTCTGCAGCACTACCCTCTCCATGCTAGTCTCTTCTAGTTCCCTCCTCAGTGACTCTATCTCTCGCGCTCCTGCTGTCAATGAGGCCTATAAATTTATCAACATACCAGTTTTACAAAATAGTTTTAGATATATGTACGGAGGAAATAGTAATTTCTTTTTCGACCTTTAATAAACATCTTTGTCTTTACAATAAGGTAAGAATCGAATTTACCAATATACATTTAATACTATAGCTAGATAGTTTACAATCATATTTTGTAAACCGCTCGTTTGCGATGAAATTTTAAAGAATTGCTTCTTTCAATTTCATCACTATTAACTGTCGTTTATTATTACAATAAATAATACATTTTGATTGAAGGCCTGTGTCGTGCTTTTAATTTCCTGATATTATATATAGAGTCCACCCATCAATAAACTAACCACAGCAGACGGCACTTAACCGCAAGTTACGCTATTTAATAATAATCTAGCCATTTACGTCACATGGCAGACTGTGACGAACACACAAATAAACATGGCTAGATAATTACATTACTTTGTACATATTTGAATTTAGAGGTAGTTCAGGTTTTTTTAAATAAAGCATTGAATTTTCTAAATTAGTCTTTCTAATTCTAAATTTGAACGTTTACATAGGGATGCTAGAGTTTAAAAGATTCCCGGAAAATGTTGTGTCTTACCCGACAAAAACTATTTATCACTGTGGGCTTTATGGCCTATGATGTAACACAAATAAAAAATACCTCGGAAGCGACTCTCGGCCTCAGCTCGACGTCCTGAAAGCCGGGCATGTGCTCCGAGTTCAAGTTGACCGGCAGACTTATACACTCCTGAGACCCTCGCTCGTCTCCGGGTCCTCTCCCCAGCTCTTCCGCGCTCCCGTAGTCCGTGCGCACCGCGTCATCATACTCGAAACCCTCCCTTAATTCGGGGTCTTCCAGCACCGCATTATTGTTCCCGAGATCTTTCTTCTTATGAGCTTTATTCAACTTCTCTTTGGACCCAAAAAGTTTGAGCGTCTTTTCTCTCGCGGGCGCTACCTTGTGGTGTTTTGAGTCGAGGCTGGACACAGACGGGGCGCCCTTCAGGGTGGACTCCTTCCCTGGAGCCGGTCCTCTACGGAACAACGATTTGAACTTCATCATTTTGACCGCTAGTACATCGTTTTCGTATTAATGTTCGTTTGTTTTTGCATATCGTAACTGTCACTTGCGCTGTGCAATCGGAATAGTTAGTGTCTCGTACATTTGTCACAGTTTTGAATGATGTGCTTAGTCATTTAGGACAAATGTGACGTGCGTAACTATTGTTGGGTCTAAATAAGGACAGCGTCGATTCCTTGTGGTTTAAAATATCAATGAATTCACAACTCGCAGTGTTGTGACCCTTTTTGATTTTAACGATGATAAGACTAGGTCTAATTATCGTGCTAAACCAACATGTGTTGCTTACAGGCATTAGTAATTAATGTTTGAATATGACCGAATTTATGAAGACTGGTTTTTTCATTAAGTCTAATTATCTATCTTAAAATATCCCTATGTATAATGGAATAGAGTTAGTCATAAGATATTTTTTCTCGTTTGATTCTCCATAAAAATTATTGTAATTTTATAAAAGTACATAAAAATGTTCGCTTTAATGTTCAGTTTCTGAACTGGCATAGTTGTAATTGAATAGTACTTTAAATATGATCCAACGAATCATCTAATGGCTGTTAATAAAACTAATTTGACACGATTTTCCTCTTCAAATAATTAAATTGATTTTTTTGCACATATAACAAAGTGTTATACCAATTAACTTTAGCTCCAGTTGCATCTCTTCAAATACGTCAATGTAATATCAAACAATCTGATAACAGTAGGAATCGCTACCTACCTACTGCCAAATATAATGTTCATCAGTAGGGTTGTCAAAAAAGTAGAAATGGGAGGCGTAACATAACGTCATCGAGAAACAAAAGTCATTCTGGTTTAAGCTACTTAATAATTGTATTTATTTTTAAATTGTTTTTGTGAATATACAAAAGTAAAAACTAGGTATTGGTATTAAATCTATTAGTTTTTAATCTGTCAGTAGTTTACTATTACGTAAACTACTGACAATTGTAAAAAACATTTACAATTTGTTGACAAATCGGTTTCTATTACGACACCGTCCTTCAATTTAGCCCCAATCCCCCTATATTTAGGACTGCACTCCCCACCTCTAAATGGAATGGATTTACCGCACCCCGTGTGAATAGATATTTAGATTTTAATTGGCCACTAGCGTCCACAAACCTTCGAGAATATTCTTATTTTTTGCATTTTTATATTCCAAGTACAATATATTATGGTTGTCAAAATACTATACTAACATTTTAAATAATATCAAAAATGTAAAAAAAAAAAAAAAAAAAAAAAAAAAAAAAAAAAAAAAAATAAAGAAGGGGGGAAAACCCCCCCCCCCCCTCTTCACAACAGGAAAAAAACCCCCGGAAAAGAAGACCACCCCGGGAAAACTCCCCCCCGGGCCAAAAATTTTTTAAATTTATTTTCGGTTTTTAAATCAAAAATGTATTAAATAAATTACATTCTCTCACTTTTTTTGTATAAGAGGAACAAAAATATACTAGAAAATTATGCTCTTACCATTTCTAGCCCCGGATTTGTAAACTAAGTAAGTAAACCTTCGGAGAATTTTTCAGACCCTGCTTTTCTTTCTGATTATAAGACGTTTGGGATAACAACTCATTGTTTGGTTGACCATCTCATTGGTTGCAAATTGGCATTCTACCTTCCTGAAACCTGGCGATCAATATAAATTAGGTAACCCTATATAACTAGCTGCGTATCGTGGTATGGTCTGATGATGACTTTGTACGCGTAGAATAATTATTTTGGATATCAATTTTTGTTTTTGCAAACGCACAGGAGGTCAACTCTATAAATTTGAGCTGTTATCCACGACGTCGTCCGCGTCCGTCGTTCTTGCAAGTTCATCTTAAAAGATAGACATATACTGTAGCGGATAATTTTTTAGATCATTAAAAGAGAAATTATTCTTTCCTTCACATTTTTTGGGTATCTTGAAGCGTTTTCGCAGCGTAAGCAATGGAAAACCACAACGATAAATGATTTCTCCCGTTTTTTCGACATTTCCCGCTGTTTCTTCGCTCCTATTAACCTCAGCGATATGTTTATTTAGCCTATAGCCTTCCTCAATAAATGTTCTAACTACTTAAATTTTTTTAGTTCAAACCAGTAGTCCCTGAGATTAGCGCGTACAAACAAACAAATAAAACTATTTAGCTTTATATATTAGTGTATAGATTTAGTACATATCTCAAGTTACTACATAACACAATAGAGACCCGGTTTATAGACATACAGTTATTTATAATATGGCGAGACCATCGATCAAATAGACTAGACATGAAAGTGATTTTTGATTTCCAATAAATAGTATCATGGCAACCCTACAGCTGTTAGGGTGAATGACCAGCCATGGCCGCGCCAAGCTTGTGGCCACAATCGTATGTGGATTGTATTACGTTTTTTACTAGTTGTATCTCCCGCCTTGAATTCGTACTCTTTTAGCTCAGTAGGCCACTCTTTCTGTTACTGGGTTAAATTTAAGCTATAAGATGGTTAACTTTTTAAGATACGAATTTGTTTAAATGTGTTAGTCGTTTAAGGTAAGGTCGTCAATAAAAGTGAAATCCGGTTTCAAGAGCCTGTTCCCGCAAATAGATTTCAGTGTCCGTTTCACCGATCGATTTTATTTGCTCGCAAGAAGTATGGAACTTTTGTGCCTTGTGACCCTGACCAAAGCAGTTTATCGTTTCCTCGGAATTTGAACACAGGATCTCTCGCGCTAAACAAGTTGTTGAGATCGCGATCTCACTTTTTACCATCAAACTACAGATGCGATCAAATCAATTAAAAATAATGTTGCCAAACTTTTAGCATCTAGTTTAATGATGATATTAATTCTCTTATTTTAGACTGCGTCTAGCATCTAACAGTTTGCTCCAAACTATCAATGTCTCTATGCTGGGGACAGGTCTTCTGCCGGTTAAGTAGCAAGAGGTTTGATCCAACCAAGCTGTTGCCGACTGGCATTTAGTTGTGATAAACGAGCGCTTAACATGCTCTTCGAGATACTAGAAATATTCCAACTACCCTCAAATTAGAACCCGGAATCTCTTGATTATGATTCTAATGTACTAATCGCTAGACTACCAAGGAAGGTAAAAATCACTTAAAATACGAATAAAAAATGTATACATTTAATCATTAACATATCTTAAGAACGCCGTTTATCTAGATTCCTTTTCTGAGTATTTCCTCTATCAATTATTACGAAGTCTTATTTATTGCCAGATGAAACGTGATCATTTCGAGTGCGGTTTGATAGCGAGTTGGAAATGTATATTATCCGTTAATGTGCATACTGAAAGACGTGGCATGTCAGTTTCCGTCTCGGAATACGTATAAAGCAATAAACAAGAAATAAAGCGCTGGAGAGGCACGAATACTCCAAATAAGAGTAGTTCAATAACGAACGAATTTGTCTGCCAGCGACTTCGTCCGCTTAGAATAGTCATTTTGGACATCATAATGTTTTTTAGATTATTCAAAGAGGAATCATTCTAGCATACATGTTTTTTGTTTATCTAAAACCGTTTTCACAGCGCACGCAACGGGAACTTTAAAAGGTGAAAAACATACTCCCGTTCTTTTCGCATTTCCTGCTGTTTTTTCGCTGCTAACCGTGATGTTTTTTAGCCTACCTAGTTCTTAAGATTAGCACGTAACAAACAAACTCTTCAGCTTTATAATATAGGTTTGTATATAGCAAAATTAATTTAACCCCGAGTGACAATGTAATGATGCATAACGTAACACGTTGGGTGAAGAGAGTGTTTTGGTGTATCTGCTTATGTTTGAGAACACTCCTTCTGGTTTGTTCAGGGTTGTGCATTCATGTGGTTACCGTAGATGTCTACATGAATCCAATTAAAATTGAAATTTACAAAACGATCTATTAGATCGATCGATGTCTTAAGATATTGTTTATTATTGTTTGTAACCTGGAAGAGACTAGTCACCCACGACACGGGCTTGCGTTGGGACTAGGGACTCTCTATCTGCAGCGTGTATATGGAAACAATAAAGATTTTATTTTGATTTGTATTAATTATAGTATGATACAGTTAAGATGTTTTAAGTACTATATGCACTGACTGTAATTTCGCTGTAAGAAAAAATAAGTAATTTAACGTAATAAGGCTTTGTTTGATACACAAACATTGTGTATTAGATGTTTTTCTACGATCATTAAAGTTTGAAATTGTGTATGTAATATATATTACAGAGCTGGCGAGTTTGTTTATAAAAAAAATTATAGAAGCGCGTTAATTTTTTAAATATACCGGTTAGATAAACCTCGATGGACTACATAGCACACATTTTATGTTTTATTAAAATTACCATTCGAAGGAAAGAACATTTTACCATCGGCCGTTGAAACAATTGGAGATCGTGCAACCTTGCTGAACGAACAATGCTATTTCTTGACACATTTGTTTAAATACACATTGTTATCGAATATATTTGTCTGCGACGTTATTATTGATATATCCAATGTTCAACTTAAACAGATTCTATCTTCATTTTCGTTTGAACCTATTAATGTCCAGCTGCTGGGCATAGGTCTCTCATTAAGCCCAGTACACCACTTCGGTACGGTTTGGGAGGCCTTAATGACTCAACTTTCATTAAAAAAGAAGGTTTTAGGCTGTAAAACAACACGCAGCAGCAGCAAATTGTCTCCCCGTGACCACGGCTGCTGCAAAGCATCCGAAACGTCGGGCCGAAGTTAAAAATCATTTTCAAATAAGTTTAACTAATATATCGCGTTTTAAACCGTTAACGTGTTTTATTTTAACTACAGCATTCTAAATGCAATGATTTCAATCGCAATCTATTCAAATATTTTTAATGAGATGCGTATTCAATTAACATAACAAACAATATACTGCTGTGTCATAACATAATTGCATACCACGCTTCCTCTTATTGTATTTGTGAATATCGTATGAGAGGTTTTTTTTTAATTTCAACTCTTCCATCCAACTCTACCAGTGCCGTGAGAAAATACAGATTCTATTTTTTTCATGCATGGCATTATAGCAAGCGTAAACTTCACTAATTTTGTTAAGAAAAATCTAACAACTGTTATATATGTAAATATAATATATTGTTTGTGTTTTATTTAAATGTTTCCACGCATAAACTATACATTGTTATGTGATTATTTTATTTTTTTTTGCTCCAAATAGAGAAACGAAATCTGTTTTTTGGAATTTACCATTAATTACATATTAACTCATAGTTTTATGCCCGCTTCAGAGTGCAATCAGGAACTACTACCGATGTATTGACTAAAAAAAATTGATTAGCGAGTTTTACAATCCTGTCTGGAGACTTAGTTGGTTCCTATCGTATTATGTGCTCCGTAATCCCTTTAATCCATTATCCAATTAAACTTTGACTCGCATGTCTTTCTATTTGTTATTCCCCACCCCCCCGGTTCAAAATTAGATTTTATTATATTACTTATTTGTTAAAAGGAGAAAAAATCATAAAATCGGCAATGATACGGCTACCGGACTTGAAAAGTATATATTTTGTTATAGGTAAAAGGTTTGGATTTTTTTCATTCCATTAACACAAAAGTTAAGTTGTTTATATGTACTTTACGCTCTTTATGTACAAGCCTTGTAAAAACGCCTCTAAGTAACATACTTAAGTTAATTTTATTAAAATAACACTAACGAAATCCACAGTCAAGACACGACAGAGAAGTCATATCGATATGATAAAAAAGTAACGACTCGAATCATAAATAGCAATTTAAGCGTCTCTCATGATAGGAGTTCAACTATCATTAATCTGTGTCAAGTCTCAAGGATGTAGCTACATTAGGTCTACGCATAGACATGAGCAAATAGTATTTATGTACTTTAGTTAAGCAGGAAACACTGCCACACAGAAGACTGCATAGCACGTGCGGTGCATGACAATGGTAGATAGCATTGTGAAGATGTACTTTATTTTATTAAAAAGATTACAATTACATATTCGACTTTAAAATAATATACCTACATATTATATTTACATTGAAAATAATATGTCAAATCTACCTGTATTACCGTTATATCGAATGATTTTACATGCCATGCCATTTAAATAAAGTATAATACCTATAAGGTAGGTTGAGTTTGTTGTTCAATAATTTGCGACACTTATCAACTTATTGTTTGTTATCTCGTACATATATTAAATTTCTACTGATTACTACCTTTAACTAAAACTCTCACGTTAAAGTAACTAATAAATAAGAAAACTTTTACGAGCAGCAATGAACGAAAAGGCTACCGATTTCATTAATTGCTTGACAACCCTAAGTTAACGATAGTGCAATGAACCTAAAAGAAAACGTCTTCATTCACAACATCTTCAATATATAAATAATACCCCCTTTTATTGCAGAGAGTAATACGTCGTTTTTATGTCCCGCCAAATGCAAAATATTCACAATCTTAGGCCACGGTGTCCTTGAATTGTCATAATACATCAGCCTTTATCTATATTAGGTATCTATGACTTTGTTATCATAAAGGTATTCCTTTGAATAAATATAGGTACGACTAATTTCCATGTGTCAATTCCTATAGTCAGTTATAAGAATTAACTTTTAACGAATAGAATGTAGGAATTAAGTGATTAATTTTTAATTAAGGTTATACAAAATTCACTTTCACATCGTAACGTCTATTGAAATACAACGTTTACTCGAGAAAGCGAGTCACAACGGTGTGATTTTGATATTAAACCACAACACAGGAATAACGACACTCTATATTTCAACCAACAAATAGATAATAGACACAATAACTATTACAATCGCACGATAAACACACAGCTTATATTCACACACCATATTTACAAAAAGTCTCATAAAAAAAATGATTCGAATTTTAAAAACACCGGCCCGACCGGACACGTCCACGGCCAACCGTAGTCGGCAAACTTGATAGTCGCTCGCTTGAATTCCCCGTCTTGCATTTCTTTTATATAACCCGACCAATTTAAAAGTGCACGCATAGTTTGATTCCGTGCACTACACGGTACCGTTTCATCGCCACTGTATTTAATCTATTAGGACGACATACCAGCGCAAGAAAGAGATAATAGTAATCGCGTTTATGCTCTTTACTATTAGCGTGAAAGAGAAACAGGATAACATTTTAAACTTTGTCACGTGTGTGAAATGTGATTCAAGTTCGTGCTAAGTGACATTCATTAATTGTGTAAATAAAATGAACTTTATGGTTACGTATAAAAGTTTAAATTGTCATATCAATAACTTATTTAATAGGGCGTCGCGCGAAATTCAAATGTAGTAATGAATTTATGAAAATCCCTTACATTACTTTAGATAAAACTTTAAATAAACCCGTGATATTTTGATTGATTAGATATTATAGAAATATTTAATAATAATTAGTCGCATGAATATTGCTAGTATTTTGAATTCTAGAATTTAAAATAAATTTACCGGTTATAGCATATCAATTGGACGATAAGAATAGGAAAATAGTTTATTAAGAAGACAACTATATATCAATAAATATAAATAGATCATAGAAAATAATAAATAAAGATACCCTTACCTTAAAGATAAAATTCCTCTTCGTTCTCTAAGGGCATTAGCGTTCGTCCACACACTATTATTGTTTACATACTTTGTCCTTGACAGTTTAGTTTTTTCATCCTTCGGTTTTAAAGATGGCGGTAGGATGCTGTCAGGTATTTTTGGCGCCGGTTTTTGTGGGGCGGGTGTTTTTTTGATGATTTTCAACACAACGTTCGCCGGTTTCAGGTCATTTTTGTCAGGAGTTTTAGGTGTTGGGTCGGCTGTTACCGATTTTTGTCTGAGAGGTCTGGCGGGGTCTAAGGAATTCTCGGGTTTTAGGACTAAATTCGGGCGTTCGGTGCTTCGTCTCTTGAGTTTTGTTTCTGTTGGTGCTGTTAAAGAAGGTGATAACCATTCAATAATTTATATTCATACGAGTAGTGATTAAGATTTTTAAAGTGATTTTTAAGTGAAGAGCAATAAAAATAAAAGTGTAGTTGAAATAATAAATGACTTATGTTACAAGCGAAGTTACCTCTCACTTCATTTGATCAGACCTAATAAACGAAACGAGTTAGTTAAACGAGTTTTGTAAATATGTGTTCTCTAGATATTTATAAATTCACCTGTCCTAGGCCGATTTCTAGTAACAGGTTTGGTCTCCGCGCTGCCTATTTTGCTTGGTTCCTCGACGGTGTAAGAAGACGCAGCAGGCTGTGCCTTGCTGCGTGAACTAAATGTTGCTTTGAAGAAATTCGCTGCTAAGCCTTTACGGCTACTTTGAGATTGTCTGGAAAAAAATAAAAAAGAGATATTAGTCAGGGGACACCCGGGTTTGAACCGGGGACCTCTCGATCTGCAGTCGAATGCTCTACCACTGAGCTATATCCCCAATTGCAACAAGTGGCAAAAATTATCTACATAGTAAACTACATTGAATAGTGTAAAAGTATGGGTTTGTTCTCATAGATGGCGCTATAAACAAAATACAGTTTTACTTAATTTAATTTGAAAAATAAAACAAATCCACGCACTGTTTACACACACAAAACAAAACACTAATTAAAAAGTTCTACAAATTAAGATGCTGACAGTAAATTAATTCTTTAAATATTTTTTTTAATAAATTGAATACGTACTGTAACTTTATACTATTTGGCACCACAGGCGCCCTTTGCTGCATAACCTCTTCGATCTGAAATAAAAAAGTACTTATTAAGTATGTACATGTACATAGTGCTTTTTTTCACATTGAACACACGATGGTCCTGGTCAGAATAGTGTACTTATTACTAAAGTTCTAGCTAGTACTACTTGCGTTAATTGTTAACACATCACTTTATCGAAACAGAAAACATACATTTTCTTCAGCCATAGTGTTTGACTAAAGAGCTAAATTTCGTTTAGTGCACCGTTTGAAACTGCAATAATTCGCTGGCAATTTTTGTTATCTTATCTAAAGCAGAACCTATCAATTATCTCGTTTAATTGCTTGTAAAAATTGTGAAATATTACCACGACAAAATTATACTCGCGGCGCGTTCGTCGAACTCCTGTCCACATTTTGTTGTTTATTAATAAAAAATGCTCTTATAAGCACATACAGCGATATAGTTAAGGCTTGACAAGGTATTATTTTTTCTTTATAAATACTAATATCGAATTAGTATTAATAACTAATACGTTAACAATACGTGTGTTGTTTATTTATTAAATGGTAATAAATAAGAATTCTATAAATCAATCGAGTCAAAATTACTGTCATCGTGACTTGTGTGACGTAATACTATTTCTGTCAATAAAACAGAAAAAAAATCAAACACAAAATTGCATGAATGCGCATTTGTTTTGTATCTGTAGAATTGTTGGTATAATTAACAACCTTATTAAGTAATACGAATAAATGTTTTGAATAGTTTTTTTTATAAGTAAAAATAAAAAGGTCTTCCAAAAAGAGAATTATTTAGTTATTTTATTTTTAATTAGGATTTGATGTAGTACGGTTGCCGCCAAGAATCTCTAATACACAAAAGATTTTTAAGTATTACAGTGATTTAAAATCTCATTGCCGCAATTGTATTGATAAAAATAAAGCCTTACAGTCAAACACCCACAGCCCTCTCATATCCATTCCTTACCCTCGGTGATATCATCCAATTTCCATATTCCCTACTTGTACGTCACCCTTTAGGCTGTAGTTACACTGTCACGCAACTGCTGGTCGAACGATTTGGTTCAGTGAATGTCCGTATGCAACCAATTTGTAATGTGTAAGTTACATAATATTGCGAATAATTAATCTTTCAAACTTCAAATGCCTCTTAGCTGTCAACAAAATATTTAAGTTATATCTGTACACGAGTGGTACTCATTATTCAAAATACCTATGAAGATTTTTGTAGTTGTATTTTCTTGTAGATTATTTCCTCCAAAATTAAAAAAACACAGGCTCTGTAGGCATGACAACGGGGACGCGACAGCTGCACTTAAATATCCCAAACGTCGTCATTTCCGATATCTAATACAAAAAGGAAACTAATTAAAGATATTACTTTTTAATATAAGGAAAAGTAATATTTTTCGCTTTTTAAATCGTTAAATTATATAATGGTCCTATTTGTGCAACCTTCAACAAACACTTATCGTATAACGTGTCGTCATAACGTTAGCTAAAAAAACGTAAGGGTAAAAAGGTATGGTTAACATCTTAAATAAATTATTTAGATAGGTAAATGTATCATTTTCATAATTTTAATATAGACATAAACAAAGATTAAACGCATTGTCAATACGCGACTTTCATTGATTGACTGTCTAATGGCAGTCTTAAAACATTAAAAGTTAATTGTAACAGTTTCAATTGTTTAAAACACGAAGTACATATATTAATTTTAATTATTGTCCTACATTACAGATACAATATTAAGGTTTTGATGTCCTAAACGCATTGCGTCTAACACAATGCCATAGCGTAAAGATAGCGAAATTAAGATAGGACCTTGGTCTAGTTCCTCCTATCTGACGCGGTTGATAGGTAAAAGATTAATTGCCTAATATTACTATTTCTAGTACTCACTAGTACATATATATGGCTGTCTTGAATGAATTTAAAGGCTACAGTTATCTTAAGCGTTTTGCCATCCGGTGATAATGGTGAAGAATTAGTAATTGTTAAAATGTTTTACTGAAAACAACGTTATTTTATATTTTTCGTGGTAATAATCTAAAGATCAAAATGAGATCAATAATTTCGAAGACCATAACGAATAATTACGAAGGCACACAATATGATGTTTTATGTGGTAACTTGTAACAGCTTTTTTTATTAAAATTGTTGATTATGAGTTATAACCTTGATATAAGAGATGATATATAACCTTAGCAACTGGACATAATAATATTGCCCGATCATGAATATATTTGAATATGACATAGGTATCTGTTAAGATCATGCAACGTCCCACGCAGGTCCTTAGCATTCCCATAACACAAGATATAGTATTTGTTACTCGTTGCGAATATGAATGCAAAATATTAATATACAGATTATATTTGATAGCTGTATCCTAGTTGTAGTACACAACACTATTTTTTCTTGTGATTTCTGTAATTTAAGTCCCTGTCACACACACCTAATACACAAATTTGTTAAATTGAATATGTATAGTCCTTAACTAAGCTTGGTCAGCATAGTAGATAAACGTCTACCCTAAGCCTATAGTCGATTGGGAATTGCGATAAGATGTGCTGTCTGTGTGTTTATGCACACTTTAATTTATAAGGATTAATGCACTTCGATAAATTAAAAATTATTCCAATGATATAATTGTAGCATCTGTGAGCGTATTTTGGATTTTATTACATAAATAATTTTATGTTACACTTGCATGGTATACTCACTCCTCTGACGTCTCCTGTGACGTCGTTTAAACACTGCTTAATATAAATACAACTATGCTTTATACGAAAATGATCACTTCACTAATCTTCGCTAATTAATCACTCAAAAACTTTTAACGCTAACGTTTAACGACACTCGTCCTCACAATATAATCTCGAAACTAAACTCTACAAGCCTCTCTTATCACTTATCACTCAGATAATTGATAAAGATAACTACCTAACCGTGAATAAAAACTTCACGGTGGTTATTCGACGCGCGATTTTTAATCTGTCGTGTGTCTTTTCGCGCTCACGTCCTGTCACCGTTTGCGCGGGAAACGAAACCTCGACTTAACTTTATCTTTTAAGTAGGTGCGATAAGTTTTAATTTCGCTTATTTACATTTTACTTGTGCTGCGTTTTCTAATTAAACAAGACCACTAAAATAAATTCGACAAGACTAACAATCAAGATTTGATATCAATTTAATAGCAAAATACACTGTAAGTGTTAAACAATTTTAGACATAACTTTATTGATCCAGTGCTTAGCTATTACAATAGAAAAGTTTTAGGTTAGCCTTATTTACATAGTTATTGTCCAAGTTATCTCTGTTCCCACCCTATTTCGTAACTTTATTTTCTTAAGTCAGCAGTAGGTATTTAAAAGAAAAGTTAATTACCTAATTGTTTATTTTATCATATATAGGTGTTTTGTTACGAAAATTTGTTTATGATATCAGTCTGTAACACTTCACTATGTGAATATAAAAGTCAATTCTTCGAAAGCGAATTGAGCAAGGTAAGCCGAAATTGTCATGATAACAATGCGTTTGCGCAAACCGCCCACATCTTAGACGCCTTGGCACCTCGCGGTTCCATTCATTATGGGCTGTCACTGTCTCAAACCCTGTGTCGGCCTGCATGAGTTGTAAACTCAGAATCAGAAATCGTTTTGCTTTGCCGGTACTGTCCTCATTTCAAGTCTTCTAGAGTCCCATTTATGCTATGTTGGTTTTCAAAATAAGGTCGTGATTTCGATTATGACCGGTCCAATGAGCAATGTAATAACTTCCATTCACACTTTCATACACTATACATATTGTATAATCGATACTAAATTTATAGTTTAATAATTAAAACTAAATATTTGAATAGCCGTGGGTCACATCCGAAACGTCAGGCCGTAGTTAAAATAATTTTCAAGTAAATTTCTAGATTAACTAATATATTTGGCGTGAATACGCGTTAAAATTGTTTTGTTTGTATGCTCGCGTAAATTACAAAAAGTTTTTAAATTAAACATAAATAAATATTCCTGTTTTAAAACTAATAAGACCGCGACGTACTTGAAGTTACCTATTTTATTATAAAAACCTTTTTATTTTATTTACTGTCTGACGAAACCACAAGGCTTCGAGGCTAGCGGATGCCTTGCACAAACTGTCATTATCTCTTGTCTAGTTGTATGCAATTTAGTAAATTGTATAAGTGCTACGAAACTCTGTAGCGAAGTGGAATTCAGAGTAAAGTGCCTAGGAGCTATTACTTACTTAAATAGACGCTTTTAATTAACTTCTAATAGAATAAACGTCTGTAGAAATAACATATAAGTATTTATAACTCAATACTTCATGTTTTTAGCGGTGCCATATGAGGTACCTACTATTTTTGTGAAATGAACCGCTAAATACTTTTAAGTTAAAGTATAAAAAACTTCTAGCAGGGGAAATTCAGACGCCGCTTTAGTCACGTATGCGTAAAACTATTTAAAAAAGTATCTTTGTGGTTTTCTTTTTTAAATGGTTTTTTTTTTCCTATTTTATGTTTATTTAATTGTTTAAATGTAATAATTTTCTACTAGTTCTACTTCAATTTGATTTAATTTGAAATGGCACTGGAATATTAATTTTGTAGTTACAGCACACAAGTAAATTACTTAAATACATTAATTAGTTAGAAAATTAAAATAAATAATAATTTAATAGTAACTTCACTACAATGTGCAAGTTTTATCTTCAAATTGTTCCGAGTTTAAATTTTTTATTTAGATTTTTTTCAGATTTAGGATCTTATGTGAAATACGTAATATCGAATTGTACTTATTGACTAAAGACTAAATGTTTATAAAAATGAAAATTAATTACGGACCATACTTAAAGGCTATTTTTAAAGATTATTCGAGTTGACAGTTTCACAAATTCACAAACTGACTGTTTCGATCGGCTAATGGTGACATATCGATATGGGTATCAATTACTCAGCTAATGAATTTAATCATGCGCGTGGGCAGGGATTATCCGTGTGAATTTAAAAGGCAAGACTAATGTTTTTAACTCAATCTAAATGTTTCTATTATAATAGAAATTATATAATACTCCAGAAAATACAGATGATGGAGAGAAACGCTCATTTCAGAACACTAACGGAATAATATGTAGTTTATTATTATTATTTATTTATATTTATTAACTTTATTAGTTACAAACACCACAGAAATGGTTTACAACAATAAATTCTTATGTAGTACATAACTAAAACTTATGTAAAAGCGATCTCTTCAGGCACTAAGTGAAGGGAAAAACAAAAAATAAAATAAAAGGACTATAGGTAGGTAGAAAGGATAAAAAAAAAAGGCAATTAAAGTGAAAGATAAAATTTGGTAACTGAGACTTTAAAATAGAAATTAGCTTTTTGATTTTAAGGAAGAATTAGAATAATGGTTTAATAGTGAAGGAGTTTAAAAAGGAGGTTTATAGGAATAAATAATAAAAATATAATGAGCGAAATTAAATTATAAGGAAAAAGTTTTTTTAATAGGATAGTTTGTTTAATTAAATTTATTAATTACGTAACGACCTACATACAATACAAAGGTAACAATATGGAATATAAATGAATTAATCAAATTAAAGTTATTCTGTGTGGGTGGATATCAAATAATGGAGACAGGTAGAATTTAGAACCACTGACATGTTCAAGGAGGACAGCCGTTCTAGTAAATTGAATTTCTGTTTTATTGAATCTATAGTAAATATATTCCGATTGTATAGTTACGATTTTAAATGTATATATGTATATGTGACATACGTTATATATATATTTACCGAGTAAAAAAACAATCGCGACCTTTCACATCATGTCGACCTATCATATTTTTTAAATTCGAACCGCAGCAGTAGTTCCTGATTTCAAACAAACAACAAACTATTTAACTATAATATTAGTATAGATAAAATTCTTAACCTTTCACCTCGCGTTTAACTCGACAACAATTAATTGGCTTTCTTAGTCAGGTAATCGATCCGCAGTTAAATCCTAGGCCGTCCTCAACGCTTCAATACATAAGTCCTTAGGTATTAAGGTTAATAGGAAACAGAAAGCAAGTGCCATTAATAAGCAAAGTATGGAAAGGCGAGGCGGAGCGTCGGCGTTTGGGGTCACAGCCGTCGTCCTAATTAAGATCCTGTTTGAGCATTTGTTTGATGCTGTAATCGCAAACGCCCCCGTGGTTTTGACGCTGAGGCATTGCGTTGATCGCGAGGAGTCCTAGGTTCGGACCTCGTAAAACATATTGTACCAAATAAATGTATTTAACTGTTTACGTGATTCAAGTATATTATGTAAGAAAGTATAAGTAAAAAAGATGATCAGGTGATTTTACCCGTCAGGGAGATACTATATAAGGGACGTTTTTAGGCGATCTATACTAATATTTTAAAGTTGAAGAGTTTGTTTCTTTGTTTCAAGGAGCTGAATCTAAGCTGGTACGGATTAAATTTATTTTAGTGCTGAGTAGATCATTTATCGAGGAAGGCTTTAGGCTATAAAACCACGCTGCGACTAACAGGAGCGAGGAAAGAGTGGGAAATTTGAAAATATCTATGATTGAATCATTTCCTCTTTAAATGATTAAAAAAAATTGTGACCATATTCCTATCTTTTAAGATTAACACAGGTACAAGAACGACGGGACGCAATCGACCTGGTGGGTAACTGCTATAATATTATAAGAATGAAAAGGCTTGCAAAAACAATTTTTAAAACTGCAACTTCACACATGTTACATACAAAAATTAACTAAAAATTGTTTACTTACCCATTTTAGTAGTCTGTACAAAAAGTTGGTAACTTTTAACGCATCATAGTTTATCTCCCTCGGTGACTCACTAATCAATATTTCCCAGACTCAAAGGCTCCTTGATAACAGTGGTTTTGGCGTTAGAAATTGTATCCCTATGTTTTGGCTTATATTTTTATAAACCGTTAATTGTAAAGTTTTGGCGACTATATAATTTTGGAACTACAACTGAGTTGGTTCAGCCAGTTGAACCCACGAAAGGCCTATCCTTACGTACCCTTAGAGATAAGGGCGTTGTTTCGAGATTAAAAACTTATTCCACTATAAGTAATTGGATTTTGTGAGGAAATGATATTATGATTAAACAATAAATACCAAATTGTTGATTTACAAGCTTAAGTACAGGCGATAGCTAGTCGTATTTTACTTTCTTATTACCTTATTTAAGTTATGGTTGTATGTAATTAGCTGCATGCTTAGCGAAGCACTACACTTTTACAATGGAAAAGCGAGTTAGCAAAAAATGACCACATCAACTGATACTTTCACAACGCTCGCCACAGTCCATTTGAAATTACCGTTTTTCAACGGAAAGTGCAATTGTTTATCTTCTTTTTTAACAATACTGTTAGTTTATAGAAATAACGAAAGTTTAGCGCAAGAACTGACTTGACAGTAGGTACCCTAAAATACTTCGATTTAATTTATTTAACTTTCACTAAGTAACAGTAAGAAAAGTCTGTACTTAAGTGACTTAAGAAACAAACAATCTAAAAATAATTATTTATTTATTATTATTAAATTATTAATTAATTTATTATTATTCAATGAAAATTTAAGCAAACGCCAAGTGTATATAGTTATTTTTTGTTTAGATAAGAATTAGCACATCATTGAGAAACGACTAAATCCTTCGCAATTAAATTTACTTTTATAATCGACATACATACATATATACATAACATACCTAATTCATAATCGACTCTGTATTCCGATATCACATTTCCTATGAGAGGAATTCTGGTTCGCACGGGATTAACTACAGCTTTTCTCGCGTATACAGTAGCAAGCGTCTATTAAAACAGTATTTATACATATCTGTATTATAGTAAAAATTGTTTCCAAATATACATAGGCCACACGAAATTGGACCTTACTACATTGAATTAAAAATTATAGAAAAGTCATTGTCGTGAGGAAATTAAGGGAATCTCTTAGAGAACATAAACTTTTGCGCAAAGGGGCAGTTTTAAATTGTCTGTACTCTGTACAATAGGGGCCGTCACAATAACATGCTTTTGTTGTCGCATTCTTGTTAAATCTTGGACACTTCTATTCTTACGGTAGATATCTTTACAGTCTAAAGACTCGTATAAGGTTTCATTACGTCAGATCTGCTAACTAGTTTAAAACCAGAAATCTATATTTCATTAGAATCAAGAATGGGATTACCTATACCTATTATATTAAAATTCATGAAAAAAAAGAGTTTTCGCCCCTTTTGGCCAAGTATATTGTTTTACAATTCATCTTTTAACCCCACATAAATTTGCTGTAGATTTTGAAACCAAGGATTTGCTCATCTTCAGTGGATAAGCTATTCTTTTACATTACTGCAATCATTAAAATGGAGATAAAAGACAAACGTTACAATAGTAAAAAACTCGCAGAGCAAGTTTGATAACGTGAATTCTTTTAAACGTGTTTAGTAATAATAGTTTTAGACAATTCTATTACGTTAGCAGTTCTCGAACTAAAACCCAAAAATACCACTGTAAAGATTCTTGTATTTACAATAAGTAATAATGTAGGTATGGTGCGAAAACAATTACGATAGTCATAAAACAATTGACTATTTATAGCTAATTGGAATATTGTAAACACTATATTTTATCGTCTTGCATCGTTCCAATGCGGCGCTGCAGTTCTCGATCGATAAGCGAACGCACTGAAAAAAAAACCGTTCACATTTCCCGCGCTTTTACGTTACGAGAGAAACCGGTCTGCGAACGTTTCGAACACCAAAACCACGTTCTTTTAATTATTAGCACTGTTTTGAAATATGTGATATTTATTACGAAATCATGTAGACACGGCTTATAGTACGATCGGCGCGTAACTGACGGCCGGTAAAACTAGAGGCAGAGCCAGCGTCCAAACTATAACCTAGGGAGTTGAAATAGGAGGGTGGCCGGGTTGCGAGCGTTCGGAGCAGATGCTAGTTTTATAGGGACGGGTTGTCATTCATTCATAGCTTGGGGGATCGCGCCGCGAGGCGGCTTCCGCATTCGGTGCCTTAGTCGAAACGTGAGATAAATGATCTCAACGAAAAATCGCATGCACAGATTTATTATAATATCTTCAATGAATATTAGAAAATATTAATTAAACATTTGAATCCAGAGAAAATAGAAGTGTTAATTTAAATTTAAGCGACGTAAATTTGGCACAGATTTTTTTACAATAAATTATTTGATTTTGAATATTAATGCAATAGTTTTCATATTTATTTGCGGCTCTTAGCTCGGTTATCCGTTTAGACCTTAGATATAAAAGACATGGAATTGAACACTGAGTCTCAAATAAGCCCATCCCACCACCGATGAGGTTATAATAATAAAAATTAGTTGATGTATACGTTCCTTTATTATTATATCTTGGTCTGAAAACCAAGAAACCATCATCACAAATAAAACTAGTGTTTCATACAAACTTTTATTAAATCGAAAAATAAAGTCTACAATAAACTTTTACTTTATCAATATGTATAGTAAATTTGTTTCAGCTCACCCCTAACAATACAGAGACGCTTTAACCACCAAATTAGTACGATCAAGGCCAACACTTCTACCCTCCGAAATCCTCTAAAACTTAACACTTCGCTTCGCTCGGTGCGATATGGTGAACAAAAACCGTCTTTCCAACGCCGTATGCAAATCCCACAATTTATTATGGTATCTTCGGTGAGTGACGCGTGAGCGTGACACGCCACCGGCCATCGAGAGGCTATTGAGACCGATCTATGCGATTTTATGGCTGGCCCGTAACAAGCCGTTATGAACACCCTTGGGGAAGAGGTAACAGAATGATGTAGCCTACCACGAAAAAAAAGATCGGTCTAAAGGCATCGAATGAGTTACTTTAGTTACGTTACATAACGCGTCACGCATATCAAATCACAGAGAAATACCATCATTATTATTTAACGCAATAATATTCGATATGTTAATACGAAACAAAGCTTCAAAAACACTCAACATCGTTCGAAAAGTTACTTTGACATTAGTATCCTAATTTAGAATAAAACTAGCCTTAAACCGTGGGATTCCCATACTTTACAAATCAAAATTAATTTCACTAAGAGACCTTTACACATTAACCTTAACAAATTATATTATATTCTCTTTTACAGCTAATTAGACTGCATAAAAATTTGCTTTCAATAAAAATACATTATATATTTATATCTCATTATCAAAGAACACTTTACCTATTTATTTGTTTATTCGGTAACAAATGAGGCACATATCTTTATATATGACGTACGTATGTACACTGTTGATCATTACAACTAACAGCCGAACACTGAAACGTTGATCGAACGTCAATTTGCTTTAGTGCATATGGATCGGGAACTGAATCGCTAACTTCAGTAACTGTCTATGCAAAATCACATTGATTCGCGTTTCAGTTTATGCGCGAAAAATACATAATGGAACTTATTAGTGACAGTCACTCGAATCTAAATCAAATCTCACTTATAATAAATGTGTTATAAGCTTACAAAGTCAATAAAAATGGTTTTTGGTTTTAACTAAATCAATGGTTTAAAAATCACAATGCATTAATTACTTGGACAGCGATAGTGGAGATTTGAAGGACAAAAGCACCAAGAGTTAACAGTTAAATATATTTTTAATTAATCTACAAATTAGTACAGACAACGACGCTGAAAATTGTTTTAGCGTTATAGCTGATATTTTCTGAAAGCATCACACTGACATACTTCAGCTTAATCAATAGTAATTTAAAAATATATTAGCAGTAGATCATGTTATGATTTAAATTTACTAAATTGCGTCGTAGAGAAATTTAAAATACAAAGTCCAAATAATTGATTATTACCGATAATATATATTTCTTTTTCCAAAAGAATAACCTCGTTTAACAGTTTCGTTCGCAAAAGAAAAAAACACTATACTATAAAATAATTAATAATATTCATTCGGCGATTATAAAAATATTTGTTTATAGGCAAAATACGTCTCATATATCTATTGAAAAAGCACTCTTGGTCTGATCAAATTCCTGTCATAGTTAATTACCATTGTGGGTAGTCCATTACGTTCAAAACCGAGAGTCAAAGTAGCCTCTGTTCACATGATCGTATGAAAATTAAATTTTCACATTTGCCTAAAGTTAAATGCACGATACGTCTTAATATATATATAGATAGATAAATAAATTGATTTGGGCTAACGTCGCCTGGTCCACGCTTTCGTATAACTAAGCAATACGCTTTTGTACTATCGTTTACAATAACCATCTTATTATTTATCGGAAACGAAAGCGCAAACTAATAGTGGATAACTGAGATACCCAGTGATAAACGATTAATTCATTTAACATTGACACTTTTGTATTTTCGCTGTGTGATTTATGTAAAAGTAGTAAAATGAAAATTAAAGATAACATTATTATTATTGTCATGCATATTGCAAAACTCTTTTGACACTTTGAATTAGTTTACATGTTTTTAAAGATTAGCACTCATCAATCAATATCCAAAATAAATAAAATGTTCTAGCTCTTAGACTAAACTAAATTTTTTATAGATGTTATGTCCATTTATTTACCATAAGTCAATTACTTTTGATTTAGTTATAACAATTATTATGTCAATTTGCACACATATTCAACAGCGAAAATACTACAAGCCGTAATTATCTAAAAAAACAACAGAAATATATCCGTATACGACGCTTCTTTGGATCGCACGGCGGCGCGACACAGTCAATAGAGTACTTTGGCAGTACTGAAGGCACCGTTGCACAGGTAACTAACTATCACTAACACTACTTCACCAGTCTCCTTCGCAGGCGGTTGCGAAGCGCAAGCGATGGGCCCCAGGGCGCGGACGCCCGCTTGCCGAGAGCGCGCGCACACTTCTCGGACACCTTGGGAGTTTTATCCTCGAAACGGGGCCGCTTCGCCGGCGTCTCCGCTTCATTCCTGGAGCGGAGTGCCCGCGGTCTCGCCTCGTCAGTGGTGGAGTGCACCTCTTGGTCATCCGCGCGGCGCGTGCGCGGCTGGCGTTGGTGCGGCGTGGTGGCGCGGTCGGCGCGCGCGCGGGCGCGGCGGGTTGCGCCGAGGTTCTCCTTGGAGCGGGCGGGCGCCGCCGGGGCCCTCCGCGCCGGCCCCGGGGCGCGCGCCGAGTTTCCCGCGCTACCCGCTCCGTTACCCTGCACGCTGGCATTGCGCACACCCTCGCTGAGACTGCGAGTCACCTGAAAACGAAACTATTACAACCTTAATATTTAAATAATTACTATTGAAGTTTCAACTTGTTTTTGCACTTTTCTTTGCAGTAGCTTAGATAAAATAAATATTATTATGATAAATATTAACCTTAATATTATTATGAAAATATTAACCTAGTATTGGATCGCGTCGCACGTCGATCTTCGACGGGATCAGGGGCAGCAGCCGGCCGTCGATCGCGTCGTGTTAAAATCACGACTCGTTCTAACGGCTGGGTGGCCGGCGACCTCAACCTAGTCGCAGCTTGGCGCGTCTGCGGTCTTTGCGCTTCGGGCTCATGGTGCGAACGGAGGACACGGTCATTGGGTGTCTGCTCCGGCTTCTGATCTCGGTACCGCCTCCCCCGCCCCCGCACTGGCCCCTCCGTTGGCGAACTCGATGACACCTCATTGATCTGTATACTAACATCATCAGCTGAAGGCACTGACACTTCTCCATTAGGAGTCTCCTCTGGAGGTAGAGATTGTCGCGGCAGAGGCCGCTCCTCAGTCTTTTGTTCGGGCACTGATAGAACTGGAGATGGATCTCTCGGTTCTATTAGGGATTTTGGGCAGTTTACTATCTCATCATACACTTCAGACAGGGTGTTCACGACTCGTGATCTGTTTAAAAGACGAGCCATGAAGTATGATTCGGCTGGATTACCATAGTTCACAATTGTATCACTGTCGCTGTCTGCTGGTACTTCGTGGGGTACTGACAGTCTGCCATCGATTGTTGCGCATGGTGGCAGTGGTGTTTTATTAGTTTCATCTACAGGTGGGACTGGCTTGTCACTGTCTGAATAGCGCGTCATTATAGTAAGACCGTTCTGTGGAACTTGACGGCTCTCGCCCTCGCTCATTTCAGGTTTCTCATCTACTTTGGGAGCTGTTGGAGATGGCGAGGTTTGTGCGACGGACGACTGAGGTGTTTGAGTCGCGGTACGCGACAGGAGGACGGTAGCGCGGGGTGGTCCAGGTGGATCAAGCATTAGAGTTACAACTGATGTGTTATCTGCCCTCATTCTGGTGTTTGACCACCTAAAAATTAAGCGCAATATATAATTAATTAATAGGGTAACTTGATATTTAATTTGTTTTGTTTATCCTACATTGTAAGCCTAATAAATGACAAAAATTTCTACCCACCACAAGTACTACAAAGTAATAAATATATATAATAATTATATTACAATAAAGGATAAATAATTAATTTATCCTATACACTTATTCCTTTTCCTTAAATATTTACCTCTCAAGAGCATGATCGACTAGGCTCTTAGATGGATTTAACCAATCTCTTTGCTGATTTCCACAGCCAACCAAAGCTGCTTCATTATGTTTCTCTGTTGCTTGAACTAAGCTGACAGCACCTTCTGGCGACATCATATTCCACAAGCCATCTGTACCAAATATAAGACACCTAAAAAAAAACAAAAAAAGTACTGAAAATCTTTACATACCACTATTACCATATGGGCTCGGACCAAATTACAGTAGATGACAAAAAAGAACTACAAATGGAAAAAATAATAAGATTCTGCAAGCAAACCGGAAGGTTTGAAGGGGACACGGGAAGAGTTGGATGACCCAAAACCTCTGAAAGGAGGAAATGGTGAAATGGTCAGCGGATAATGTGGACTGATCACCAAGGCCAAGGGTGTCCCCGATAGAAAATAATAATAATACATACCACTATTGCATCTTAATCAATCAATCAAGCAAACTTACTTACCGAAACTTAGAAGGGTCAATAGTTAGCACTCCGACATCTGGGTCAGGGCTAACAATGAACTCATCATTTTCTGGATTATAACTCCATAGATCACCTAATGACCTGGCCACAGCCAAGAATGGTATTTCATCCATAGGGGTATTCTTCTTTATGGGCCCTTTGTGACCCGGTCGTGGTCTGTTCCATACTACCCGAGGTACTCCAGCTTTTGAAACAACCTTTCCACCACTACTTTGAATCCGTTCAATCTCTAAACTAGCTTCAGGTTTATGGTCCAAAGTAAGCGGTTTGGCTGCCCACTCTTCACAACCTTAAAAGTTTATCAATTAGTTATTTAAACTTAACATTAATAGAACTTCTTGATAAGAATTGGCTGTTTAGCTCATTAGGGTGTACTATTTGTTATTAATTATTCCAGAAGATTCTTCATCAGGTCATAACAACTTACCATCCTTTTGATATCCAAGCACTATAGCTGAATCACCAACATGACCTATGTAAATTTTGCCTCGTCTTATAAATGCAACACTTGCTGTAGTTCCAGCTGTACTTGGTAGACCTGTTACAGTTTTTGGCCATTTTTCTGTAAATACATATATCTTAATTATAACATACGTAACTTCCAAAAATGTTCCAAAAAATAATATATTTTTCAATAAACAGTAGTAGATGATATACTTTACATATTCACTATAGTTTTAATAAACACTGGCAAGGTTTGACCTCACAAAAATAGATTTTGGTAAAAGGCAACTTGAAACAGCATAAAAACGAAACTGGTAATACAGCTTTCACTTCAACAAATGTGTGGGATTTTCAAAACTTAGGCAACACTTTATTACATAAAACAATGTGAAATCAAAACAGCAGCAATCTCAAATTCTTTTGTTGACTCAATGTCAAAGTAGTTTAGAAAAATTAATGAACCCAACAAGGTCAAGTCGTACAATCACTTGTATCCCACCGTAGGTTAGATTTCGCGCTAAAGGTAGCGCATCTGTAAACTGTTATGAAATTGTGGCTGACATTACCTACTTCTTTCCACATGTTCAAGTGAGTCAACATGTACCCATTGCGAATGGCTTTGAGAACGTCCTCGTCATTTTCAGACCAGAACTGGCGTTGCCTAACGATAGAATCCATCAAGTGCTCCTTAGCAAAAGCGGCAGCTTCGCCGCCGCCGTGACCGTCGTATATTCCAAAAAAAGCGTATTCCAAGTCCCTTTCATCTTCAGTTTGTTGATACGCAACAGAAAACAAATCCTCCATATACTTTCTCCCACCCTGGCTACAATGGCCAGTAACACGTAAGTTCACACCGATAGATGCAGGCATTTTTACCACATTACACAAAAACTTAACCACAATAAGAAAATATTTTAGTATAAACTAAACGTTTCCACATTTTGCATTTGCAATAATACGAGCTGAGGGTGAAGCGAGACTGACGAGTGACGAGTGACGATAAGTCACGTGGACATATTGATTAGTATATGTGCGGAAATCTTTAGCCTCTTACGGAATTCTGATAAGTAAGAGCGAGACAACTATAGTGTTCTCAATATTGCGATTACTGAACAGAAGGAAAAAATCGACGCCGTCCATTTTCCGCCATTTTCGATGTCTTTCGAGAAATCGTTTGAAACGAGTGACTCTTACAAAACATTCGTAATTTGGCACTAAATTAAAAAACAAAATTTAATACACTTTCGTTTAGAAATATTAAATCAGGTACAATTTAATGTATTTCCAAAATAACTACGAATAATTACAAAACTTAACAAAACTGATAGTGACAGTTGACACTTGATATATATTTTTTTACTAAATATAGAGACATAGCATAGTGTGCACTGTGCACAGATTCAGTTAAGTATACACTCATATGTCTTAAAGTCAAATATAAAGTCAGGTTGTATTTAGATTGGTAAAAATATAATTTATTTCTAAGTATTTAACAGTTTGAAGACTGTCCCTAAGATAATAATAATTAATATCGTTACAAAGATAAGAAATGTTTGGACACAAAGATATTCGCTTTATTAAATCTCTAGTTAGGTTAAATTCTTCCACACCAAAGGAGTTTGTGAACAGAAACCCTAGAAATTTGGAAAGAATGCGAATAGGACGTAAACCTGATGGATACCACTTAGATAAACCTGGAAGAAAATTTTGGCACAAGTTAGTATAAGTAGACTTGATTCCCCTAGTTTATTTTTAAATTTTACTTATTTTTAGTCCCATATTCCCCTGCTTTGCATTGTAAAAGACCTTTTCCTGATGAAATTACGTAGCGTAAACTAGTTCACAGCACATATTCTTTACTAGGAACGATTATTTTATTTAGTAACTATGTAACCCTAAAATAAATAATTTTAATTTTTATTTACACAAAAAAGTAATTAAAAATTAAATTAATTTAGATATATAGAGAATATATCTTTAGAGTTCACGCATTGAAATCAGACAAAAAATATTACCTCTTACATTATATTTCAGACTAGCCATCACAGCTTCAAACCGAACAGTTACAGCACAAGTATTACACTATATTAATGGCCCAGTAATTGAAGCCAAAACATCAGAATGGGCCTTACAGAAACAACTTTATAGTATTGTTGATACATGTGCATACATCAACCTAGGCAGAGTTCTTGCCCAAAGATGTTTGGAGTGTGGAATTTATGAAATGTACTGTGATTTAAAACCACTAGAAGGAAGCAAGGTGGAGAAATTTTTAAAAGAATTTGAGAACGGGGGTATTAAACTACAAGAACCAGATGTTTATAAAAATCCACATCCATGGGACCAGTATAGACCGGAAAAACCATGGGAGGTTACAGAAGAGTGAATAAATTGAAGCTTTTTTGTTAAATAACTAGGACTTACAAATAGAATTTAATAAAATCATTGTTAGTAACAGATTTATTTTATTGTAAAGGTAAACATTATGTTTAAGTTTTAATTTCAGGATTCCTGAGAAATTAAATAAAACAAATAAATTAATAAAACAACGCCCTACGATCTCTTTATTCATTGATAATTATTTTATATACTCTGTCTTGGACAGTAGTTACCATAAACTAGCATTTAGACGATAGAGGACCATTTTTATATTTTAATTTTTTTTAAATTTTTCTATTAATTCAATTAATAAATATTCTTAAACCATATTTTCTCCTATTATGATGGTAATTATTTTAATTAACCGTATTATATTTCTTGCCACAGACATGATGAAGATGAATATCTTGTCTGTAGTAAATAATGTAATAATATTAACATAATACATCTGTAGTTGCATATTTTATAATCTAGTAGTAAATATGTTCTTTGGAGTCTGTCATTCGAGTCAAATCATTAAAGTCCGTATGTGTAAAAAAATATTTAAGTCTAAAATATGTTTTTATTTTGAGCACGTTCTTTCGCCTTCTCTACAGTGGGCTGCTGTTTGACATTCTGTTCGTGTTGACTGTGTTGTGTGACTGAACTGTGGCTTTTGTGAGGATATTTCGAACATTTGCTTAATTCTTCACGCCCACTACGTATCTGGCGTGGTGGATAGAAATGATACATTTGTTAAGTTGATGGATTAACTATGTCTTTGCAAAAGAGCGTGAAGAGTGTAGGTGGTGAGCAAGATACCACATCAATATGTTCTTCAGTCACTACTCAACCAGATAGACATGGTTTCTTCGGAGGTGCACAATATAGCCCTGAACCGTAAGTTGTAGCAATGTCTATTTTCTATCATAGTACATATATACCTACATTGGATACGACATTCAATTTCCACTTCAGGTAACTATGATTTGTGTGTAAAATAAAGCAAGCTTAACTTGATTGATTTATTGTTGCTTTAGGGATATTGTTTCTGAATTTTACAATACCTACTGCAAATTTTTTTTTGCTGCCACTTAGTATATTAAATTTAGTCATAAAGATATTATTATTATTTCTATTAAAGTGTATGTTATCATTGAGCCAGACTTTTATAGGCAGTCTTTGATTAGAACATTTAAGTTGGAATTAGGTTGGTGTTTATTTTTCTTATATTTTGGGTGAAACAGTTACTACAAACAACACAAGCAAAGCAAAGATTTTTTAAGTCACATGCACATTTTCTCTACCATTAAGAGATACACTTTTCTATTGACATACAATTATAGAGCCTTATAAAACAGAATCTCCTACACCAATATTATTTTATTAAAAATTAATTAAGAATTTATAATAAAACAATCCTCATTAAATTCTATTCTCTATTAAAATTAAAAACCCCAACAAGGATTTTTAATAGAGACACTCATTGAGATTATAAGTATTTATAATCTCAATGAGTGTCTGCAAATATTCAAAGAGGAAATGTTCTTAAGTAGATCTAATATTAAGAATTAGATCTATATTTAATTTATTTTTGTAGCAATCTTCCTATTTGTAAATACAATAACTTGTGCTGCAGTTTTAGAAAAATACCTACTCTTGTTTAACTTTTTGCTAAGTTATTTTTTCCAGATAAATTCTGGGCAAATTTGCTGTTCAATCTACCTATAATTAATGATAAATCAAACATTATCATCAATAATTTTGAGATCCCCAATCATCAATGTTTTTGTTTTTAATGACCCTTATTTTTTTTCATGTTCACTTTCCACTTTTGACCTGAAATGGGCTTTCTCCTGTACTTAAAAAAAATGCACCCGTGCGAATTTCCTAGTATTCCAACTTTATACTGAGTATCGACAACAAAAGTCGAAAGTTTTTCTCATACTATGATTCAATGGCTCACGGAGACGTGAAACGGTGTCGTAAGTGCAAGCGAAGAGCAAGAATTTCTCATAAAAATAACTGAAGCATCGACGCAGCCACAATGGCGTCGGATGGGTAATTTTTATCACTTTCACTTGCATAACATCTCTTGTGCATTTCGCTAAAATTTTCGGAGATTTTCACATAATTATTTCCATATGCATGATATTTCATCAATATATATATTTTAGTTTTGGTGCCAGTAAACGTACATACAACATATCATTGTCTTTCGGGCTGTTCGGCCGATGTGAGCGAGAAGAGGTTCTCGACGTTTCGCCATCACGTGTGAACGGCATCATCAGATGTTAATCCCACTGTATCTGCATATGTTTAATTCTTAATCTCACACAAATGAAAACTACTAAACAACATCTTATAATTAACATAACAGGTACAGAAAGTACTTCTTAACTTTGCTGATATCTATACAATGTCACAAATAATACATAGATAGATATCTTATTCTACAATATATACGATATATCTTAATTAGTAAGCGGTAAACGTGGTATGACTGACCTATATTGATTAAAACCTTCCCACGAATCGTTCATTGAAAAACTATGACGCTATCACCTTCAGCTGGGTACTGACCAAATGCTTGCGATGTTGTGTGATAAGTCACACGTAAAAACATTTGTTTAGTCAGTACGTATTGTATTGACTGAATCAATGACAATTTACGTTAGTGCTTAATAATAGTACAATATTATTAAAATGGTAGTAATGTGTGGCTAAATTATCAGGTCGTGGAGTTCGATCTCCATCCGATCCAAGATGTTTCTAATTAATTCTCATTAATAAATGCGCGGTAGGAATACCGAAATTCCATCTGTGTCAACGGATGAAAAAGCCGTGAAATAACTGCGTTTCCGAGTATCTAAAGCCAAAAGAGGTCGGGACATTTATATCTATACTAATATATAAAGCCGAAGAGTTTGTTTGTTTGAACATGCTAATCTCAGGAACTACGGGTTTGAGTTGAAAAATTCTATCTAATGCTATTAAAACACCGCATTTTGACTAATGGAAGCGGGAAATGTGAACAAAACGGGGGATATTTTTCATCTCTGTGGGTTTACGATGCGTACGCTGCGAAAACGGTGCAAGACACCAAAGAAATATGTATGAAAGAATGATTCCTCTTTAAATGATCTAAAAATGTCCGCGACACTATTGTATATGTCTATCTTATAAGATTAACTTGCAAGAACGAGGGAGCGACGGGACGCGACCGATGTCGTGGGCAACTTAAATTTATAACGACGTAGAGGTTTGCAAAAACAAATTTGGATGCCCAAAACAACTATTCTACGCGGACGAAGTCGCTGACATAGCTAGTCATCTATGAAGGTTGCACAAAGGCTTCATGTGGAATATATTACAATACACCGCGAGGATTTAGTCAGTACCCAGCTTTGTATATACATACTGTATATAGCAATATTGATTATTAAAGTTACAACAAACAAAGTTTTATCAGTAATGATCTGTAATCTATTATGTATTAATTCTACCGCGCTATTTCTCAGGGGTAATACCTACGTACAGACAATATGTTAGCGAGAAATTGTGAATTTTAATTCGGGGAAATGATATATGTAATTTTGGTAGGACCGAAGACAGAACTACAATCAATTGCTTGTAAATAAAATCAATCAGTATGGTAAGCGAAATTCACTTATCATTAACTAGTTGTCTTGGCAAAGTTCTTTTTCTATATTTCGACCAAATTTGGTTACTATAAAAACGGTTCTTGTGAGACGATCACGATCACGATACACACTGTCGAGGAATTTTTGGGCTATTATTCTTTCATACATTTTTTTTGGGTTTCTTAAACAGTTTTCACAGCGCACGCAACTGAAGCCCTCAAATTTGATTTTACGCCTTTTTTTTCACATATCTTAATGTTTCTTTTCTTGATCACTCGCCTTCGTCGAGAAATGGTCTAACCAACACAAAAATAATTTTTCATTTCGAATCAGTGCAGTGCACTCTAGAGATGAGTGCGGTAAAAAAAGCAATCAATTCTTCAGATTTGTAATTTATGATATTAATCGAAATCATTATTAATCAATGACAGTAGCAAGTGTCATAACTTTATAAATTGCTTCTTTTGTTCTTGACAGAAAGAGAACTGTTTCGCCCAGCACGATCTTGAAAAGAGAGCAGAAATGGCTGCGCATGCTCAACAACTGGGAGGCGTTTATGAGCAAGAACTACAAGAAGGTGCGAGAGAGGTGTCGAAAAGGTGAGTTTCGACGGCAGAATGTCGTGCTTTAAGACCGACCGACCGAACGACGGTGACGATTAGAGTTATATCTGCATTGTCGGGTCTTAGTACGAAAGTGACGCGTATTTAACCGTTAAATTGGGTTCATTTTCGGGAAAAGCGAGTTAGTTTAGAACTTCAATAGGTAACTTTAGTGTTTCTAGCCTTTATTTTAATACTCCAAGATCCAATTACAATATACGTAAATACGTCTTATTTCGGAATAAATAATAGTGCACTTGTGACGAATATTCAACATTGCCATGAACTTCCCAAAAGTACTAGATATTTTTCATTAAATTACGCACACTTACAGTTTTATTATAATTAGCTACTTAAAATGAAATTTCCGTTAATTATCGTGCTCTGTTTAATGAAGGCAATTACCATTTGCTCGGACAATCGCAGTCTGCGCACTGACAGTTTTGAAATACATTCCGTAACTAGATGCGTCTTAAATACTTTTTATTTGTCTGAATTAACGTTTATATGGTTTCTTCAAAACCGTGTAGGTAGGAATAACTATACATAAAAGAGAATTAAAGTAACAAAATCTGACAACATAAACGAGGGTAAAAGAGAAAAAAAAAAGAAATTAAGATGAAAGACCTATAATCAGATGAATATAAGAACCAACAAGCCTAAATTCCTAGAAAGTGACATTTCTGTACAGTTTTTCACATGCCTGTTAAGTACCTGTCGTCATAAAGCAGTGAACGAAATGAAGTGCCAACATTTACTGCATCCAAAACGATCTTCACTGAAATTCCATAAACTGTGGACTAAGAGTTCAACAAAGTTCACTTTAATAATTATTAAATTTTGGATGAAACATTCTTTGTCTCACAGATAAGTAATGAAATATTTAAGGATACAATATAGGTAGGTAACAGTTGAAAGTAAAAAAATGGGGTTTAAATTAATGTTTTTTTTACACAGTTGACTTTTTAAACAGGAGCGTAGATCGGAGGAGCTGAAAATTTATCAGATCATTGGCCTTGTCGCAAAGTTTTACGTCATACATTTTTAAATTCACCTGCTTCGTGACGTCTAAATTTTAATATCCCATGGCTCTTTTGACGATAAGATTTTCACATCAGATTTTCTAAGGACGGTTTTAAAAGTCCGAATCTTCATGTCAAATAATTTGACTTTTTAAAAAAGGTACACAGAAATAAGGTGTAATCATTAGTGCCACGGCTTTGGCATGTAAATAATTTTTAAATTAAAGACTACTTAATATTAACATTTCTGTATATAACAATAGGTATACCAGCATCAGTTCGTCCAAAAGCCTGGCTCTACTTATGCGGAGGACAGTTACTCCTGGACAAGCATCCCAACGAATATGAGGAATTACTCCAAGCGCCCGGGGACCCTAAATGTATGGAGGATATCAGAAAGGATCTACATCGACAGTTTCCGTACCATGAGATGTTTATACGTGAAGAGGGCCACGGGTGAGTAACATTCAAAAGTGGATATTAAACGGTCTAAAAAGAAAGATTTTGATGATCAAGAAGAGTCTAATAGAGCTCTGGTTACTGTAAACAGTATTTATAGCATAATCATATATACGTATCTATAGGAAATGAAGTGATATTTATCTGTACGTTCAAACTTAACTTACGCCCAAAATTAATATAGACAAAAACCTTTTTATCGATTATGAATATTAATGACTAATATACCTTTCCACGAGTGACAATTGTTTTTTTACGCCGAAAGGACGTTCGACAACGTAATGTATATATTGAATAGCATAAGATTAATAAAACAATACGTCATTTGGAAATTTGAAACAATAAAAAGCCTGAAACGAGGCGAAAACAAAGCGGCACTATCACTTATATATTCGCAATTGCGTATATATAATACATATTATGTAAACAATTCGAGTTTGTGACTAAAATAGTGCATTCATTGTGTTGACATACACCACTAGTTATTGCTTAATTTGCATGCACGATTGTTCTAGTTTTTGCGGAGGTAATGAATTGCCTCTTGCGTGCTTAAGGTAGTCAAATTACTATTTGATACGCATTTCTAGACACAATTACTACATTAAAAAAACGACATCCCATATTCCTTTTTTTATATAATATAATGAGAAGTACAGACAAGCAGACCCCATCACTTGATAGTAGGTAAAATAACTCCGCCGTATAACATCTCAACTTGATGCACTGTCGATCTATTTTGTTTTTGGAAATTCTCAGATTAAAACAGAAACGATTAAACGGTTGTTCGTGATCCGGACAGAATTTATATACGATATTTCTACCTCCTAATTAATAGTTTTTACATGTCTAGGGGATGTCTAACATGTTTCAGAAATTTTTTAAATTGAGTAAATATGGACTACATTACTAATAGTTATTAAACATAATATGGTAGCAATATTCGTTTATTATATTACAAAAAAGCATGTGCAATGTATCAAGATTTTTTTTACAATGAATATTGAACAAATTACAATTTTATTCATTATTATTAAATTTTATATTACTATAGCAAAAAAATTGTAATCAGGCAACAAGACTTAAAAATATCGTCTCGTAAATTTAAAATTACGTAAACGTACTAACGAACTCTTAAAAGCAGGAGCTGTGAAGAGCACTTTAGTCTATAGATTTTGCATTAATAACAGGGAGTAGAAAATAGGTCGACGACACATCCTACTTGATTCTATGCGATGAGGTTATTCAACTATTGTCTACTCGCGTGCTAATTTATAAACTGGATTTTCGCATATTTTTGTTTACCAACAGAGAATGCCCATTCTTCATAGCTGCTTCCTAGGCCAATATGGACGTCACTAAAGTACTCATTGCTTTACGCTAATCTCGAACATAAATTTGAAAGACGTTTTACTATTCTCTTATTATAATTTTTTTTAGAAAAATTTAATTTAAACATTTTCAATTAGAGTTTATGTCACAGGATGTAAGGATTTACCGGTGCCGTGACATCATTGAGCGGGTCACAACACGATAAGTGTAATCGCCTCGCTTGCTTTTTCATTCGACTACGACGGGGTATTCGCGATGGGCTATAACAATATTTAATATTTGACGGGCAGTTGTGGCTAATGATTAATGGATCGTGGGTTTGATTACCACCGGGTATAAAATTTATTTAATCAATTTATAATATTTCTGAAAAATTTAGTGTTTCGTCTGGAAATCGGGATATTGAATGGGTGGTAGGAATATCAAAATTCCATCCAGTTTAATCGCGTTTCTGTTTCAGTCTGTGGATTTCCGAATATCCATAGCAAAAAAAAGGTCCACAACACATCTGGTTTAGCTGTTATATGCCTGGGATATTTCACCTACAATCAAGTAAAACCCTTGCGTAACAAAATTGTGTTTGGTTTATATTTTTATTTACATATTTAGCTTATAATTTTCTTCTTAAGTTATCTTAATTAGTGCTATCGATCCAAAACTATCCAGTTTACTTTTTCATAGCCGATAGTTAACACCTAATCATTGTGTTTCCTAGAACCTCTAACGTTTTGCTTCATTAAGCACCTCTAAAAATAGACTCTTGCGTCGTTTCAGGTTACAAGACAAGCTCTGTGGTCTGTGTCCCGTAATATGTTCTGAAATATAAGCACTGATAGTAACATTAGATAACTTGAATACCTAATTGGAGGTCAAAAACGGGCAAACAAGCACGTTTCTGTATTTATAAAATAAGTAAGAATATTATTTTTTTTAATTTCAACTTTTCCTTTCCAGCCAACAAGAGTTATTCTCGGTACTGAAAGCATATTCAGTATTAAATCCGAAGGTCGGGTACTTCCAAGCTCAGGCCCCTGTCGCCGCGTTTCTCCTTATGCATATGCCGTCCGTGCAGGCCTTTTGGTGTCTCGTCAGCATCAGTGACAAGTACCTCAGCGGCTACTATAACCCTGGCCTGGAGGTGAGGTTTTGTTAAAAATAGTGTTTATAAAAGAAGTTTATAAGATTTTATTAAAAATAAGTACACACTATTTAACTTTAAAATAAATACTTTTATACTTTTTATTTTAGTAGATAATGAGGTGTGTGGGCTGACTATATTTTTATTTCGTAAATAATCGTAAACACGCTTTTTACGGCTATCGAGACACAAAACATCGAGTCCTAGTGAATTTCTACATAAATCGCCCGTTTAAATTAGTTTTATTTTCCTATACGTCGTAATTTAAACGCTCTTTACAGGTTCTCCAACGCGACGGAGACATCCTCCACGCCCTGCTCCGTCGCACCGCGCCAGCCGTGCACCGCCATCTAGTGAAGCACCGCGTAGAGCCGGTTCTTTACGCCACCGAGTGGTTCCTTTGCGCACTCACGCGCACCTTACCCTGGGATAGTTTGCTGCGCGTCTGGGACTGCTTTCTGTGTGAAGGCGTCAAGGTGAACTATATCGCTAGTCATTGTTAAAGCAGAAAAAAGCAAATAAGAGGAATATAGAATAATTAATAGATAGTTGAGAGGAAGATACATACTTAATAGTTTCGAATTAAAATTTCACAAATATTCAATATTGGTCTTGTTTATCAGTTTTCATTATTTATCTTTAGTTATAAAGAACAATTTCATGTCGCAGTGCGATTTAATATATATCGTTCTAATTTATTTTTATTGACTGAAAGTTATTCTGAATCGAGGGATCCAATTGAAGGTTTTTCCTTTTCAGGTGCTATTTAAAGCGTCGCTAGTGGTCCTAGCGGGCGCCCTAGGCACAGCTAAGGTGCGCAAGAGGGCAAACGGACTCTGCGAGACGCTGGAGGTGCTCCGCCATCCTCCGGACAGCGTGCTGGGCGAGGAGTACCTCATGTACCACATGCAGCGACTCAATCTCACCGAGGAGGACTTTGAGTTCGAACACCAACGACAGACGGCTAGGCGCAGGGCCATGGCCAATAGGAGGTAAGTGACGTCACACTTCTAGGAAACGTTAGCCGATGCGTATAAGAGGTTTATATGTTTGTCGGATGCAATGAGCAATAAAACATCAAAATTTCAAGCCCGGGAATAGAAAAGCCTTTAAATATAATACTTTAACGGTTTAAAAAGCGATATATATTGGTTAAACTTATTTGAAACTTCGGCCCGAAGTTTCGGATGCTTTGCAGCAGCTGTGGTCACGGGGAGAAATTTTCAAATAAGTTTAACTATTATATATCGCGTTTTAAACCGTTGAAGTGTTTTATTTAAATGCGTAAACTACAGACAGTATTTAGTAAAAAAGCGGCTAAAGGTCCTTGACGTTTAGGTGTTAGCGTAAGATTTCCATGTGTCTAAAAGCAAATGGGTCGGTAGCGCATCCTAATTTGATGATATACATAGATATAGAGCTGCGGCATTTTAAAATATTATGTCAACAGTACTATTTGAAATATAAAATTTAGTTACTCAATATTTGAAATTCTTAAAAATGTATGTATAATTTTGTTTCTTGTTTTGTGACAGTAATGAGAATTTGTATTTGTACAAAATAACCTTTACAACTTACTAACACAATTTATTCCAATTTCATGTCACTCATTTGTGTAAATAAAACACAATTTCTCTAGTTTGACAAAATATGTTGGTGTAATGTATATACAAATGCTTCCAGTGGCAGCTGATTCAGCGAGTGTTCCTACAGACGTTATTCCAAGAATAACGCTAGGGACATCTTCCACACTCTGTGAACTGACTCGAGCCTTGTGATAAGTGCAAACGTAGACGTGGACCAAACGAAATCGACTTTCTGTGTATAGAAATGCAGCTTGCGTCTAGTTTCTCTGACTATTTCCTATCGAAATATTTCTACATGTATTACTTTGGTGTATTCTCTTTATTTCTTATACGTTTCGTTGTGTACAAATTAATATTGTTAGTGGGAGTCGAACGCGCAACGTTAAGACGCAGTATTTTGTGTTCATCGCGTTTTAAATTTCCATTTATGCCCGTCGCACACTCGTTTATTGTAATGGTATGCACAATAGATAGAAGGTTGAGATCCAATTTAATTATAGATTGAAAAAAAACCTGTGTACACTTCTCTGAGTATGGTCGTATATCAATAACTATTAATAATTACCAAACAAGAAATTCAAATAACCCTTTACGGATTGAACACTAAAAATATTTTTTTTAACGTATCAAATGTTTTGCAGCTGTAAAAATAACTACTTTGTGCATATGAGTGTTTTTTTTTATACACGGAAAGAATTAATTTCAGGCACATTATAATTAAAATTACCAGTGTGCGATAGGCTTTAGCTTAGTAATCACGTATTAATCAGCACGGTATGCCTCATTTAAAGTATTATATTGTTAGCGTCTTTTTCGTATACATAGATATAGATCTTCCATGTTTTCTCTCTTTTATTCACATTATGAATGACAAAGGCAAAACCTCGGACAGATTCTTAATTTTGTATTATTTCCTTTTTTACATTCCTTTACTTTTTCTCTCATCTATGAACAGCTATTTTTAATATGAAGCTGTGCCAACAAATTTCTGTTTTTTCCCATAGGTAATTTTTTTTTATATACACTAATGAAATATTTTTATTATAGATTTTGTAAGTTGGTATTTTTTTTGTAATTTTCGTAAGGAAAGTGTAATTAATTATTGTGATAGATCATTATATGACTACATATCTTGTGACTGTATATATTTTGTATATTAGCAGTAAGTGTTGATAAAAAAGTTAAAAAAAAAGTACAATTAGCTTAGACTATATTGATATTTGTCAATTTCGAACGCACATTTTATTGACATATTGGGTTGTTTTCATGCAAATTGACAGAAAAAAATATCCCATAATAATTTGCTTTACAAAGCTAACTTTTTAGTTGTTGTGTGTTTCTACGTTTTTTGCTATATAAAGTTTACTTTCGCACGATGACATGGTAAAAACAACTTTGTTTTAGTAAGAAGTTAAGACTTTTTCTTGCAGCTAAAATTATTTCGATAGTTTTAAAAATGTTTATAATCTCTGCACAGAAATCGAATTTAGGCTATGAGTAATTTAAGTCCTATTGGTGCATAATGTTATTTTTTCTTTATTTTAATGTCGGTATAATGTTTTTGCATAATCTACTTACATAATTTCTTTCTACGTGTTTCGCACATAATTCAAAATATGTTTACCAATGTTAAGATTATAATTAAAAATAAATTGCCTCTATTATAAGGAAGGAACCTTACCTTACCTGCTAAGGAGATAATTTTTTAATCTTATCAGAGAAAAACAAAGCATTAGTGTCTAGATTCTAATGCGTGAGTGTCGTGTGTTATTTTTTTGTAATAAAAGATTTTTATTTACTGTTAAAAGATTATTAATGAAGTGATCATATATTCTTTACTATCTGTCTCTGTCTCACATATATAAATGGAAAGAGACGGAATGAGAAATTAGTTACGCTATTTCTTTATACTTTCAGTTGTTCACTTTATTATTATATAGAAAAGAAGCCATTAATCAAGCCAGAGCAAAAATGTGTCGTTACTAAGAATACATTATTTTCCATTTTAGTGTGTCTACCATATTTAAAATATATTATGAAAATCTGTGTTTAATATATGTAATAAGGTATATCATTGTTGACTTGTGCAATATTAATTTGATGGCCATTTTATTTATTTTCAAGAAACAACAATTATTATTATATATTCAGTCCTATTGTAGAAACGGTATCTTTATGGTCATGTGGTCACTCAATCAGCGATGTTTTCTCTTTTTCACCTATTTTATTCCGTATGCCATAAGAAGGGACAACAATAATAATTGTAAACTCGTAATGGGATTACAAATAACAGAATGTTGCTTAAACGTATAATGTTTATCACTTCATTTTATCGAAAAATTGAATCGCGATTTCTGATGATTCAAGGCACGTTACCAGAACGATTCCTCACAACGCATTCCATATTTTCAGACTGTTTACATATAACTTCTAGATTTGTCGCGACTGATTGCAATACGAGTATTTTTGTACTGTGACTGTAAAATGTTGGCAGTTGTAAATAAATAATTATTGTCAGTAATGTATTCTTTTATTTAGACGTAAATTTTAACTATACAAAGACTGGGAGAAAATAAAATGCCGTCTTACTTTTGTCAAAATGTATATTTAAAGTACCCCTAATTAATATTATACTATGTATTTATAAATTTACATAAATAATCTATTTCAACGAAATGCAGACATCGATTGAGTCAAATGTCAAGACACCGTTAAAGCGTATGTACTTTTGTCCTGCTCGCACCTAATAATGCCAGCACTGTCACAAAGGGACGCAAAACAACAGTCGTGACTAGGGATGAACGATACCTTATAATATCTATGTAAAATAACAGCTATATTGTAAAAGTAAATGAGACAGATTAAACAAATCGATGAGCAGTTCCGATCGTACTCGAACCCACGGCCGACTAGGTTCATATGATTATTATGAACCTAGTCAGTCGTGGGTTATCTTTATCTCCCTATGCAAATTCTGGAACAAATTAATTTCGATCTCAACACTAACTGAAAAATTACAAATATTTTTAATAGGTTGTAAAGTGGCATATGATGACATATTAGAAATAGTACATCGGGTAACACCGCACTTCCGTAATCTAGGGCCAAATACTCAAACAGCAGGTGGGAATGAAGCGGTCACAATAGTATTTTGTGTGATAGTTGGGGTTTATTTGATGGAAGGTGAAGTACCCCAGCCGTATAACATCAAAACAAGACCTGCCGACCTATTTTGGTTTCAGATATTTGGAAATCCACAAATTGAAACCGAAATGCGATTGAATTTCACAGTTGATTATTAGCAATAAATTGCTACCTACCATTAGACTAAAAAAGTGAGCCCCTTCAATATTTAAACTTGTAATTTTGATTTACTCGATAATTAATCAAAGATTATGCCTTGAGATTCCATTTGATTTACCAAAAGTAGTGGGTCAGTTACTAAAAATAAAGCAGCTTGTTTATATCTGAGTATTCGCCCAGTAAACTTATAAACTTTGGTGTCTTTAGTCCCAACTTAACCAAGCAAAAAAATCTCAAATCTATTGACATAGTGACATAAGGAGTATTGCTTTGTCTCTAAGAACTTTTAAATTAAAGGGACAAAAAAAAGGGGATAATCAATGTTACAACGCGTTTTAAAAGCGTGGTCTTTATCATTTTCTTCGTACGGACTAATATCGATTTACAAAATGTCGACAAATACAGCCCATCCCTAAAACTAGCGCAAACCAAAATATTTAATACAGATATGTAAACACACACAGATAAGGCCACTATTGCAAACTCTTAAGGTACTTCGCTTTCTTTTTCAAATTATTCTTGACGTCGGTTAGCACTTCTTCGAAGCCGCTTTTCAACTTTTGCACGACAGGGCTATGATATTTGTTCGTGAGAGTCAATTTCGCTAGCTCTTCCTCTAGAGAGGCTTCGTACGAGAAGGTAGGCCACTTTTCAAAAATTTCTTCTAGTATCGTTATCGTTGTTTGAACGTCGTCATTCAATTTATTGAGAGTCTCCGTTGTTTTTATTTGTTCCGGTGAGTGAGTTGTCTTTTTTTTGCTCTTCTTGGCATGCGCCGGCGCAAGGTACTCGTTGCAGACTCCGAGTAAAAATGTTATGACACCTATGAACTGAAACAGAGGACACAACTTTTAGACGTAATATAGGACATAACAAGAAAATATTTTTCATTTGTGTTATGAATTCCATAGATTTACTTCTGAACCCAACATTTAACGTATATTTACAAGCAATTGTGTGGCGTTCAAAAGAAAATATGTAAATAATAATTATAAATTAAGTAGATAAGGGTGCGATCATGGGTTATGTATACTAATGACTCACTTCTAGGTAATTCGAGAAGAACTCGAACGCGTCTCTGTTTCCCCAAAGCGTGGGCTGCGCGTGCGCAGCCAATTCAGTTCTGCTTGCGACGATTGTACTCCGAGCCTGTTCGGCGTACGTATGCGCGCTTGGCGAACCGGCGCAAATCTCACACACCATCAGCAACGTGTTCGTATACAACTCCCGGTAAGGCACGGGTGACGTTACAAATGCTACAAGAAATACATATAAAAAGGGGATAATATATTATTACAAGACATAAGCACTAGCTTGATTAGCATATATCAAATTAACTATTCAAGTCTTAACATTTTAATTTAAAACAAAAAAATAAATAACAGATTTATCGATTGCCTTATTAAAAACGGGTTAAAACAATTCAGAGCAAACGGACAGCAACAAGCACCTACCAATAATCCTAGAAGGCAGAGGCGCGCTGACGCTAATCCGCTCTCGCTCGCCGTACACGTGCCGGCAACTGTCGAGCGCCGAACCGAACGCCGAGATGCACTTGCGCAGCTCCTCCAGCTGGCTGCTCTTTTCCTCCGCGTTGCGGTTGTCGGCGCATTCTATACAGAGCACTGAAAAGAGTTAAATTTAGCATTGAGTTTAAAATGTACTTTGTTAGTGTAAACATATAGTAAAACGCTCGCACTTACAGTTCATTTGGATTTGTGTAATAAGGCGTGACTGTTCTATAAATACAACAAGAAAAAAAAGCAAATCATAGGCCAGCGAAAAGGATTAAAAGAAATAATCATCAATTTCAAACTGATGAATTAAGAACGGAGTTATGTATTTCAGTGCTCTTTCCACTGTGTCTTATTTATGCTAAATATTAAACAAAAAGATTACAGCAGTGGCCAATGCATCGCTAACTATATAACATTATTAAACCCAGGTAGGTTAAAATTAATGATATTTAATGGAAAAATAAAGGTTCCTTCCTTCTATAGGGAGTGCCTAGGATGTGAAACAACAGCGATTGAATGTTTACCCTATGAGCTGAAAGATTTACTTTAGCAGTAGACCCACCTATAGCCGAGAGCAGACCATCCTTAAGCCTCAAGTAAGCAACGTCCCTCTCGAAGGACCGGCTCTTGTAGAGCGCGCGGTCTCCGTCCGTCGACGACCAACTCACTATGGCGTTCAGGTCGCGGTTGTCCCTGCAATAGATTTGGACTTAATAATAATTCACTTGTAAACATATTATGCAGCCTTCGCTCGAACTCGAACTACTCATGATTCCAAACCGTCGAAAACTTTTTTGTATGTATACAAAACTATACAAATGGTCATATATCTGGTAGGGATAAAGCCTTAATCATAAAACATTCCGTATTAAGATCGGAGGACACTTCATATTTCCAAAATACTTCTTACTTGTAAAATACAAGATATACAAGGTATACAATAGTAAAACTAACGTGGGCGTCTGGGGCAGTCGCTGTGGCGCGTGTGGTGGCTGCGGCGGACCCGCGAGCAACGCCAACAACGCCCTCTCGCGACCGCAAGTCGCACACCAAGCGCAACCACCTATACGCCCTCCCCACTCCCAAACTTCCACTACCTTTTCGAACGTTCCGAACTTGTACGCATATGTCACTTGTTCCACACTCTGAAACAGAAATATATATCAATTAAGATAAAGATGTTTTTATACTTCTTCCTACATCTATACAAATGCTAAACTCTGACTCATCTTGCGCTTGATACTTTTCCCCATTAGTAAAATTCGCCGTATGAATAATCTATGTTAAACTAATTAATTTTTTTTTGTTGGGTTAGAATCAAGTTATGTACGTTGTGAAATGGCTTATTTTTTTCTAATATAGAGGAGGACGGATAATTATGTGGTTCACTTTGGTGATTTTAAATACTCCAGCCATATAATATCTAAAGAAGATGCGCTGTCGATCTATTCTGGCTTTGGATATTCGATTTATACATCGTGTTGAACTAAACTCACATCTTTAGCGTGATGCTTATGGAAGGTGCAAGTGTCGGACAGCAATCTTAGAGCCCTTGCAGAGGCCAGAGCAGGCGCCAGTCGCGCCGCATGGATCCAGCCCAGTGACACCAACTGGATGTTCTTTACCTCCAGCTTACAGTATATCGAATCTGCCGCTATTGCTGCACCTGGAATTTAGGTTAATATATAATTAAATATTCCTACTGTACAACAACCAAACTGACAAACAACCCAATACTTTTTGTCCTGGTAATAGAAAATTTCAGTTATTTTCCGTCGATGCGAAGTGGACGTGCTGTCAACCTATCTTTGCTTTAAGCATTATTTCTGTTACCGGTACACATTGTAATAAAACATTTTTAACAGTTTTAAATGCGAATTATATTACGTAAGTTACGAATATTTTCCCTCAAAACAATAAAAAATTTACAACAATACTGTAAGTATTAGGAAATATGAATCTGAGTGAATTAAAAAAAAAGTCTCAAAATGACTGATTATTATGGACAACACTTACTTAACCAAAAAAGAGTATGTTAACATTGTTTTTAGTAAAAAAAACACTAAACGGTTCCTAAGACAAATTCAATGTGTCTACTAAAGATTCCGATTATCTGTCGGATCTGATCTGTAACTGTGTAATCTGACGCATTAAAAGGAAACATTTAATAATTTACCTAATACATGGTACAAGGATATTAGCAACAGCTTAGCATGGAAGTTTGCAGCAGAATGATGCAATACCAGTTCCAAGAGGTTAAGTGCTTCCAAAATTGGGGCAGGATCTTCTTGTTCCATGGCTGAAAATGTAATAAATAATTTTAACAACAAAGTAGAATAGTAACTAACTCAGCAAATTATTAACATTTGCAAAATGGGATATTACCGGCATAGAAGAAATGATGCGCCGCCAATGTCCCATAATTGTCAGCGGCACAAAATTCAGTGACTGTCGATGTTACTAGTCCTTGTTCTAGACACCTTAGGTAGTGTTTTCTTAGGAGTCTGGCTATTGAAAGGTTTTCCTCTGCTGACCCTACCGGGGCTGTTAATCTCCATGCGTAAAGGCAAGATACGTGCTTTTGAATGTCGTTAGCCTGAAACAAATTAAATCTAAATATCCCACATATATAATAGATTCAAGTTGTTATAAATGTCAATGTTTATAATTTGTATTGAATAATATCCATACAAATATGCAGACCCAAATTACTATAAATAAAACATAGGAACACCAAAATTTCCAGGCAGAGCTAATGGTCAATTCAAGGTCTATATTAACTATTTCTGATTGAAATCATGACTTAGATAATTTTCAAACTTAAAAAGTAATCATAGTTTGGACAAACGTCTTCGTATGTTAGTAAAATTTTTTCTGATAAAGTTCTTTTGTTTTATGGTTGCCTTAATAAATATAAAGAATATCAATGGACTTACATTTACTGGTTCACTATTTTCATCAAAACCTAGGCAGTTTAAAAAATCTTTGCTATGGTCCTCCCTCTCTTTCTGAGGTAACATGGACAAATATACTTTCAGATCAGGCACAGCACATGGTTTATTCGCAAACACTCTTAAATACTGAACACATAGGGCAACACCGCTACCTAGGAGTGAAGTTGGATCGCCATCTTTAGCGAGCCTCTTCCATAATTCTAATCTAGCTAAGTATGGGCCTCGTAATGGCCTGTCTGTGGAAACATTTTCAATGATTAAACAGATGAATTCATGACACTTTTCTGGTGTATCGTCTACATAGTTATCTGTACCACTTTTAGTCATTAATTGGAAGACAGAATCGAAATATGGCATATAAAAGTCCCATCTATCTTGATTTTCCCATAGCAGATCTTTGCAGAGCAAATTAAGTCTTTTCCACTCTCCTATTCTTTTAAAGTATGGTATGCATGCTTGTGATGTCAGTCCTGGTACTAATTGTAAATATAAAGGGCCTTCAATGAATTTGAGTATGTTGTCCCATTTTTCTTGTAACTCTAATATCATAATGTACAGCCTAGCCTCTTGCTCTGCCTCCATTTTGTTATCTGTTATAAAATTTTCAACCATTCTTTGAGCTAGTGATAAAAGTATACCACGCTTTGTACTATCATCTGCAGTTTTGGCCTAAAAATAAAAACAATGACTTCAATAATGTGTCCTCGGTATGAATAGGTCGAATTTAATTAAAGACTTAATCTATTATGTAATTAGACAAGGGATGTCTTTATGAAATCAATGAAAAAACAAATTTATTTGTAGATAAACAGTTGCAAAAATGTAATTTGTTATGTGCCGACCCTAAGGTGCACTCTATTAGGCGACAGCCCTAAGCTGGGCCACTATTGGGAAAGTGCTGATAGTGCGTGTATGCAATACCCGTACGATCAGTGACACTACTGTCGCCATACCCATTTAGCATAAAAATAGATTAGAATTATTGTAAGAGTGGAACTGATGCATTGAGCGCACACCTAGTAATAACTAATTAAAATTATTTTTATATTAATGTCATTATTAAGCAAATGAGTTTTTTTGCAACAACCGGAGGTAGCTAACATAATTAGTTTTATAAATATGATATTTATTTTTAACTTAATGGTCCAAACTAACTTGAACCAAAACTATAGAACATATCTCTTACAACAAACTGTTTAAAAGAAATATGCATAAAGCAGTTTACCTGTAACACAATACTCATCACAGCCCAGAAGTAATATGGATTCTTAGGAGCAAACTTATATAAGGCCATTGCTGCTCTCTGCTGCGACTTGTGGTCTCCAACTCGAACATATGACATGAATAGGTGTGAATAAAGCTCTTCATTTGAAGGGTCAACCTTCACAGCAGCCTCATATATTTCACACACTTTATGTACTAAAAACATTTTATAAATTAATAAGTATCACCATATATAAGGTCTATGTTAAAATGTTTTGTATTAAGTATTAGAAATTAAAATATATTACTACATTTTAAGATTTTTTTTGTGCATAGTAATATACATTATCTTTAAATATATTCTTCAAGTAGGTAAATAATGTTGATACACATATCTATTATTTAAAGGGCTTTTTAACTACATGCAAAATTGTCTTGTATGGCAAGGAAAATATTAAACTTATTTCATTTCTCTGTACTATTATTTATAGATTGATTTAATAAAAAGGAGGTCTATATTTAAATGAAATAAGCATACTATAGAGCATTGTTTAATCTCATCATTTTTGTAACGCAGATGCAACCTAAGTACTTACATTGATGTACTTCTCGATAGGATATGGTCATAGCTTGTAACGTAGTATCATCACTCGGCTTCTCCTCTACTAGTGCATCTAATACTGCGTGCGACTCAGAAGTTTTACCTAATCTTAATAGAGCTAGCGCTTTCAAAGCCCGTGCAGCCTGTAACGTGGGACTTTTCTTTAGCACTTTTTCAGCTTCCTGCAGGGCCTTTTTATTATTTCCATTATCTAGCCAATCTGGAAGAATTCATCGGGAAATTAATTTATACCGGTTGCGATATACCAGCAGCAGAGGTTATCTTATTACCGTATATGGGACGCAACCTCCGTTCTACGACTCCGTCCTGGATGCGCTGCGGCCTCACAGCCATTTTTCATTCACAAAAGTTAAACGCGTTATTCTTAATATTTCCTCGTTCTATAAATTACTAAATTTTTTCGAGGCACGTTTGTTTTGAGATTGTCACTTATACTATTTTAGCAAGTGTCAGCTGTCAATAATTGGCATTTAATGTTGCCATATTTCAAATACAGATACGTTATACGTTTGCTAGACAAATATACTATAGAGTATAGACTAGTAATAAATTTGGCTTTGGTATTAGAATTAAAATCGCCTCAAGTAAACATTGAAGCCTCAACGTTCTTCTAATTATTATATTACTAAATTTGTCATAAGTAAGATAATGTAGGACTTCCCCGTATTAAAGTTTACTAAAAATATAATATTTAGGCAGCTGAAGGACATTCAAAGAAAACAAAAAACATTTAAGAATTTTAATTTATAAATATGAAGATCTCGTCGCATCGTACTTAATACTACAACAAAGTCATTTACAAACATACTTATTACTTTGTTAAGTATTTTTAAATCTTTTGTGCAATTGATCAATAATAATTGAAGTAAATAGGTAAGTTGATTTAGAATTGACGACGCACACTTGATGGCACGTTCTAATAATTTGGTAAACTGGATTCACAACTAATAATAATAATATAAATAGCATCTATTTAATCTTTATTTATATTACTGCAATCCTATTCAATTCGACAAAAGCGTTTTATCTTCGGTCGTGGAAATTATTTTGACCATCTCAACAAAATAGACAGAAAATGAAATAATTAGATTACGATAACCTACACTAAATCATAATTTATTAAATAATCTTGCAACAAAATGTTTTTAAAAATACACTAACTTGAAGTAATCAATCACAATTTTCCACATTTCATACTTAAAAACTACTCTGGCGAGAATTATATTCGGGTTGATGTGTAAATCTCAGCAGTATATTCGCAATTCTGCATATACTAAACAAACATTACTTAAACAATATTGTCCCGTACGGTACAGTAAGTTTTAAATGCTACCAAACGTAAAGCAAAAGTGTAACGAGTTTAATACTATTAACAATAGGTACAGCAAACCCGAATATGTCCAGTTTAAAATAATATCACTAGAAACGGCAGTGGTAGTTGGAAACAGCCTGCGTTTAGGCCCTTAGGTCTACTGTTTCGAAACCTGACTCCGAGATTAATTTCGGCGAAGAAATCACTGGCGGGTTCTCTCTAGACAGCGACGCTTTTTTGTGTCTCGGCGGCGGGACAGGGGCCGGTGGTGCAGTTTTCGATTTTAATAGGCTCTTGATCCTCATACCGCCGCCATAGAAGTACAGGTAGACACCCGCCAACAGTGCGAGGGCGACGAGGAGCGTGATGATGGCCACAATAACGCCGTACCAGGCGCCGCCCGAGGTCTCCTCCGGCGTCGGCACCGTTGGACGTCTGTTCGGTGGAACATACGTAGGTCTCGGGCGTTTCGTCGTCGTAGTGAATTTGTCCCCGATGGCGATATCAGCGCACGCACGAAACTCCTCCTGTGGCCCGCATCCCACCGCCCCCGTTCCGTTTTGGCATGTACCCCAATTATTGCCAGCAATATATCTCCATTGCAATACGCAATGTGCACATTCGAAGCCTTCGGGCAACTGGTATTTCATTTCATAGATCTTGTTGCCTTCTCTGGGGTAGTACTTGGAGTCCTCCCTCCCGTCGAGCAGTAGCAAGTGCCTGTCTAGGCATTCTTGGGTCGCTCGAGGGTCTTCGCACACGCGGAACTCGAAGAAGCCGTTGTGGCTAGCCGTCAACTCGACCTTGATGACGATCACATCTTTCGGGGCGTATTTTCGTACGATGACGCCTTGGCCGAACCGTCCTCCCAATTCGTGAGCGCGCGGCTGCGGCGCGTCCCAAGCGTCTCCGCAGACGCCACATTTGCCGTTATTCCTGTTCCATTGTCTGGTGAAACCGCCGCAGTAGAGTTCGTGATCGTTGTAGTTGTGAGGTGTGTCGAAGCCGTATCGCCAGGCCGAGGCGCGCGAAGGCGGTTCTATCAATCTGCCGTGTCCATTTACTTCTACGGTCACGATGAAAAGGAGCGCCAGTCCAGACCATATGACCTGTAAAGGGAAAGAATGTATAAACAAATGCTTTTTCGTGAAGCACGTGACCTTGCGAACAATTGTTACTGATCTTGCGAAATATAAGAGTAAATAAAATAATTTATCACATTGTCACGACTTGCGAAAATTTGCTGCGTTTTTCCAAACTCATTCTGTCAGACATTGCTTTTAGGATTATAATTGTTTTGAATTACTTGAAGATCAACATTGACAGGCCAGAGTACGAGCTATTACCGAATCATCATTTACTAAGTTGTGAGGACTAATTAGACATGACAAGTACAATATTAGGTATGGCTGATCACAACCTAGTTTACTGATTTACTTGGCCTGATTTGCAAAATAGCTAATCCGCATAAATTAGCCATAAAGTGACCCATTATGCACGGCGTTAATTATTACGTAAACCCACTTCGCCAGAGATTACAATACTTTCGTCATTGTAAACATTTTCTCATGGTACGTAATCTTGAGATTTGTTATTTTCAATCTATTTTTGTTCCCAGTGACTTAATTAATACTTATCAAAGAGAAAGAAACATAAATAGGTATAAAGTACGGGTATATAATAGAACCCTAAGTCTGTAGGTACTGCAGTACATATTATTTACAATAATTTACTTAACTTAAGTATTTATTGCAGTATTTGGTCTTCCACTTTATATGAGTTCGTATTTATGTATTTTCTTAAACTGTGAATGTGAACAACAAATATAAATACAAAAGGAAAACTAAATTTCAAATCAGATTTAGATGTCACAGAAATATTAAGATGAACTGTCTGAAACACTTAAATACCAAGAGGTACTCTAAAAGCAGAAAGTTATTTAAAATTTTTACAAGAGTTTTTAAGTATTTCAAAATACATAGATTAGATAGAACAAACTGTCTTTGAAAATTATATTAAATTAAAAAAAAGCCAAATGCAATAATTTATAGAACAACCAATTCTGTCCATGTTTCTTATCAATCAAAATTCAACTTTGCCTCTCATTTGCCTTAAGATTTGTACGCTATAATGATTCAAATAAATGTATGTATGTTTAATATATGACAATAGAAGATATAGTTCTACAAACGGTTTAACCTCTTGTGATCGATTCACAATAATCGATACTAAAGTTTCTATGCCTACGTAAGAAATTAACGGTAATTGTACTGATTCGGGGTTACCGAGTAATTATGCAGATGGTAATCGTGCTTTGTTTTTTAGACGCTGTGGTATAATAGATGTGAACATGGTGAAAACTAAGATCGTGGAATATATTAGCACTTATTTAGCAAAGCCGATGACTTAAGATTAAGAAAAACACGCACGTCTTATTTGCCACAGCGTAAATCGCAGTTGTGACTATAGTTTACAAGAGTGGTGCAGGTTACTAAACGGTTTAAAACGTTAAAAATGATGGTAAATACTCGAGGAAAATGTTCATTACATCTACCATACTAAATTCGGGTTATTTTGTTGATCCGATCACTGGCCTTAATAATGATTTTGTAACCTTCTTTTATACAGCCGAATTATTAGAAATAAAGATCATAATAAATTTTACTTACTACTATTTTTTTCAAATTACAATATTATACCATTTATAAATAAGGTTTGATGATTTTTAACAAACGTCAATAGTATATAAAATGGCACAGTTTTCAAATACATAACTCACAAACTGCATTTAGTTGGTACCAACATAAACATGTAGGTGACATATTACAGATGAATAACATTCGCATTGTTTCAATTCACTACTGAACTGATACAATAATTTATCATTCTCGCTAACTGGGTTATTTTTTATTAAATATCTTTATATTCTTTGCGTGGTTATTGCAATGTCTGTTTTAATTTTAAATATTATCTCCATTCACTGTAATTGTTTAATCAACTGTCACTGATAATTGTATATTATCTTTAAAAAGGCTTAGAAGTTTTTAATACACATTTAATAGACTACAATTATAAACTATATCGTACAGTGGAATGTTAAGAAAAATTACACAGAATTTTATTATTTACTGTCTGGATGGTATAAGACCACCAAGGTGGTCTTATACCACTTAAACGGACTAATCAGATTAAATATAAGATAAATCGGCACATATTGGAATTCAACCGATGACCGTTAGCGATCCGTGCCGTTGCTCTACCGTACCACCAACTTTACTCTACCTCTACGAAATTACCACATGAATTATCAAGATTTCTAGCCAATAATTTTGATGTTTTTCATAAACGAGGCTTCTGAAAAGCGGACATTGAATAGTGCGGCAATTATTAGCTCAGATAAAATAAAAACACGTTTTAACTGATTGAAATTTGTTTTATTAAATTATTTCAACAAGGTAATTACATTTTAATATACCACAGTTTACGGTTTCATTGTCAGGCAAAATTATCAAAATTGGTCGAGTCAATTAAACGTCAAAGAGCAACAAACATCTGGCCATTTTAAGGTAGGAAGTGCTATTTCGTATGCGGGAACACCTCATACGAGTGACGCCATGGTCAAACGCTGGTGTAATATAAATATTCCATTGTTTTAGTTGCAGTTTCACAAGCAATGGGTGCACGTACTACCGGAAGGCTATTGTGCTGTATTGTGGTTATTGATACCTTTCACAAATCAACTGTTAGTCACGTCGTATTTAACATGAAAAGCATAAGGGTAGGTGGTGTCACTTTGTCTATTGAATGTATGTAATAAGTATGGCCAAGAGCACGTTAGGTCGATTACAACGGTTTCTCATCACTAATTTAGTGGCGGTAGTCGTTAAAGTCTGCTTATTTGATAGTGCGATAAAAACCAGACGTGTTTGCATGAAAGGGAAAAAGTAGCTAAGTGGCAGAGAATCGCCTCAGTGCACAGTAGTACACTCAGTAGGTGTGAGTTCGTATTCCGACTATAAATTTATTAATTAAAATATTCGATAGTTTCAGAATTTGACATCAATCTTGGCAAATAACATAAGTTGTTTTTGCAAAAATATTTCAATTGTGTCTTTATAACACCCGATGGTAACACTTCGTGATTCAGCCGCCGACCGCCAGACAAACATTGCCACACTGTCAAACAATTGATTGCCAAACCAAAGCGGTCAGCCGCATGAAATACCACGTCCACACTTCGATAACTGGCTCATAGCAATGAGCTAGCTATACAAAATGTATTCTGTATTCGTAACTCTTTAAAGTAAAATTAAATTATTATTACGTATAGAAGAGAAGAAGTGGCTTAAATAAGTCCAATTCCCCTTCAGGCATTCTTCTGTGTATTTTTATATGATTTAATTTAAAGTCTCGTAGATGATCAAACTTCTATGTCCGAAGGAAATTATTATGTTCACTTGGGATTAGAACACATGGTCTCTTGCAATAAGACGACTTAAGCTACAATTAACTTAATTTATTGTTTAAGATTTGATTAGATTAGAGTAACGAAGATTGGATACGAGATAATTTTAAACTCTAGACAAATTTCTTATTGTTACCTTTTATTGCGTATATATTTAAGTACATATTTTGTTAATATTTCAAGTGTTCAATAAAAATTAAGAAAAACATTTTATGAAATTGAAATATGATTGGGGCCCCCCCCCCCCCCCCCCCCCCGAAATAGAGTTGAAATATGATTCGGTGTACATCAATGCCCAATGCCATACGTTTTATTCTATTGCAACTCTGTGTTGATGCGCAAAGTCGCTGACGACGGCTAGTTAGTAGTTATAAAAAGAGTTGGCATGCGTGTGACAGAGCCGCGTGTCGTGGTGAGAATTGAGAATGAAAGTGAAAACGACCCCGTCCATTATATTATGTTTGCTCGAGTGTAATTACACACTTTTGAGGTTCAATGATTATGTTCTTCCTCCGTGCGAAAGAATTTTACCACTGTAACTACGATTTTCTGCAAATAAAGCTACGTCCGTATAAATAAAATAATATTTCGTATGTTGGTATCATATAACTATTTTTTCTTCACAGACCATACGACGAGGACGCGAAGAGTAACTAGGCATATTACTAAGCAATATCAACATTAAATAGATAGTACACATTCAAATAAAACACTTTTAACTGCTTAAACCGCGGATCGTCGGGACGTAGTTAAAATAAAGTTAAAAAATAACGAATATCTTTAGCATTTCAAACGGTTATTCAAATTAAATAAATTTAAAAAAGTAGGTATGTTCGAAGTAATATCCGATCGATTATATTGTAAATGTTGTTCTTATATTATTAACTGTATTGGCGTACATAGTTGAACCTTGTTATATTATATTAATTGTTTCATTTGGAATTCCTATAACTTTACAATTTACTAAAAATTACTTAAGAATTTTTCTCTCTATTCAACATATTAATTGAATAGTACTGTGTGTGTTAGTTTAAAAATCGATAAATTTTAAATCAAGTTGCCTATTGCGGAAGTCCACAGACTAATTTAAATGGGCCTTTACAGATATTTTACGAGACCTGCGCACTTTGTTTTGATGCCCCCTTTATAGATGAGCCGAGCCATCCTGCTATACGAATTAATTAACATTTAGAACAAGTTCAAATATGTATCTCATAACTGGTTTAAGTACCCCAAAATTAATGAAGTTTCGTATTAGAATAAAGTGGGTTATTTAGGACTGCTTCAAGATTGGTGTTGTCGCATCGTATTAGGCTAAAGAATTAAATAGCTATTTTAGTGATTAATTAATGCCATGATGTGTTCTTAGAATTACTTTTTTATTTCCGTCTATATGTCCATTAAGACACGTTATAGTTTTACTTAAATTTATCATTCATGCGTCCGTTTCACTGACAAATTTTCCTTAATGGTACGTGGTGATCAAATTTTTGTGGCCTGCCCGACCGAAAATATAATATTTTCCCAATGTAAAACGAAGATCTCTTACACTTTATGCAGTGCTAGACAATGCGAATGGTGAAACATAGACATAGGTAACCTAACTTCCTAAGCCTTTTTCTATACTAAGCTCGCGGAAAACCG